ACTCAATCAGCGGTCATCTCCCCCAATTCCACCAGAGCTGATCACAAGTCAAAAGCCGGTGGGGAAGATTAGCGTCGGGGATAAACTCTGGGGAAGGGATCTAGACACTGTAGGTCACTGCCATCTGACCCAGCAAACAAGCAGGGCCGACGCTGCAATGCACCCATTCAGGAACGCGGCCGGTTCAAGCTACCGAACACCCCGGACTTCACCAGATCCTTTCCGTTTTCTCCACAGTCACTATGCAATCCAAAGTCCCTGTTTTGAGATCAACGTCTGTCAATTGCCCCTCTCGTTCCTTGATAAGGCCTTCAAGTCGCATGACGGAAGGTGGCCGGTTCCACCATAAACTTGCAGTCGCTTGCACCTTTTGGTCAATTCCATTAGACATCCTTTCATGCGAGGTAATACGAGCACGGTTCCTAGTTCTGAGTCGGAGTATATGCGCATCAATTAAATTGGTGAACACTTGGCACTTTGCTGCTGGCACTTATCCAAGGAGTAAATAGCATAGAGGGATCAACACTTACCCCCCAGCTTACGACGAATCCTTTAAATCAGCCGACGCGTGGGGATGATTACTTACCCCACTAGTTTAATTCCATGCGGGGTCCCCAGAATCTGGTTCAAACCCCAGAACTTCCAGATGTAGGCAAACGACAGCTCCCCATCATCCCAAAACTGAATACGGAAATTAAGCGCAGCTACAAACACAGCGCAGGGGGGGTAAACTCTTAGCCATTGACGCTACTCATGTTCCCGAGTTCCGGTTAGAGCGAAAAATCTCCCTTGGCGCTACCCCAGCGTATGCGGGGTTTTCTGAATCTCGACCTTTCTAGCCCTCCTGCTTCACGTCCCCGCACAACTCAGAGTACGCGCTAAGATGCGCCAGTCGAGACTACGAACAGGGATGGGATAAACTTTCAAGCGCAGGCATTGCTGTAATTGGCTCAAGACCATTGGACGAGATGCATATATTAAAGGCTGTTCTCTTCCCCATACTTAATTTTCGATCCCCAGATCTTCATCTCCTCCACAGACACAACTCTCCCCCCTTGTGCTGGCTGACAATTTCCATCATGGGTCTCTCCGTCAACAACATCTTCGCCGTCAATGAGGACAGGCCGACTCCCAAGTCCGTTTACAACTGGCGCGTTTACACCTGCGCTGCCATCGCGTCTTTCGCATCATGCATGATCGGCTACGACTCTGCCTTTATCGGCACCACGATCGCGCTGCCGTCCTTCACCGAGGAATTCGACTTTGCCTCGTACGAACCCAATGACCTCGCTCTTCTCAAGTCCAACATCGTCTCCGTCTATCAAGCCGGTGCTTTCTTCGGCAGTTTATTCGCCTACATCACCTCGTACTTCATCGGCCGACGATACTCCCTTATTGCTTTCAGCTTTGTTTTCATGCTTGGCGCGGGTATGATGCTTGGCGCTAATGCTGAGCGTGGCTTGGGACTTATTATCGGCGGCCGTGTTCTCGCTGGTGTTGGTGTTGGTGCTTGTTCAAATATGGTTCCGATCTACTGCTCTGAGCTGTCTCCCCCTGCTATTCGCGGTCGCCTCGTCGGTATCTATGAGCTTGGCTGGCAGATTGGCGGCCTTGTCGGCTTCTGGATCAACTATGGACTTGCTGAGACCATGGCTCCCAGCCACAAGCAGTGGATCATTCCCTTTGCCGTCCAGCTCATCCCCGCAGGCATGCTGCTTTTCGGTTCCTTCTGGATCAAGGAGTCGCCTCGTTGGCTCTTCTCCAAGGGTCGCCGTGAGGAAGCCATGAAGAACCTGTGCTGGTTGAGACAATTGCCCGCCAATGATCTCTACCTCGTCGAAGAGGTCAGCTACATCGACCAGGAACTCGAGCGCTACAACAAGGAAGTCGGCCCTGGTTTCTGGAAGCCATTCACCGCGCTCAAGAGTCGCAAGGTCCAGTGGCGCTTCTTCCTCGGTGGTATGATGTTCCTCTGGCAGAACGGTTCCGGTATCAACGCTATCAACTATTACAGCCCTACTGTGTTCAAGAGCATCGGCATCCAGGGCACCAACACTTCCTTCTTGACCACCGGTATCTTCGGCGTGGTCAAAACCGCCATTACCATCATCTTCATTCTGTTCCTGATCGAGACTGTGGGACGCAGAAAGCTTCTTATTATCGGTTCAGTCGGTGGTTCCCTCTGTATGTGGTTTATCGGAGCCTATATAAAGATTGCAGACCCCGCTGCCAAGGTTGCTGCTGCTGCCGCCGATGGAGCTGAGGCTCCCAAAATGTCGAGCGGTGGAATCGCTGCCGTCTTCTTCTTCTACCTTTGGACTGCCTTTTACTCCCCCACATGGAACCCAATCCCCTGGGTGCTCAACTCTGAGATGTTCAACGAGAACTCCAGGTACGTTTCTTCCATCATCTCTCTATCTAGACACATTACTAACATGCTGCAGATCACTCGGCCAAGCTTCCGCTGCTGCCAACAACTGGTTCTGGAACTTCATCGTCTCTCGCTTTACTCCCCAGATGTTTATCAAGATGGGCTACGGAGTCTACTTCTTCTTCGCGTCGCTTATGATCCTTTCTGCCACCTTCGTCTTCTTCTTCATTCCTGAGACCAAGGGCCTGCCTCTTGACACCATGGATCGCCTCTTTGAGATCAAGCCTGTGTGGAAGGCCCATGGCCAACTGTCTGAAGAGTTGACACTGCAGGAGGAGGAATTCCGACGCAATGCCGAGGGTGCTGATCTTAGTGCCGAGAAGTCTCGAGCTATTGCTGAAGAAAACGAGCAGGTTTGAAGTGGTTGATATAACAGGACTTCATATTGTTAGAGGTTATAGTCAGACTTAGTTTAACAACTAAACAACGTATTTTCAACTTATGATACAAAGATCTTGTTTATTGTCAACTCCATGTGCCATGTTGTAATAGCTATCTAATTCCGCTCTATCAGCTACAACAGTTTCAATTTGCGATTGCTGGGTTGATCAGTGTCGAACCTAAGGAAAAAGTCAATACAAGACTAAACATAAGTCGATTAAGAGAAACTTACCTCCGTCAGGATAAACAATCTGGCCGTTATAAAACAAGCCACCCTTTCCAGCAAGGAAAAGAATAGTCGCAGCCATATCGGTGTCATGACCAGGTCGTCCTGCTGGGTTTGTCATCTTCTTATCAATGTTGCTCTTGTTACCCTCATCAGACTCTCCAGTAGTCATCTCACTGGGGAATAACCCTGGTGCGATAACATTGACTCGCACCTTGATGTCCTTGGTAAGGGTAGCAATCATGCGGCTGAGGTGGGTAAGAGCAGCCTTGGAGGTGGCGTAGGCTGGTTGGCCCATACTGGAACCTTTCATGGCTCCTGAGATCGAGGAGACATTGACAATTTGGGAGGAATACCCTGGAGTAGTCTCACGCCCTTTGGCCAGTAACGGTAGGAAGGCCATAGACATGTAGTATGGCCCTGTCACATTCGTTTTCAGTGTGTCGGCCCACTGCTGTGGCTCAGTCTTGAGGAAGTGCTCCGAAAGAGCCTTGGCGTCACTTGTGTCTGGTTCACCAGCCGAGGCTAGAACAAGACCTGCATCAGCACGAGCTCCGGTGTGACAGATCAGTCAACTTACAGAACTTGGTGTTGTCGTCCTCTGCAATCCCAGCGTTGTTGACGAGTAGGTGAATGCCGTTTGGCTCCTTATTGCCAACCTCCTCCGCAAGACGGATAGCCTCATCTCTCTCGCTGACATCACCTGGCAGGACGTGGATGCTTCCAGGACCTGTACCATAGGTCTTCTGGGTTTGTTCAAGGACCTCTTTGCGACGACCTGTGATGTAGACCTTGGCTCCGTTGGACTGCAGTGCTTGGGCGATCATCAGTCCAATACCGGTTGCGCCGCCTGTTACGACTGCAGTGATGTGAGATACATCGAATAAGGCAGCGGCCTTGAGAACTTCATTCTTCGCGTGGTCTAGAAACAATTCAGCAAATGCTTTTGGTTGAGATGATTTATTGCTGAAAGGGTTAACTTACGAGTAGCCATGGTTACCACGATGCTGAGAACTTAATGCAATCCCTTGGTCCAAATAGAAGATGAATAAAGATGAGAATATTATCCCCCAACACTGCAAGTTTTTAGAGATAGAAAAAGGCTAAATATAAATTTGAAGGAACCATATCAAGCACGTAATATCCTGCAAATACCAGCATCAGTATTCGCGATTAGATATCTGATGACGCTGAGACACTGTAAATAACGGGTCTAACAGGGTAGCCCACGTCATCGATGTTCGTGACGACTTTTCGTTGGGCTCTACCCAATTTATTCAACCCCATCAATGGAGATTAACCAATAATGATGTAATACTATAGAACCGGAATTACCTTCCATTGCCAGTGCCTGCGATTCCTATATTGATGCCTACCATCGGACCTGCGGTACCCTGTTTTCTGTTTCAAGATAGTGGAAGATTCGACAAGTATGAGAAAAAAGGTAAGATAAAGTGACTATGGTGGATGATCCCTGTTACCTCAGGAGGGTTATGTTGAGCCTTTCCAGGAGACGCCCTTAGACTCTTGAAGCCTGGTTGAACCTCCCATAGGCGTATCATACGCAAGCTGAGTAAAGACATCGTTTTGTGGGGTGCAACTCAATCCCTTGAACATGAATATACCGCCAGCTGGGAGAATAACAGTTGCACCCAAAGGCTTGACCAGGTCTGCCACCGCTTCTTTGAACCTTGTTACCCCATCTTTGACAATATCTTATCCAATAGCATCTGTGCTCCTGAGTTCATCACCAAAAGTAAACTTCCATGCACTTACCATGCTTACAACGTATATTATATAGATAACTATGTTATGGGAGAGTAGATTCCAACTAGAAAATCAGATAAGAAAGACTACTACTAAACTTAGCTTTAAAACAGAGCTCAACCTTAATAGACTAAACAGCCTCTAACTAGACCAGAGCCTATATCCAATCTGTATGCTGTCTTATCCTTCCAAATCTCAAGTAACAATATGTTTGTTTAGAAACAGAGTTTGCACGTTGCATAATTCCTTCAAACCATTCGTACCCCATTCGACTCCCAAACCACTCTCCTTGTGCCCTCCGAAAGGTGCCATGGGAGAAAGATCGAAGTGAGTATTAATCCACACACTGCCAGCTTGCATTTCTCTCGCGGCCTTTTCCGCCTTCTTGAGGTCATTACACCATATAGAAGCGCCCAGTCCCATCGGAGAATTGTTGGCTCGAGCAATGACGTCTTCTTCGTCCTTCCAAGACAGAAGGGGGACAATTGGACCTGGTAGTTTGAACATTAGTTACCGGTTCGGCGAATACTTAAAAAAATTCCCCACCAAAAGGTTCCTCAACCACAATGCGAGAATCTTCCGGCGGTCTGTCAATAACCGTTGGAGTGATGAAGTATCCTGGAGAGGGATCAATTTTGCCGCCTGTAGCAACCTTCCAGCCTTGTTTTTCGATGTCTTCGAAGAATGTCTTTACTTTTTCGTACTGCATAGAATTCTGCACAGGTCCATGGCTGATTCCTTCTTTTGATCCATCTCCTAGAGTATAGGTTTTAATGTGCTTAACCATGGCATCTCTGAACTGTTCATAAATAGATTCATGGACATAGATGCGCTTTAGGGCAATACAGACCTAGCATCGACAGAGATAAGCCAGTGGTTTTGTATTAGGTATTCAGGAGCTTGAGGTTTCTTCGTACCTGGCCTGAGTTTAGGAAAGAATAGAGGGCAACTTTCTCTGCAACCTTATCCACGTCAACATCGGGAAAGATAATAGCCGGGTCGTTGCCACCCCTACGCACAGTTAGTACAACTGAACAGTGCTAACAACACAACTTATTAGAACGAACAGCTCAAGGGTAACACGCTTCAGAGTTCCTGCCGCACTCTGAAGAACTAGTTTGCCCGTTGTCGAAGATCCAGTGAAACTGATCTTGTCGATGCCCGGGTGACTCGTTAACCAGGGGCCAAGTCTGTCATCCCCACTCAATGACTGTACAACTCCCGGTGGGAAGAATTGTTGGGCCAACTCGACGAGTTTAAGTCCGCAATAGGGAGTAAATGGACTGTCGTTCAATAAGTACGTCGTGATGGCTTTGGGAGTCTTGGGGATACCGACGAAGGTTTGATGATAACCACGTTCCCCGTCAGCAAGGCCGGGGTGATCTTGCTGGCCGCTAATAGAAATGGAAAGTTCCAGGGGATGATAGCACCAACGACGCCGATCGGGACGTAGCGTGTTATGATGGTTCGCTTGTCGTCATCTTCGATTACATCCTCTGGAAGCTCAATATGCGCTAGCGCCCGAATAAATGCAATAGCAGCATCAACTTCCACATCGGCTTGAGGGACCTGAACAGCAAGGGTTAGTAACATTGAATTAAATGGGCAGAGAGACTTGCAGGCTTCCCCTGCTCGGATACTAAGAGGTCTCTGAAGTCCGTCTTGACTTGCTCCACGGCGTCCGCAAAAGCAAGAACAGCGCTGCGACGATCTTCATATGAGACCTTTGACCAGGTTCTGAAAGCCTTTCGGGCTGCATCAACAGCATGATCAAGGTTATCCTTGGTCGCTACGGGGACCTCTTCTTTTGGTTGCAAATTAGCAGGATTGACGGTGTATCGGGTTTCCTTTGTTATGGAGGGTTCGCCGTTAATGATTTGTACAAAACCGCTGGTAAAATCCAAGGTTGGACTTCCGGCGTTCTTAGAGCCCTCATTCACGGCGGGAGACATCGTGAGAAGAGAGAAGCGGATCCGATAGCAAGTTTGTAGGGAGTGTGAAATGCAATCACTTACTTTTAGCAAGATGCTTAGACTATATACTCGCCTTCTCCTCTAGTAATAAAATACTATCAGTCTATCTGTGCCGAATTCCGAACATGCAGGTAGTAGGCGCTGTGGTATCTACATAACATCTCAGCACCCGCGAGATTCAACCAATAGTCAAGTATGCATGGCTTAAAAAACGTCGAGATGACGTTGATATTACTTTTGTGTGATCATTTATCATCTGATGGCATATGTGGCATCATATGTATAAAGAAAGTTTCGCGGGCGCCATAGTTTCGGCTTCTTCCATTATTTATCTCCTAAGTCACCATTCCCCTACACCTAGTTCACTATGAGGTGTTCAGTCCAACCAAAATGCGCGAGACAAAAGCTACATATTTCTCACCAACCTTCGGCTGTGATAGAAGTTACCAACAGCCCTCAGCTTTACAAATTACAACCTTCCAGGCTACACAATAATATCTGATCTACCCCCCTGAACCCCAGATTATAGGCCATGCCTCTATTATTCGTAATAACATCGAAGCAGCAGTCATTTCTTTGATCTGGCCTGCCCTTGCTTGTGGCCTTAGATACTAGGCAGTCTGAAGGGTTCTTCCGTCGTTTGTAATTGATCTCTCTTTTAAAGTAATTAGCCTGTTGTCCCCTTTCTTTGAGATCCTCATCTTGGCCTGATCAGTATCCCTGTGGCCTCACTCGGAGAATGATATATATTAAAAAAGGCGTTATAAATAAATTCTTGTCCCTTGCTCTGGCTTGTCATTTCATTCAAATAAAGATCCTATTGTAAAACCTGTCAGCTGCAGAAGATAACTATTAACGGGGAGGTGATATTCGGCAATTTTCTTGTAGACCAAATGATTTACTCTGATCAACCTTGGCATAGGATTTGAGCGCCATATTGAACCTAATCAGAAAAGGGCGAGGTTTTCTCCAGGATCCATCCTATCAACGATTTTTCGCGTGGGGCATGTCCGATGTGATCAAATATGTCTTGTAGCCCTCAGATAAAAAACCCAGAGTCCATGACAGCATTTGTTCCTGTCACAGACTCTGATTGGATGAGCAAAATTATCTGGTCCGCGACGTCCTTTGAATGGTTAATGCACCTTGCTTTGTAGTGCGGGCTCTAGGGTATACCTACTTCAACCTTGGTGATTCTCTTGAGAAGAGTCTTGTCTCTAGCCTGGTCTATTTTTGATTGCGGGAACCCGGCAATCCATTTCTGCGGCAAAAAGTCAATCACAGATTTGAATAGCAAAGACAAATTATTTCTTCTTACAGTTTCCATGAACCCAGGAGATACAGCGTTGACGCGAACGCTTGGTGCCATCGCCATAGCCAATGACTTTGCAAGATGAATTTGCGCTGCCTTGGTGACTGAGTATGCCTATTTCAGAGTGAATAGACATCAGCTTGATTTTTCTCGCGTGAGTAAAGAGAATGGAGTTGGGCTGCACTCACAACTACTTATACTCTCTTCCTTTTTGGGCTTTTATAAGTATTTCTTACTATTAAGAATATATATTCTAGAAACTCTAATAAGAAAATTTAACAAGTACTTTAAAATATCCTAAGTAACCTTCTTATAACTTTTAATTATATCCTTAAATATGTTATCTAAAGGCGTAATTAATATATTATTGAAAAGGCCTTTACATAAATAAAAGCAGTAAAATAGCTGTTAAGCTTGATATAACTTTAGGAAGTATTATGTATTAAAATTAACTAGTCTTGGGAACTTGGATGACTGGCTTTAGATTTCTGTAGAACGTGTGTCATAGGTCAAAAATTACCACATGGTTTCTTCTTCATTTTACTGCATTCATAAGGATATGGCTATTATCCGCAGTATTCGTATCATAAATGGTTCCCCACTGCGGTCTTCCATTGGGATCATGCTCACGTTTGGTAGGTGATGCGCTACGTTAGTGCAAGCCGATCAAGCTATGAGAACACCGAAAATATCCAATTACCACCAATTAGAAGTTTCGATAGCTACGCTTCACACCAAGAAAGAGGCCAGCACCGTTACAACGAAAGAGTTGCTTCTCCAAGACTATATCCTAGACCCGAAAACCCATACCAATTAAGAGATGCCTATAATCGACGACCGCTGGCACAGAGCTTCGATACGAATGGGTCTTTGGGATATCACCAAGATTATACCATGCAAGGCCATGTCCCTTCATACGTTTCCGAGCCTACTCGTTATCCAGCTCATGATATGCATCCCTACAGTTCGCAAACTTATGATGATCAAGCCTATGGCTCGCGAAATGACGATACCCGCCCGCTGCATACAAATTCCTATGGTTCAAACCCATATCCTATTCAGTCTCAAGGAAGTTTATCCTACCAGCCTGTTATGAACCCTTCAAGACCAAGGGGCAACACTGTTTAATGGTACTTTTTGAATTGTAGTAATCCCTTGCCAGGATGTGTTCTGCGCTGTCCAACTTGGCGTCAAAGACACCTAGATCGCCTCGAAGGCAACGTGCACTCACCCGAGGTTCGATATTGCATCTTGTGCACAGCACGTGCTTATCCTCCATGCATCTTTTGCCAACGTCATTTGGACCAGCTGCGCCGTCCTTTGACGCCCGAGGACAAACGTAATCTTGGGAAAGAAAGAATCTGTTATAGGTGCGGCACCCAAGAAGCGCTGCTCAATCGCCCGGACTGCCAGACTTGCAGAGACAATCATCAAAGAAGATACAGAGACCGTAAACAGCGAAGAATTGACCAAGGACTCTGCTACATTTGTGGAAAGGTTCATGTTACTCAACCAGGCGATCGTCGCGAAGCATGTAAAGCCAACGCACGAACACGCGAAGTTGAAGTAATCACTTATGAGTTGGAGTATGAAACCTAGAATCAGTTTGAACGAAGGAACAGGCCGGATCCGCCCAGCCTTGAGGCGATCACATGCATATGCTCCTTTGTCGGCATGTCTAGGAAAGGACAGCCATTCTCATTGTAGTAGGCAGTTAGATAGATAAAAGATCAACGAGTGAGAATGGCTCTTTAAACCCACTCTTATTTGCTCCCTTGCTGCGCGTGCCACCACCACAATGGGTCACGCTAAGTCTCCCGCAATACTGTCCAATCAGATGTGCGTTAATAGGCCGCCTGCGATTTTGCAGTGTGGAGAAGCCCCCTTCTTCCCAATCTGTCAGTTAGAAGTAAAGCAACAGCTATAAATTACGGCTGTTTTACATTGCCAATTGTAAAACTGCAACTGCTGAACAAGGAAAACCACAGCCCCAGATAACTTATTTTTGCTCTCATAATGTCCCGAGACGGTAGGTCACTAATGCCACCCCGACTTGGCGTATCAGCCACTGAATCTCGCCAGCTTTTGCCCAACAGGTCAAGGACCGACTGTGCCTCACAGCTGGGCTGCCTTCTACTCACCCGACTGCGTCTTACTGGCAAGAACCTCCTTCGGAAATATCTACTATCCAATCAGCGGATCTGCCTTCTGAGACAGACTTCGCTATCATTGGATCCGGCGTGACTGGCACCAGTGTTGCTCACACCTTGCTCAACCATCCTCGAGCGGCAGGGCGGATCACTATGTTGGAAGCTCGCACCGCTTGTAGTGGTGCTACAGGCCGCAACGGTGGTCATCTTGTTTCCGACATCTGCGATCGCTTTCAAGACCTTGCTGATAGTTTGGGAGCTGAAGAAGCTATCAAAATTTTGCGTTTCTCCGAGGCCAATATTGCAGAGCTTAAAGCAGTAGTTGCTCAGCTGGATGAGTTTGAACAAGACGCTGTGGAACTTCGCGAAGTCAACGCCACTGCCACAATTGGAGACAGAGAAACGTTGGAACACCTCAAAGGCTCATTGGAGCTGATGAAAGCTACCGCTGGTCAAACGAACCTTGCATACGGAGTTATTGAAGATCAAGATGTAATAAAGGTCAGTAGTATTGCGCTACACTACGTACGTGAACTTGTGTTGACATCTCTTGTCCCTCTAGAACAAGTACAAGTATCGAGATGGAATCGCTGTCTCTGAACAAAAGGGTGCTGGGGCTCTTTGGCCATACCGACTTATCACCATCGTTCAAAAGCGTCTTCTGAACGCCCACAAGAGTCGATTCAGCATTGAGACTAATACCCCCGTCCTCTCTATATCCTCTCAAGGAGTCGCTGGCCAAGCCGAGCACATGTACTTACTGCAGACTCCACGAGGTGTCATAAGAGCACGAAAGATCATTCACTGCACGAATGGGTATTCATCACACCTACTGCCTAACCTCACCGGGGTAGTTTATCAGCTCAGGGGCACAGTCTCGGTCCAAGATCCCGGCGACTCGTTTCCTAGACTTGGCCACGAGTTGTCATGGACCAAGGCCCACAAGGGTTATTATGACCCGGAGACAAGAACAGTGACGCCTGGACTCTATTATGCGCAACAGAATGCGAAAACTGGTGAGATTGTTATTGGAGGCGAGAGCCAGGAGGTTGAGAACCTGCTCACGAGTGATGACTCGGAAGTGAGCCCCACTGCAAAAGAGCATATCTCATCCATTATTCCCAAGATATTCATAGATGCTGATAATGCCAGGACGAGGAAAGTTTGGTCTGGTATCATGGGATTTACTCCAGATGGATTGCCTCTGGTAGGCAACTTGGCCCAGAAATCAACTGGGAGAGCGGGCAGTGATGAGTGGATTGCAGCAGGATTCAACGGTCATGGGATGGATAAGTGTTGGTTGAGTGGTCAGGCTGTTGCCAAGATGGCAATTGATGAGGGTGTGCCTTCGTGGCTGCCAGCATCATTTCTCGTCACTGAGGAAAGGCTGGAGTCTCTTACGTTGGAGCGGGCGGTGGAATCAATGGTTGCGGCGTTCCCTAGTGAATGAGAAAGTCTAGCTAGAGTGACGGAATGAATGGCTGTGAATACATTCTTTGAAACTCAAATAGCAGTCGATGCATCATACGTATCAGTGTGAATGTTTGTTGTCCTTCTTGGATATGATCTATGCAAGTAATGCATGTTCTTTATCATGTGCCCTTCTGAAAAGGAAACAAAATGTCCAAAACTATACCTGTTATGGCAGCTAGTCCCGCCGGGATAGCGCAGTGTCTCCCTTGCAGTTGTAGTGTTGCAACACCAGCGGTGATCAGCAGAGATAACGTCAAAGGCTTCAGCCAAACCCAGCCTAGAACCGGCCTATTATCCACTTGCCCATTTGACCAATTTCTTTCCAGTTGCTGACGGTCTGAGCCGGTAGTTTTTTCGTGCCATGATTGGACGCTTGCAAAGAGGCTTGATAAGAACCCCGCATTTCGGTAGTTGGAGAACAGTAGGATAAGGGATGGACGGCTTGTCCAAAACTTGGCATATAACATCGTCGCGTCCCGTAATTCATTGACTAGACTACATGCTACAGCGGCTCGTTCACTATAATCATGCCGGAAAACGCTTTGAACATCGACGCGTTGCCTCCGGGCACGCAGCGCATCAATGACTTACAAGCCACCCATATGATTCTGGCTCCTCAGCCAAGTTCAGACCCCAACCAGCCACTGGTACGGATACGCGATCCACCATTTGAACAAGGCTAATTAATTCATAATAGAACTGGAGCGCTTGGCGAAAAACCCTCCATATGATATTGCTTTCACTTTATTCCATGATGATGTTCGCCATGTAGGTCCTCCAATCGGACCCCGCCTCATCCCCCGACTAATATTCCGTTTTGAAGCCCATGCATGAGCGTGCCATTCTGGCAAAACTTCAACGAAGAGCTCGGCTTAAGTTATGATACTATGAATAACGGCTATGCTGTGAATATGATAGGCTTGGCTATCGGCTGTATCATCTTTGTCCCCATCGCGTTACGAATTGGCCGTCGTCCCGTTTACCTCGCCACCGCTGCCATCATGTTTGCAGCTGGCGCCTGGCAAGCCGAGACGTATACTGCTGGAGACATGTTCGGATGTAATGCCATTGCTGGTGTTGCTGGAGCAGTAAACGAAGCGCTCTTCCAAGTCACAGTCGCAGACCTGTTCTTCGTCCACCAACGTGGTACAATGAATGGTATCTATCTTGGCATGGTCCTTGTTGGGGTAAGAATTCTTCCGAGCTTTAACGCGTAGTCTTGACTAACAAGCATAGAATTATCTAGGACCAGTTTACGGAGGTCAGGTCGCCGTGAAAATGGGCTGGCGCTGGGCATGCTGGTCCTGCACCGTCTTGATAGGCATCATTAGTGTTTTCATGATATTCTTCCTCGAGGAATCCAAGTATATCCCACCGGCCCTGAATGGCCAAGAGGTCCCGACTACCACGTCTTTACCCGACGGAACCCATCTTGGTAAAGTCAGCAGCATCGCCAAACCATCCTCACCAAATGATTCACAGAGCAACGATGAGGCCATGCCTCAGCATTACAGCGATACCATTGAGATAGACCACAGTATTCCCATGAAGTCGTACTGGCAACGACATGCATTCTTGACTTTGGACAAGCACGCCTGTCATCAAAGGCGTACCATCTGGAGAGACATCTATGAACCATTTCAGCTTCTCTGTACTTTCCCAGCTGTCATATTTGCTGCACTGCAATACGGTTGGGCTGTTGCTATGCTCTCCCTCTTGGCCGTCACACAGAGTTCTCTGTACGCCCTCCCCCCGTATAATTTCACACCTGCCGGGCTAGGAAATATGAATCTACCTCCTTTTATTGGCGCGATTTTAGGAGCAATTTTTGGAGGACCGCTCGTGGACTATTTTATTATGCAGATTGCCAAGCGTCGTGGGGGTATTTATGAACCCGAGACTCGACTATGGCTGTTCTTGATACCGGGGTTAAGCATGACTGTTGGAAGCCTCATATATGGCTTGACAATTGCCAAGGTAAGTCAGGTTCAATATGAACATGAATAAGGAGGCTGACAGATATCAGGGAATGCCTTGGATTATTAATGCTATTGGTGCAGGCATTATTGGATTTGCGATCGGAGGTTGCGGCGATATGGCTCTTACATACCTCCAAGACTCTTATCAACTTGTAAGTTCTTCTCGGCTCTAATATCCTTGAGCATCGACTAATGTATCTCTTAAAGATTGTAGGCCCTGCCTTGACTGGCGTTGTGTTCATCCGCAATGCTATTGCAACCGCTCTTGTGTTCGCCGCCACGCCCTGGATGAATGGAATGGGTGTTTATAATATGTTTGTGGTCTTGGGGTGCCTTTCTGCTGTTGTTGCTTTGACATGTATACCTATGACCATTTGGGGTCGGAAGTGCCGTGTTCAGTTGGCAGGCAAGTATGATCACTATGTCATGAAGCAGTATTGACATGAGATATTGGTCATGTGGGATGTTTCAGTATTTAGGCATAGTGTTTTCTATACAGTAGAAACATTTTTAGTAGCTCTCATAGCATTCACATGTAAGGTATCGTTCGACTTGTTCAATCTGAGTATTGAGCATTCTGGTTGGGCATTTCATATTTGCCCGAGTAATGGGAGCCTAGTGGCGATTCAACCTAAGCTCAATCAAGTCAATAATTCCGTGACGCAGAGATGAAAGCTCAGCCACCTCATTTCCCCGCTATCATCTGAAACTCCGGGTCATCGGATCGACTTATTCATGCCAGGATCGGAAAGACCCACGGGTTCCGATTGCGGGGAAAGGCTTATCTCGACAGGATGATAACGAACAGACCGAGGATCGGGTGTCACGCTGGTTTCAATGACTCTCATCAATCGCCAGAGTTAATTACTTCTCGCCTATTCCTGCCCTAAAACAATCTATTATTTAATATGCCTCGCTCTATGTCTCGACGCGCTTGTGACCGCTGTCACAACCTCAAGGAACGCTGTTACTGGGAGCAAGACACCGAAACCAGTTGTGCCCGCTGTCGTCGCTTGGGCTTCCAGTGCCTGAACAAACGTCCATTAAAGAAAGCTGGCCGCCCGCGCTTAGCTGCAAAGCTAGTGCGAGTGTCGATCACAAAAGGTCATCGTGACTCGTCGTCACCAAGTCCTAATGACACCGACCTCACTTGCCTGACCAGTCCAGTTCTCTCCCGCCCTCTATCACCGTTCGATGACCTCTCCACGTTAGAGAAACAGGTGTTTCAGAACTTGCTTCTCAGCGATGCCTCAATGGACCGTTGGCTGGTTGGCCCAAGCTTCAGGGAGAGACATCGCCAGTTACTTGTCTCACACTTTATCGCCTCGCGATACACCTTGCGGGACGCTTTCCTTGCAGTAGCTCTAGCCAGCGAGTGTCAGTCAACTACTGAGTGTTACAAGTATGCTTCATTAGCACTGCAGAAGCTGCGAAACTACAGCGTGAGGACGGAAGAAGGTGTTTCGGAATGCCTGGCCTTGGGAGGATTGATCATATCGTTTACCTACTATTGCTCAGCATCACCCAATTCTGTGCCTATATGTAAACAGACTCTGGGTTTGGTGAGAGAAACATACGAGTTGAGCCATGATTTGAATCCCGACAAGCTGGTCTTCCTGTCCTGTCTCATCCTACCCGAGATCCTCAACTGTTTGATGGCTGGGTCCCTCCCATCTCTGAGGTTTCGGTATTTGCCTGAATTCGACCATCATGTCGATCGTTACGTCGGAATCTTTGCTCCATTGCTCCCACATCTGTACGATATTTGCGAAATCAACAATACTCTATCCCTGGATGATATGGATGATCTCCCCTATAAGCTGGAGGCTCTGGGGGCTCTCGACCGAACTGAGCGACTCGTCAAAGCCTGGAAGCCACACTTATCACGAAGCTTTTCTCAACACTCCTCTGCTGCCGAGGTCTCACAGATACTTTGCCAGGCACAGGTTACAAAGCTGGGAGTTCTGCTCTTAGTACACCGACTGCGTCATCCATTTGGCACCAACAACGAACCAGCGATTGCTGTGGCTACCTCTATCCTGGAACAATTGGACATTATACAAGCTGCCACCAATAAAAGCGTTCTGAACATTACACTACCTTTAATAGCAGCGTGTTTCGAAGTGAGAGATGAGGAACAGAGGGAGACATGGTTCTCAAAGATTCCCAGGCTAGTCGGCCAATCGCCGGGATTTTCAAAATATGTGCAGGGTGTCGTCAAGACGTTCTGGAAAGCACTGGACCATTTTGGAACAATGTCTTGGTATAACATCGAGCATGTACTTTGTCTCTACGAACGAGATGCTTGGCACTCTTTACGGCGCCTGAGATGGGAGAACGAAACCAACAATCCTGATCTATCCTCTCAGAGCCCTGTCGACCAAGGCCGATATAGCCATACATTCCTCGTCCCGCATTGAACTAGTGGCTACTTGGATGGAACATGGTGCCCCCTCAGTCAACTCGGGGTCATCTACCAAAGTTAGAACATTTCCGGAATAAATAGTTGGGGCTATGGACTACTCACAAGGAGGACCAGCTTGTCCAGCCTGTATCTGGAACTCTGCACCTGGAATGGGACTTGCATTTTCAAAAGGAATTACGCAAGCAGGGTACTGTAAAGCTGTCAGTGCTGAACTATTAGCCGGGTTGAGATGACTTGCGTTAAGGACATTCAAGAAACAGGTATAAGGTGGCACCCCATAGTCGTCATGTTTAACCGCCGTGTTCTGGGCAGCTGGCCCAATGACAGCATCAAGACCACGGGTTTCCCATACTTTGCGCCATCCTTCTAGCGCAGCTGCTTTCTTGGCGTTGAGGAACGACAGCCTTTCCAACGGGCTCAACATCGTCATGTCAGGGAGGTGGATCTTCGCAACTCGCTTGAACTCGGAATCGATACGATCTCGAGATGGAATGCGTGGTTCTCCTGAATCGGACACAATACGGCTTCCAGTCGAGTCTAGTCCAAAGAACCCCCATGCAATCTCGGTCAGTTCCGCAATTTTGCATTCCTCAGCAGCCAACTCCATGACAACGTGTCCTGCAGCTCTCAGTTTCTTAACAGCTTGCGAAACGGCATTTCGGACTGGTGGATGAAGGGGATAAGAGGGGTCTTCTGGGAGGACACCCAGCTTCAATTTGCGCCCCAACAAGCTAGGCGTCTCTCTCCAAGGAACATCTATTGCTGTTGAGTCCAACCTGGCCGGACGGCTGTCGAGAATCAACTTTGTTAAAGTCACCATGCTCTCCATGTCCTTAGATAATGGACCAGCGCACGCTAGAACAAATTTGAGACCAGGATCACTGCAGCCCTTTTGCCCTCCATAAGGAATTCGTCCGGCTGTTGGTTTGAAGCCGTATGTCCCGCAGCAAAGAGCAGGAATACGGATGGAACCTAGAATTTTATGTGAACAAAGTCTGCTAATAGCAAATGGATGAAGGGAACGACATACCGGCTATATCAGTTCCAATTCCAATGGGAGATCCCCGAAAAGCGACCAATGCGCCCTCACCACCACTCGAACCTCCTGCGCCAAGAGCAGTGTTCCATGGGTTCAGAACACGGCCGAATATGTTGTTATGGGAGTCAGCTGTCTGTACATTCTATTAGCATCCGAAAAGAATCCTCCAAGGGCTGTTTGGGATTTGCTTGCCATCATGGTTTGCGGAACATTAGTTTTGACAAACGGAACTGCTCCGAGCGAAATAAGAATCTCCACAAGAGGGGAATTGGTCTTGGAATAATCATCGAGATAGGCAACCAGACCGATGGTAGCTTGAGTACCAGACACCTGGAGGCTGTCTTTGAGGCTGATAGGGAGGCCATGAAGAGGCCCAGCGAGCTTCCCACTTTCTCGTAGCTCATCCAAATGCCGAGCACGCGATTCTGCTTCGTCAAAGAAGGTTTCAGTGAGGCAGTTGGTCTATTTTAACGTCAGCATGAACTTCGCACCAAGCCGATGGTGATAAAAAACCAGCTGTTGAGCAATTGCTGCTCTCTTAGAGAACGCAGTAACAACCTGGACAGCCGTGAAAGCCCCAGCGGCCAGCTTCTCTATGAGCTGCATGGTGGTAAATGATTCAGTGATGTCAAGCTCGATCTCACTCAAAATTCCAGAACGACGTGGAATATCAAGGGAAATAAGATTGTTCTTATTTGATTCGAGTGGTACCTTGAGTCCGTCCATAATATGAGAGGGGAGCAGCCATGCACTCGGAATGGCTTTGGCCGAACGACTCCGCTTCTCCTCGGCCCGCGTCTCCCATGTTGGGAGGGACTGAGTAGAGTCAGGGAAAGAGTCAGGCATAGTTAAGATGTTTGAAGATTATATTGTCGTGGAAGGTTGATTGTATAGGATAGCTAATTGAAGTAAATTCGATCTGGCGTGATCTGACTGACTATAAATACATGGGTGGTATTCTAGCGGGCACTCTCAGTCGAGATGTTCCGGCCTAGCCCCTCATATCACATAAAAGGAGAGCCAATAGAATAGCCAAGAATTCACCGGTTGAGGGCCCCGGTATGAGTGGGGATGTTCTGCATGGTGTGATACCGGACTGTGCCTTTCCTAAAGGCTACAAAAGCTAACTGAACCTTACCTAAGTTTATACATAAATTAGGTATTCGTTAACAAATATTAGTCTACAAGCATTACAGCGTCTAAAGAGATGGTCTACCCGAGAAGCCGGGTTCTTGAAAGAGCTGGAGCTTTCTAAGTTTGTCAAGCAGCTCTTTTGTTCAAGAATTGTTGTAATTATTCGTTGATAGTTCTCGCCTCGCAAGAATATGAGTCCGTCATTACACTCAGATTTAGCTCTTTCTCCAGATATACCCAGTGGACAGAGCTCCAAATCTGCCCTGGTCTAATAACCTGACCCTGAAATTCAGAGACTCGCTAACCACTTCGTCAGACGCGAGGTAAATCAGAGTTACCAGTTTATGCGTCACTGTGAATAGATTCTAAGTAAAGTCGCATTTCGTTCCCTCGTCTGTGATTATCTTAGGCTATCCAAATCACTGGCTCCCATTGCAAGCCAATCACTACTACAAGCCGGGAATTTTCCAGGAAACATTCACAATGGAACACCCTGCCGTGACCTCCTGGCTACACGACCGTTGCATCGACGCTAGCTATGCGGACTCTCGTGGGGAAACGTTTCTTCACCAAGCAGTCACAGAGAACGTGGCGTGTGTTCAACGCCTCATCGACCTCGGCGTTAAGCCAGATTCCGCCGACAAAACCGGCTGGTCAGTTCTTCACGAGGCCCTCAGTGGACCTGGCCATACTCCCATCGTCAAGCTTCTTATCGATCGTGGAGCAAAAGGCGACACGAAGACTCACTCGGGTTTGTCCATTCTGCATACAGCTGTTAGTGCGGGGCAGATGGCTCACGTCTCGTTGCGAATGAAGCTGAAGAGAGTATTAGAGCAAAGATCGACCCTGAGATGACCGTCGTTGGCGGTATTAAGTGCATTAATCGCTGCATCAAACTCCCACTGACTTGAGAAGTTGGTACTGCGATTCTTCTTAAGGCCTCCTAAGATGTCGGTCGGGAACGATGTGTATGTCTCCGGGGGGTTCTTGAGAGCTTAGAGGGTAGACTGCCACTGGATATACTTGGTGAGCTTATCGATGAAGCTCGCAGCAAGTTCGGGATAGAAAGGCATCGACTCGAGACAGTCCTTGGCAAGTTGGGCTAGGGATTAGGGATTATTGTGGTTGTTTAAAAGATGAACTCTCTGGTTGTAGATATTTTGGATAACTCAATGAGCGTTTAGAACAAGCTATAAATATGTTTACCAGCTGGAGAATGTAGACAAGCTCAAGAACCTTGAATCTACGGAATCGCTCTGCGGCAAGGTCCAAGGACGACAAATTGCTGTATGCCTCGTGCGATCATCATATCCACATAAGCCAACTCCTTCATTATGGAGTTAATTGGACGAGTTTTCGGGTTGGTCACTATCTTCGAGTATGATTGACGGAGAATCTGGAGTGGACTTAGCCCAAGGAGACGGAACCTTGGTCAGGCAAGCTCCTATACCCTTGAAAACTATGTGATTGGTCTTTTGGCGACCTCTTTAGGTCTGAACTAACATGCTATTGATGGAAATCACTAAAGCTCTTCCGCGCTTGTGATGAGATCGTAAGTTGAAACCTCCACGAATCCCTCGAAGTTAAATCTCTTCTAACTGGATTGCCGCTATAGAGACCCCTTGAAGCCAAGTGTGAAATTGAACACTCATGTCTGTCAATGCCAGATCCAATATCCCATCAAGACGTTCTACATTAACACGGAAGCTCTGTCTAAGTTTGGAACAAGCGGAGGAAGCATGCCGTAGCTGCGTACATCTACAGTGCGTAACCTACAACATTGGGGGCTATGCAGCCCAAAGGCTTTGACCCTTGTATCCTTGCAATCTTATGGCAGTCTGATGCCCGATAAAGTTATGTATGGGGATAGATACACTAGGCTGAATCTCGTAAGAAGCAAGTGAATAAGCCTGGCGGCGAAACGAGTCCGTCTTATATTTACTACGTATATAATGATTGGCTACTAACGCTAGACCCATAAAGGTCAACAGTGTTCTCGAACGAAGGATTGTCCGGCCAAAATTCGCCGGTAAGCGATTGCGATTCGATCGGCATTTTTGTAAAGCTGTCATCACAGATCGCCACCATACTATGACTACCTCAGGCACCAAGGAAAGTGCTTACTTAAAGCATAGACTTTATTCATAGTAGACTAGACTAACCTCTATCCTAAGTTTCAGAATAACAGGCCCACCAATTCGTCAACAGTATGTCTCACCCTGAACGTCTGTCCGACCATGAATCTCGAATCATCGGTGCCCTGCTCGGCGTTCATGTTGGCGACTCGCTTGGTGCTACCCTCGAATTCGCCCCACATGACCTAATTGCAAGCGATTATCCAGGTGGTCTTCGAGACCTTATTGGTCGAGGGCTTCTCTCGTGGTCTGCTGGACAGGCGACTGACGATACCGACATGACCCGCGCGGTATTGCTAGCTTATCGAGACTTCCAGCCAGGAGACGATATTGCTCGTCTCTCGGCAGAGAACTTCCTAAAATGGGAGGACGGTGACTGGCCAGGTAGAGAGCTTGGGAGACGCCCAAAAGATATCGGGGAGGCGGTAGCAGATGGCCTAGAAAAGTATCGAGAGACACGAGACCCTGACCATGCAGGAGCTGGTAGGGGGAGGGCCGGTAACGGCAGTTTAATGCGCTGCATCCCTACTGGCCTTCTCCAGACTGATCCGGAGACGCTCATCGTCGAAAGCGAGCGCATCAGCCGCGTAACGCATGACGATAAGAAATGCACCGTCTCTTGCGCCGCCTACAACACGATTGTCTCCCAGTTGATTAACGGGAGCAGCGCCGCAAATGCCATCGCCGCCGGGCAACATGTTGCAATTGCACTCAAATCTGCCCAGGTAAACCGAGCTATCGAATTGGGAAAAGAACTTAGTATAGCCACTATGGCCAAGAAGGGTGCCTCGCCGAAGCTGAAAGACGATGGTGGTGGCTTTGTTCTTGATTCCTTAAGCATTGGCATTGCGGCATTGCTGGACAGGCGTGGGCTGGAGGATGTTCTGGTTGATGTCGTGCGTATCGGTGGCGACACGGATACAAATGCTGCGATTTCGGGCGGTTTGCTCGGTGGGAGGGACGGCGAGGATGGAATTCCATTGCGTTGGAGAACAAAGCTACAGTATGGAGAGGAGTTTAAAAGCATCGCCCTGGGCTTGTTCCGTAGATCATTGTGAGCTAGGAGTGGTATCGTCAAGCCGAAGGGATACACTGTTGAGCCTGGGCCAGTCTTGCGTTCCTTACACTTGGAATCTCTCATCATTGAATAAACACAACCCATCCACAAGCTAGCTCTCGCCCGCATTCGCCCCACCCTGCATGGAGGACTTTTGTAAAGCATCCTTGGATAGTTGCGTGACTCAGAGGCTGACTTGCAAACTTAAAAAAAGAAATATATAATATAGCAGGATTTAGTTTAACCTTTATATACTAGGTGTCTTTCTTAGGCAGTTCTCTGGCTAATTTGCCAAAAAGAAAACCACAACTCAGTTATAATTAGAAAGACTGCAAATATAAAGCTGCTATTATATAGGAATACTTATATTATTATTATTGTCGGGGATCTTGGTAGATATAACAAAACCTATGCTGATTAGCTTATGTTGTTTGTTCTTAGGCAGTATCTATGCCACTATAGAATGTGTCTTAAGACTGTACTGGGGAAAAGGTAAGCGGGGAAAAGGAAAAATAGTGCTATGATTGGAATATGTATAAATTGTAGGCAGAGTAAACTAATTATCTACCTATAAGTAGGATATGCTATAGTTGTGGTAAGATATTCACGAGAAAGGATAATTTGAAATGGTATATAGATGAGAATTATAAAGGCCAGAAGCTAGGGGGGGCTACTGCCTGATTTATTGTTCCTATGTATAGAAAATTAACAGCTCTGTCCCTACCGTGCTCTCTTGGCACATCCATACGCGCAATAAACCTAGGATCGGGGTTTAAGGGCCTGTTATTGTGCTTATCTCAAAAGTCAAAGGTCGAGAGACTGTATAAACAAATTAGAAGATCTATTAACTTAGTGCACTGTCTCAATCTGCTCAACCAAATAATATTTGTCTTGCATTTCAGATGTAAAATCCTTGAGTTAATATTCATCGAGGATCTTTTCTCTTCCAATTATCTCCAAATACTTTCTACCAAGTTTCTTATGGCTAAAAAAGTAATCAACGCTAAACTTACTTTTTTATGAGGCATATTTCCCGAGAGTTAATGCTATAAATGCATATTAAACATTCCTGATATTGTAATCCAAATGTCATTACCCATAACCTCTGTAAACCCACGTTGCACGCCAAATAAAGCAGTATTCTTTTTTATCTGGTTGATCATATGTGGAATATGCCCTCTAGAGTAACTTATGATTACTTCCAGCTTAGGGTGACCGTCAAATCTTTTGCTGGACAGTAGGCGCAGGCCTGTGGTCACGGTGCTGGCATGCTATCAGATCGCATTACTCTTCCATATCCCTTTGGGTCAGTGGGATACAATTAACGCCTAGAAGACCTTTGGCCTCAGCATCAGCTTCCCGTGACATGTTCTCCTTCTCTATAGTCGTCTTTCTCGCCAGACCATTCAACTCGTAAACCAAGACAGCCCTTGTAGATAAAGCCGCGAAGACAAAGGTGTAGATAACCGGCAAAGAGTCTGCCAAAGGGATAAGAACAATGCTACCGATGAGAACAGTGCCAAGAATGATATGAAGACCTCCAATCACTCTGACAGCAGTCCCAAGAAGGTTCTGTTGGAACCGCCTATTGTCTCGACGCCTGATTGTAAGGTTTCGGCCTTGGCCACAAGGAGTCAGCTCGCCAACGATAAAGCTAACAAGATTGCTTCTTGATGTCGTCCGGCGGAAGGTCAAGGCGAAGACGCCAAAGCTTAGCAGGTAGATTGGTATGTTCAGAAAGGCCCAACCAAACAGTATAGATGTCTCTGGCAAGCCGTAAATGTAGACGACCATCGGGGCAAGGGATATAGCTTGATACGTGAACCTATAGACTTCCCAGAACAAGTTTCCCGTCGCGGCTAACCCGATGCCATATTCAACAAGAGACACAAGAACCTTTGCAGCGAAGGAGCGTCCATCTAAAATGCGTAGGGGTACAAGGGGCTCGTTGTTGTTAGAGGCTTTCTCCAATATGGCCTCGTACTCAAACTCGTTAGGGTTTGGTGACATTAGTCCAAAGCCTAGGAGCATGGCAAGGATTGGTCTGCGGGTGCTCAAGAGGCTTATCTCAGCCATGCTAGGTCCAAACTGTACCAGACCTCCAGGAAGAAGCGCCAGCAGGATAGCTGTGACGGCCATGTTTGCTTTGTTGACCTCTCCATAGACATTGAGAATACAGTTCATCAAGTCGCTTGAGTAGACGTGAGCACCACCTTCTTCCCTTAGGTTCTCATCGAAATAGGCCTCGAACTCTTTAGGGCAATCTTCCTTCATCCAATGTTCTTTGGAGTATTTTTCTATTGTGGGAAACCATGACCGGAACTGGGAGCGAGACCGGTCGAGAACCGCGGAGACGGTAGATATGTACAGCCCATGAGCTGCCAGAAGGCATATCACCCGCGAGAGACGCATTGTATAGTAGATTGGCGAAGGTCGTTATGTAGTTATAAAATGCCAAATTATTGGTCCAAGGACGAGAGAAATGTTGTGTGCGAGAAAGCGGGGTCCTCGCCCAGAGAAATAGCAGAAATAGTCAGCGCTTTTAAAGTCCTGTCCTAGCCAGTGCGGTAATTATTGAGTAAGAGCTGAAAACAGCCTGCACCACATGCTCACCTTCTTCCAATTAAGAGGGCCAATGTTGCTGCTAGACCCAGTTGACGCAGGGGTCTGAATTCTGAAAGACAGGGGGCAACTTGGGGGCCGAAAATGTGAGCAATAAGGATTGAGCACCAGCGGCTACAGCACCCGTTTCGCTAGAAGCTTGTCACATCGGATCAGGTAAGGGGCACGAACCGATTAGTGGTCGTAAAAAACCTGTTAAAATGGATGTTATCTATAGCCCTTGTGTTCTCTGCCCAAAGTCAGCCGAGTGCGCATCGCCATATTCGAGATTAAGTCATCACGTGCAAGTTACTGCAGTCACCTTTGTTGCGTCATGATGGAAAAGAAAACATTTAAGTATTATCATATTAACTCAATCCTAACACCACTCCCCCAAGTTATCCCAGCTAGCAAGAAATGTGGCCTAATAAACACCGATTATACCAAGCGCTATAAATCCCATTGGCTCTATGCCAATACTCTTCCAAGCATCGTATATTGCCATTCCAAACCTGCCGATATGCAAGCGAATATGCATGCGAATACACCAGAACGATAACAGACACTCAGTTATCCGTCTCATAAGAAGATCGGGGAGTTGATGAGGTCGACTGGACTGTCTTTTCGACAGTGCGAGGAGAAAGTGATGATGGTTGAGGATAGTAGGCATTGACTACGGCATTCACAGACTGGTGATGCTCTTTGGCATAACAAACGACAGCGGCGCAGATCTTCCGAGCGTTGTTCTTGGTAGACTCCATTGTGATATTGAGTTGAGGTAGTAGAAGTGGGGTAGCTGGCAGTAGAAAAGATTAGATTTTAAGAATACTTAGATATATCTTTTAAGGCTCATTTATAAATTTAAAAGAAAATTAAGTTTAAATAATAAAAAGAAGTTATTTTTATCTTATATAAAGTTAAAAGTAATTATAATTCCTTAAAGAATACTTTAATTAAAGGTTTATTAATAGTAATTAAAATAAATTCAAGGTTTTTTCTCAAGTTATAATTTTAAGAAATCCCCTTTAAATCTTATATATAAAAGGAAGCCTAAAAAATGAAATAGCCTTATTTAAATGGAAATTAATTACTTAAAAGCCTTCCCAAATTCGACTACTGAAGCTGTTCCGCGGTTCCAGGCTCGAGACACTCAGCGGATGTCTTTCCGTGGTCGATTGGAGTCACGCCAAGTCTATAGGATATTCTGCCTTATCTTATACTTAGGCAAATCACAACGGAGATACATCACTTTCAAAGCGCATATTTCTAGGTGAAGGCGAAGATACGAGAGTCCTCCCTATCACATTCAATTGTAACCGAGCTTTACGAAGCCTGCGCCAGAAAGATAACTTAATATTACTATAGGTCGATTCTATTTGCATTGATCAGTTATCTCCTTCTGAATAATCTCATCAGGTCGGGTTAATAAGAACTATATACTCTAATGCAGCATATATTCATACTTATATAGGGGAAGAAGAGCATAGAGTAGATGGCTCAAGCACAACGGCCATAACTCTATTAAAACATCTTTAAACGACAGATACCCCCGATATATTATCCTTAAGTGAGCCCGCCAATCTTGCCATTCTTAACAAGCTCTTTTCGAGGTCTTGCTTTGCCCAAGTATAGATCGTCCAAGAGCTTCTTCTTGCATAGTCTATCACGCTTCATTGCAGGCTGTTATCACTTAAAATATCTAATGAGTTAATCTCTCAGCTTTATTTACAAGGGGTCGAGTTTCCTCAATAGGTGCGATTTGTTGGTAAAATGAAATAATAATTGCCACGAGTACCTGTAGACTTAAGGGAATTACTTGCTGTGACTGGTATCTGCGGAATAACAGATCCGCGTGACAAGGTTTTTGGCTTACTAGGACTTATTAATGATATCCAAGCTTTGGACTTGACTCCTGATTACGAGCTAATGACCCGCGAGGTTTATATCGGTGTTGCTGTATACCTGATGAAAATACATCATTGTTGCGATCTCACCCAGCACGCAAACCCCTACTGGTAGTATAGTTCACAACTCGTAACTCGTGAACTCTTATGGTATCCCATCATGGGTCCCTACTTGGGATACTCACATACCGTATTTCTAGGTGGAAAAGCCATGCATCTAGTGCTGAACTCGTCAAAGTCCCTATATTCTGTTAGCGAAGTAATCATGTGTAATTAGACGAATTTACTTGCGCTTTTAGGATGGGCAGGAACTCAATGAGTACCTCATGAGTATCTCTCAACGATTCTGAACAGCAGGCTAGCGCAAGGTCCATTTACAGTGGGATGCCTCTCGCCTCCAACGAAGCAATACTGCCATCGATTGGAAGGAACTCACGCCGCTCGCCATGCGTTTGCATAAGCTGTGCGCTTAGCCTTTTCGCCAGAGTACAGAGGTCGGGACCAAGTGGGATGTCTACCGCAGGCGTCTTGGAACCATTGGAAACCCAGTGATTGAAAAATGACTCGGAAATTTTCTCAAGCTCCTCTGCTTGTGTCAAGAGCTGCTGACATACCGAGTATATCCTGCTGATACTGGAAATGCGAGATGCCCCTAAATCACATGCAAGTTCAGTGACTGTAGCGAGGAACTCTTTCACTCCACAACAGGCCCGGTGGAAATCGCGAGGGTTTGTAGCGGGATCGGTGGTCGTGGTCATGGTATCCTCCTGCCTGCCCAGAACTGACTCGGAGGTCGATAGGCTGGGCAACTGTCCCTTGGATGTTGATGATTCGGTTTCCATGTTCCCAGAGTTTTGTCGTATCTCCCAATCAGTGGTTGTGGTTTCAGAGGGGAGAAACCGGGATCCCAGGCCCTGTTCGGTGGTTGCATAGGGCTCATGCAGTGGTAGGTGTATGAATGGTGACGTGGGTTGCGATAAGTCGTCGCTATCGTCGAACGAAATAATAAGTGGAACGCGTTCGACCTCGACCCAGTCGCTGTCACTGTCACTGGAATTTTCACGTCGTCCAGACATTTTGGTGGCTGTAGAACAGACTTGTGGTACACCGTACGGTGAATTTTAAGACAACTTCATGGAATATGACATAAAAGGTGCTGATGCTGGTGCTGCCTTGGAGCCTGGTTTAGACAGACGTTACATTATCAAAGCATGCTTCTGGCTTTGATTCTATCCATAAACAAGAGTGATACCTAGGCCAGCCTTAGGAAAGAGTTTTAACCAGTAAGCACTAATCTCATATGAACAAGAACGCCGGAAGCCTACTCATATATTACGGCCTCAGGCCCTGTATGGATGTACGTGTGCTAGATCCTCACAAACTCTAATTTACAGTCCCCAAGGGAAGTACAGGGTTGACAGGGCTGTGAGTCAACTACCGTCGAATAGACCCGATCACTGACAGGATCCTGGCCCAAGGTGGAGACTGTTGCCATGACGCGCCAGTCTGCTAACCCATGGAATTCTCCCCTTGTGGACACCCGTCAAAGTAGTGCAACGCGTCGATTGCGTAACCCAAGCCAGATTCAAGGATGATTTAGACTAAACGTCTAACGACGCCATACCTCTCAACCAGTGCACTGTGAATCCTCAAGAACCCTGGAAAATGGCGGCGGCTGTTGCTTAGAACCACGCCACGTTCAAGACAAGCTACTTAAAGCTAATCCTAACCTCTATCATGTACTAACAGAATATACGAAACCTCTCACTCTTCCATAACGATTTTTAAGCTCAACAAGCTTATCAATCCAAAGTTCACACTTCTCGGCATACGCCTTCTCGAGGGCTTCATCTATATCCGCCCCTGCGTTAGCCAACACCTCAGCACCGCTCCAGTGACACAATCGGATAGCAAGCATCAACGCAGAATCACCTCCCAAGTCGTAAGCATCCAGTACCGCTCTGTCATCGCCACTACACAGAAACCTTAGCTTTTCGGGGTTCATTGCACGAACTGCTTGGTGCAGAACTGTATCACCGTATGCATTCCTGGCTATATCGTCCACCACAGAAGATTCGGTATCCGTTGATAAAACTTCGTGGAGGGTCTTCTCAATCTTCTTCTGTCGTAATTTTCGGGATGTGAATAGTGCCTTTCTCTGATTGTACAAGTCATCAGGGTATGCAGCCAAGACTTTTGCAACCAAGCCTTCGTCTCCAGCTTTGGCTGCTGCAATGATATCTTGGGGTTGATAGTCCACTTGGCGCTCGCTTAGAATAGTCTTTATCCCTGTCAGATTGGCGACTGTTGCAACTGCGAATGGTGTTTCTCCTGTGTCGCGATGCTGTACGCTCAACTGTGCCCCGTGCTCGAGAAGCACCTTTACCATCTTTTCATCTTCCTCCCGCACAGCTGTATGCAGAGGTGTCTCGCCTGACGAACTTGTTCTGGAGATATCAGTCATGGATTTGATTAGTAACATGGCAGCCTGGTCAGATTGCTTCCGAATAGCATTGCACAACGCGTCGGTAAAAGCTGTCAGCCGTCTACTTTGACACTCATCGATATTCTTCTTAACCAGCAACTCGGCAGCCTTGTCAGCTTCCACAAGCTTGGCCAAGCTTGTCATGTCGGAGAGCTCAATGGCCTGTATGAGGGGTGTCCCACAGCTTGTACCTGGCGTGGCCAGAAACTCAACCAGAGTCTCTGGTGCAGTCTGAAGAATGTTGTCGAGAAGACATTGCAAAATCTGATATTTCCGATACCCCACAGCCACGGTGATTGGAGTATCATCTCTCGAGGCTGGAGCAGCCAGCACAGCGTTGTTCTCTAACGCCCATTTCAAGAACACAGCGTCGTCTCTACCAGCTGCTATATGGCAAACACTGCGGTCAGATCTATCATGGCTATTGATATCAGCGCCCTTGTCGAGAAGCAGATTCAGGATTGAGAGAATCTCGGCATCGATGTCATTGCCTTGTGTTGGAGCAACGTCAACGAGATTGTGAAGGGCACTGGATAATATCGCTTTGCCAAATGGCAGACTGTCAATCATGAAGGTAGTAGCGGGCCAGTTGAAGTGGTTGATTGCCACATGCAACAGGGTTCGCCCTTCTTTGTCAACATAAGAGGTATTGGCTCCTCCATCAATGAGACGATGCATTAAGCGTAAGTCATGGTCATATAAGCGTAAGTCATGGGCATATCCGACCTGTATAGCGAGGTGAAGTATGTTATCTGGAAGCGTGGTAGTTTGAATAGGCCAGGTATCCAGTACCATATGTGCAATTTCAAGCGTCAATCTGTCGCCGGACAATGCCTCTGGTAGAAGCTGCTTGTGTGCAAAGGCAGTGCCCAGTCTTTGCTTCAATACATCCATAAACACTCCGCCCTTCTCGAGACAATCAGGCAGAACAGCCAGTATGCTCTTTGCCGTTGAGACTGGAATGAGCTTCTTGAAGATGGTTGTTTCAGTTTGCACCATCGATGCTTTGAGGCACTCGCCATCCTCCTCTAGCAAGCCTAATTCTTTTCGACCGTAGGTTTCGGCATGTCGGAGGAGCAATTCAACCCCAGCCTTGTAATTGATCGAAACTGCCAGAAGTAATGGAGACGAGACTGTTGCTGTATGGTGGGATTCAGATGATGATTCCTGTGCCCAGTCACTTGATCTTCCACTCGGGCCTCCTCTAGTTGCCGCAGCGGACCGCCTGGGCCGGTATGCTCCACCATATTTCCCTGTCATCTCAGTATCAGGTTCATCCTCTCTTTCTTCGGGCTCTTCTCTGTATTCTGGGAATGGTAATTTCGGAACATTAGATACCAGTAACTCTGTGGCGCAGTCCACATTCTTTTGCTTGATAGCAGCATGTAGAGGCGTCCATCCGTTCTTATCACCAACCTCTATACAGTTCGGATTTGACAATAGAAGTTTGACGACATCCAAATGGCCCCTATCAACAGCGTAGAGTAGAGGGCTCCAACCACGATTATCAGGCTTGTTTATGGCTCTTGGAGTAAATGCGAGCATCAGACATTTCAACCACGTCGCACTTCCAGTTTGTGCTGCAAGGTGGAGCGGCCCGCGCCCATCTGGCATGGTTGTATGCCGGCTCGCCATCTCTGCGAGCTGTGTTGCGAGACCATCCCAGTTGTTCTCAATGGCGATGAAGAGGGGTGTGCGTCCGTCTTCCTCGCAGTGGTTCACATTTGCGCCAGCTGAAATAAGCTTAGCGACAGCTTCTTCGTTTGCACACTCAATAGCTAGATGCAGAGGGGTTCTGCCTCTTTCATCTGTTGAGTCGATAAGATCAAGTTCCAGAAGAAGATCGATCACCGAGTTTTGATCGTTCTCGATAGCCATATGTAGCGGCGTCCTGCTCCCCACTTTGGCTTTCGATATCTGCCAAGTCGCTTTGCTGAGATGGCTATCTTCCAAAAGGATTCTTGCCAGACTTGGCAGCCCATGGGCAGCAGCGACGTGCAGTGGTGTGATTCCCGGAGGATACTTGTAGTATCCGTGAAGATAGCGTGCTTTGCGTACCCAGAACTTGAAGTAGTTCGAACTAGGCTCGAAGAACGGAAGTAGAACAGAGGTCCAGATATCTTTAAGCTCGGCATCTGAGAGTTTCGAAGCATAAGCTGGCCAATTACTAACAGCATGCTGGAGGAATGGCGTATTTGTGAACACTTCTGGGCTGATGTACAGATCGTCATCTTCAAGTGCAGCCTCTACCTCTTCGGCAATGCCACCAGCTGAAATGTTCTCGATGGTCAGATACCGAATGCAAGCCGCGAGAAGCTCTATATTACCATCAGACGCATCCAGATATAGCTCATTCTCCCTCGTTCCCTCTAGTCTCGGTGATTGAAGAAACTGGTAAACAGAGTAGTGTGCCAGATCGATCTTTGAGGTTGCCTGAGACTCTCGAATCAAGCTCCCACAAAGCTCAAAGACGTAGCTCTTTTCGCGCAGTGAGCTTCCTCTGACATCATCTAGAGTCTTTGTGTCTAACGTGACGGCAATCCCTTCGACCAATTCTGATAGATCGAATGGTCTGTTAGAAAACATGACAAACTGTAGGATACGCTTGGCAAGCCTTTTCTCTTCTTCGTCCTCGAGCATTTGGAAGGCCTGCTCGAATGTCTTCTCAAGATTGCGGGGTAGTGCTTGGACAAGCTTTGGGCTGAGAACTGTTCGGACGCGGGAGAGATGATCGATCTGGCAGATGACCCAGATGAACCTATAGATGATGATTATCAGCCAGTAATAGTAAGACTTTGTGATTACCTACATTCCATCAGCACGGATGATCAGCTCTTTGATGACCTCCTCGACTTCACTTCCTCGGAATCGACGCTTGCTGAGCTTCTTGCGGACCAAGCTCTCGATGTCGGATGCAACATCCTTCGATGTGATTGTGACTCTGAAACAGGACGAAAAAGCATCATCCAGGCCCATTCCAGCTCTGCTTGCTATGAGAACCTTGAACTCGGTATCTGCCTCGGGTAGAGTCTCCAAGAAGTCCAAGATCTCCCAGTAGCCACTCATTTCGTCCAAGCCATCGATGACAAGGAGAACTCTCTCGGAGTAATTAGAGAGATCAGTGAATAGAGCCTGCAGGTCTTGGAGGCTTGGGTGAGCCGATCGCTTGCGATGTTTTTCGTAGACATTATTCGCAACTTCTAAGACGGCGCTTGGGTGGGAAGATTGTTTGAGAAGCTGGCCTATGAGCGACCCGACGAGATTCGTAGGTGAAAGACTGGATGGGTTGGTGAAGCGACAGTAGTGGTAAACTACAGCATTACTTCCAGACTCAAGCGTAGACTCTTGAAGCGATTCGATAACCTTGGATCTATAGACTTGTTAAACATATTGTATTATAGGGTCTTGAATGCAGAAACTCACATAACCACCGACTTTCCTGAACCCTCTAAGAGAATATTTAGCACTAGCAGCACGTAGGTAAATGCACTTACGTGTTCCGTTCAGGCATAATAATGCTGAACCTGGACAGGATAACCACTTGTTGAATTCTTCCCTCTTCAAAATCCACTCAGCCGATGACGTATCTCGTTGCTTGCATAGATCATCGTGTTCATCTTCTGTTGGTGTGCCAAGCCATTTGATGATCTTTTCTTGTTGCTGAACTGCACAGTATCATTTGAGCGCCAGTTTCGCGAGCAGGAGATAAGTACTTACTTTGACCAGCATCTACCAACTTACCAACTGCCTTCTCAACGCCCTTCTGAGTTTCGTCTAATGACTTCAACTGAGTCACAATCCCTTCCATCTGGATCTGGAGGGTTTCGGATTGAGAGCTAGTTCCATATCAGTATTTCTTCTCTCCTGGGTGGACCAAGAAAGTATTTACCTTTGCTCAAGCTGAAAGCATAGGACAAAGAACATCTTGTACTGCTCAATACGTCGAAGTAACTTCACGGCCTGCTCCTCCCGTCCACCAGCTTTGATCAACATCTCAATGCGATTTGACTTTGAAAGCTTGGCTAATAACTCATCGATAAGCTTTATCGTAAGCTTGCTGTCTTCAATGGTGTTGTGAACAGCCTCCAAATCGACATCGAGAGAGTGAAAGGACTCTAGGTGTGCCTTTACACCCAGCAAGATGCCCGAGAAGTTGGCTGTCTCATTAACCAGCGTTTTTGTGTCGCTCGTATCCTCATTCAACTTGGAGTTCAATTTGTAACCGGCTGATATAACAGCACCCGCGAGGCTCACCAGGCCAGCAATACTGGCAGCGAGCGATAACGGATCCATGATTGCGCTGTGAAAGAAAGATTGAAGAATTGTGTTGAAGCTTGTGAGGGGAATTCAGCCGCACGATAATTCAGTAAGCTCAGTAAGCAGAGTGGTACGAGCCCACATAACTGCAGAGCTTCTTACTGGTTTAGGAAATGCAGCCCGTCTTATCACATAGACTAGTTAGCCCCTTCAACCACATTGGTCAAGTAACGATGGGATTCCGTATGAAAACGGAAAGCGACCCCAGACCCACGCGACATTCTTCATCTTAAATTCGGCACCTCAACCAAGCAGGACATAGTGACTTCGTTGAGTCCATTCACCATAGGGAATAAACAGTAACATATTACACAGAGGCAATCCTCCTTACTATTAATGTTACCAGAGTATGTAGAACCGATTTATCATCTGAGTTTTTATTATAGATTACTGGATCATGAGCTATCTATCTCTTTCCTCTTGCGACCAGCTTAGGCAGTAAAGTTGCGATGAGCAAGCTCATAAACAAAACCAGCAGTAACCTTAGCATGTTGAATGACGTGACCAAAGTCAATATGTGCAATAGTATCGTTAGGAGTGTGGATGTAAGGGTTGTGGTTTCCGAAAGGCGTTTCGAAGAGGAATGACGAGGGGAAGCCGTTGCGATTAGCCGAGGCGTGGTCAGAGCAAGCATAACCGCAGGTAGACTCCTCATAGGGGATATCCGCGTATTCCTCAATAAGGAGCTTAAGGAAGTCATTTTGTGTAGGGCTGGTATTGTCGGTGATGAGACCGAAACGCTCGACTCCGTCACGGCCCTTGTAGCCAACCATATCCTGGTTGAGCATAGCCTCGACTTGTATGCCGAGTCGGGCGTAGTTGTTGAAGATGTCCTGAGATCCGAGGAGGCCAGTCTCTTCAGCTGAGTACCAGTGGAACTCAACAGTGTTGAGATGATCGCCCTTGGCGATTCGGGGATCCTCCAGGAAGGCAGAGAGGAGGTTCAAGAGCATGATAGATGCAGAACCATTATCATCGGCACCAGGAGCACGACCAGCTCCACGGTCGTTAGAAATAACGGAGTCAAGATGAGAACCCGTAACAACAGTCTTAAGACGAACCTGTCCAGGAATCGAGACAATGATCGAGGGCTGCGACCAAGCCTGGTGCTGGACCAGTCGGACCGAGGCATAAGGATGCTTGCTCTTCTTGATAGCCTTCTGGATCTCCTTGTGGAGCCACTCAGCAGCTTCAACTCCGAAGGCAGAGTTGAAGTAGCGGTTGTGGAACGAGGAGAACTTCTTGAGCTGCTTCTCAATGTTCTTGACGTTGACCTTCTTGACGATCTTGTTGACATTGGCTTGGTGAGCGAGCTTCTCGGGGAATTTGCTGGTCGTGCTGGCGAGACGAGCACCTGAGGGAGCGGCACTGTGGTCCTTCCACTCTGTGATGTCGAAGAAGTGAATGTGGTCCTGCAAACAATCAGCAATCAAGCCTCTCTACCTACGAGTATGTTGCACGGGAACGTACGTCAATCATCTGAAACTTCTCGTCCTCAGTAACCTCGACAGTCTCACCGGGTGCGGTCTCTAGTGTGTAGAGCTTCTGCGCGCGCTTTCCGGCTCCAATTGGTGCAGTAGCTGTAGCCGAGGCAGCCAGCGCCGCCATGAGAGGGACCGTGTAACGCATGATGTCTAGTTGGACGGTGCAAGGTCAGAAGATCAGAGAATAGGCCCGATAGCGAAGGTATTGACGAAAGAGGCCTTGCAAGTGGGTTGAAACACGGGCAATGTGGACAGACCATCATCTTTATATACCTGCAGATCCTATGCAAACTCCGGTTGCCCTGGATCTCAATACCACCAAGCCTCGTGATATCTCCATCCCCTGTAAGAAACAATTGGCATTGAACGGTCAATGCGACGTTTTGGTAAACGATTCGTCTGCATCGTCGGTTGCCAAGTCATTGGGTGACATTGCCTACTCCACGTTGGGAAGCTCATGAGGGGAATTGCAAAAGAGCCAAGCGGTGGGATTGAAGGGCATTGGTTAATTAGTGGAAAATCGCAACAAGGTCAGAGATAAACATGACGCGGGTCAGCATTTGTTCCTGGGTAGTATGCAAGGAACGCTGGGCACTTGGCGTTTCCCCGCATCTCGATACTGGATGATACTGGTTCAATTAATGGTCTCGAAAGTCGAAAGTCATTCTACAAAGCAATTAACCCAAGGATAGAATTCATCGTGACTTTTCGTTAGCTTGAACGGTAAAATTTAAGCTTAATTGCAACCATGTCTTCCTCAATATTCACCGCTCCGCATCTTCTTAGCATGCGCTTCAAAAGTTCTTAGAGAGGGGTAATTGGGCTCGGCATTGCAGGAACATGCCCTTATAGGCAGGTCGCTTGGTGATCATCCCACCTTAACCCATGGTTGGAAGGTGACGAGAAGCCTCGGAAGGTGAGCTTTTTGCTGAATAATCCGATGGCTGAGCTTCGCTTCTCTTGGAAACGCATGTTGCTCGAGTTTCTTTCCGCTCAACCACTGGTTACCAACGCGATCTCTTACAAAGACTATACATTCAGCACACTATGCATAAAACTAATTCCTCTTCCAATCTCGTACAACCCTACCAACTCGAAATCGGGCACCAATGTAGATCTTGGTGGCTTATGCTCGCTAGATAAGCAGCGAGGGTCTGTTATCGTCCCCATAACTATCATTATCTTATATTTGGTTAAGAGATGACTTATCTATGTGCCTAAGTTCTCCTTAAACCAAGTCATCGCAATACACCTTTGCTTAAAGACACAATTCACTATCCTCAATATGCACATAAGTCTTCGTGACCGAGCCGGATACCCTATACAAGACGACTCCGATATAGTTGCCCTTACTACTGCTAAATCCGCGAATCAAACATATCTTTACTAGCACCTGGTACTCGTCATTCGTTATCCACCGAGGATTTCTCAAACAATCTTCACCCCTTTAAGGCCTCTATTGATCTGCGTAAGGATTTGGACCCCTGCTCAAGACCTAAGCCAGGCCCACGGACGAGCAGGCAGCGATATTGTCGAACCTGCCTCGAACTCTACATCCTGTTTTTTGAACAAGTCCTTTCTACTAACTCACTTTGCTTCTCTCTTGTTTTTTTGCTTGGTAGACTTCCGTCAATTGATCTCATTTCCAAGATGCTAGCGATATCTTAATGTCTCCCTCACGTCCATGTCCCTTCTGCCCCACGGGGCGCAATGACGTAGTATTTTTAATCCTTCTCATCCTTCGACAAGCTAGCCCAGAACTAAAACAAACTATCCTTCCTCAAACTGGGGATAATCGACAAAAGTATGGGGAATAAGCTTATGGGCTATAAGTTTTTCCAGATTATCTAACCCTTGCATTGACCAAATTGGGAGACAAAACAAGATCATAGCCTCACTTCACAATAGCAAGACCCACCAAGGCTGTGCGACAACACCAGCCAAGACCATTATACGTCATTTCATGTCTCTATATCGATGATCATTTCAGGCAACATTTTTATTGTCTTGATCATTGAGAAGATCGTCATACTGTTTCATTTATAGTCCGAGTCTTGGCAAGTTCATGATGGATATATAAGGGCACCAATTTCAGCTCGACTTTTCGAAACATCAGCAATTCATCAGCCTCAACTTACGATCCCAGTATACTTGCAATCTTTTTCCAAGTCCATACTCGTCAAAATGTACTCTGTTCTTCGGATCGCTAGCTTGATGGCCTTGATTGGCTATGCTCAAGCTGATTTCGCAGTCGGCACTTCTGCATCTCAAAGTATGTACGCATCTCCCTTCTGTTGCCGCCTTTGATTCTAACCTTGACTTAGTGGGAATCGGAGAGATTGTTCCTGATACTGGAGGTGACATCTATAACACTGACGCAGTTGCTGTGTCGTACCCAGGCGGCTGTCTCGACAACGTCCAGCAATTCGAGGTATGTTTAAACCCCGAAAGACTTTAAATTTCCTTATGCTAATGCCCTTCTGGTGTGTTTCTGAGAGGTGCCTTATCGAAGGCTTCTTTGAGATCCGAGGACTGAAGACGGAGGATCAGTACGGTTTCAACTGGAATGGCGAAGGCTGGGAGTTCTCACAGAACAGCGAGATCTTGGGCTTCTGTACCAAGAACGACGATGAAGGATGCACCAAGACAGGAGTAAACTACTCACTCGGATTCTTCTCACACATGCTTTGCACCGGTTCTATCAACTCTGGGTTCTAGAATATACTATACGCATATAATTTAATTACTTCAGCCTTATTGGACCTGAAAGCCTCTCTGAATCGCGTCATGTGTCCCACTTCTCGTCAGCCCCATTGCGTATGCGAGCTGCGCTGCAGGTTGCGGAGTGGCTGCTGGGCCCGTAGATAAGGCCAGTATCAGCCCTCACATCCACCCAATGGAACTGTTATCTTTAAGAGTCGGCCCAGAGTGCTCGAGTTTGCAAGCCGCTTATCTCACTTTAGTCAAATCTACAGGCATGTTACTTCCGATCAGTTGCGTGCAATCTCCCTTGCAGATTCTTGAAACAATAGCTTTCCCCGTAAAACATTACCCGAGTTTCTTTCCCTTGCTAAAGACATCGGCTAACCGTCGCTACACTCGGGAGAGCGGGCGGGTAACCCGGATGGTCCGGGCGCTACTGTTGGTGCGTATTAGCCATGACGCTTGATTCGCTCAGTAGCTAATCCTGGCTTCAGCTCATTTCTCACTTGCCTTGGCTGTCCTATCTAGGCAGGTCATGTAGGGGATAGACGCATGGCCAAGGAGGCAGGATAAGCTGATGACTTGATTAGAATTTCTGAATTTCTCTTATGGATATAGAATGACTACGAATTATTTAGATTGATTATTTATAAGTTTAGACAGAATGCTTAGAATCTCGTGTATGACACTTAGTCGCGGCATGTTTGCCTCCTGATCCATTAATCAATTTACTGCTTGGGAGGGACATTCTATGGAGGTGAGGCAGACTATCACCAAAACAACTCGCCGAAATGGGAACTGTACAGTACTAAGGCTGACAGGTAAGGTAGGCAATCTGAGACGCCACTAAGCAAGGATGTAAGTCTGTCAACCAACAGATGTAACCTTGCCATACATATATTCATAAAGGAAATCCATAACGGCGACTTTTGTCTATCTGTATAATCTGTCTCTCTCTTTCTCTCTAAATCAACCTCTCCAAGTCTTGCATTTTTGAAAAAGATGTCTTGGAAACGTTCTTCGTTGGCTGATACCGGCTTCTTCTACGATGAAGACCTCCGAAATCAAGACATGGACCCTCTCCCGCCCCATGTTAAAAGTCTGGAACAGGCAATGCTTGACTTTACATGCCAGAACTTTGACCCTACTACTAAAACAGATCTGAATATCCAAAATGAAGCAAAAAGACTTGCCAATGGGGGTTTCAGTGAAGATCGCTGGGACGATTTCTTTCGAGCCTTTTTTCTCGACCCACTAATGGAACGTGCCTCGATCTCAGGGAGGAGACCTCGCATGTCAGTATAAACCTCCATCTTAGGGCTCTTCGCCGATATTCATTCTCCCAGATCCTCACGATGCCAATACTACTATGACTCTATAGTGTTGTAAGTAGCTTCCAAAGATCAAGACGGGAGACAGAAACTTACAATAACAGCGATACAGATGCCTTATGGACAACCTTCAATAAAAGAAAAGAAAAAAGTCAACTTTTAAAAACTCCGAAGCCCGATCTCGTCTTCTGTCTTCCGATGTATCACCCGGACTCTCATATACCTACGGTAACTCTTCACGAAGCGCGGGAATGGCACAAAGCAACAACGCCATCCCTCGTGGAACCATTCTCATGGTCCACTTTGAAAGATCTACATCAACATGGCTTGAAACCTACTCCCTTTAATATTCTCAATACGAAGACCCCCCTAGAAGCAGACTTGATTTCCTATCCTTGGCTTATTGTCGAATACAAAAGAGCAAAGGGCAAAGCAAGGAGCACCACTGCTGGACCCAGGCAACTGGAGGAGGTTGTTTACTGTCAAGCAGCGAATGCAAGTGGATGTGCCGTCAAGCTGAATCAGAATGCCGCGGAGTTCGCTGTTCAGTTGGCCGATGAAGCACAGGTCCCTCCTGTTCCAACTATTACCACAGTCGGACCCCAAGTCAAGGTGTGGATAACCTTTTTTGCTAAAGATTTCATGGCATATCGCTTCAAAGATAAGAAGAATCAGCAATTCCATGGATACAAAGAGGGTTATGTGAGTGCAGATTGAGATTCAGCAACGAAACTATACTAATACTCCCGCCAGATAATGCAATGTATCTGGACAGGTGACATGACTGAGCCTCACGATATTTTGAAATTCCGACTCATACTGGAAAACACATATACCTGGGCCATTCGGGTGTTCAAGCCATTGGTGGCCACATATATCGATCAATGGAGGTTTGCTTACCCTGCTGATAGCCCAAGCTTGGCGAGCATGGCAAGGGCACGTCAACAAGATAAGTTGGAGCTCACAAGGAGCACAGTTCGATCAATTCAATGTGCTCTAGATCCTCAGCTAAACCCCAAAGCTGGCAAGGATTGGCATCGTGGTGTTTCGATGAGGCTGAGGGATCTCTGCGAGACATTCGTCCAAGACGTAGACCAAATGATTGAAGAGGAGCTCGAGTCCTCGCGCAGAAGTGCACGTGGAGCTAGCAAACAATCTCGGGGATCAAATCATGCCGCAGGATTCAACAGCAATGGCCCGAGAAACATTGAACACGAGGGCCTGCAACCCAAACAGTCTGGGAGTCCTGATTCTGCAAGCATGACTCCACTGAGTGCTCCACAGAGCATGCCACCAAGCGAAACGAGTGGTGCAGTTGAGGTAGTCTCGTCATATCTCAAAGCAGGCATGGCAGTTTGGAGCAGCTGGGGTACCCAACAGACGAGAAGACCGGAGTAATCATCTTGCACCACCAATTGAGATTGAAATGGTGTCGAACTATGGATAATCAGTGTATCTAGGAATAGGGGATTTCAGGGCTGTTTTAGGTAATGTTCTATCAGAAAGAGACGTATAGGAAGTTGGTAAGGATTAACTGCTAGGTGAGACATGTATGAGTGTATTTCTTTAGGTGAATAGTTTTCAATATTGCTCGACATATAGTTGCAGAAGGAGGATTGTATTATACTGTATTATTAGCTAAATTTCTATCTATGTGTAGACAAAGCTTGAGCAAGAACTATCAATGTCTCACTACTGTTCTCTCCTATGCTCTTGCTTGCCATATTAAAAGTTGTATGCCCTTCGTATTAACTGGTGATGTGCGGCAATTGAGCCGAATGTAGTGGTATGTTTCGTCGCATTGCATTCCCACGTTGGTCATTGTGTCAGCAGCAACCATGTTCTGACTTTATTCGGAGATACAAGTTGATTATTGATTGGTCTCTCTGCAAAGTCAGCACCTGCAAAGCGTGAGATGCTACGGCGCAGTTTCAGCCGCACGACCAACAACCGACACATCAGTCCACCTTGAAGACAAAAATCCCGAATTTCGCGTCAGCTCCAGGCACCAGTTGTCAATAATAGATACGAAGTAGCCTTCAATATTTAAAGATAGGATTTCTAATCGCTTTTCCTTTGCTATATTTCTCCTCCTCCATCTGAAGTATTGATTTCTCTGTTTCAACGTTATGGCACTTACAATGTCCGCCGGCAGCTTGGTCAGCACTGGTGTCTTTGGCACTGATGTTGATGATGAGGTCTCACAGATTTGGAAACAAGTCGAGATTCGCGTTTTGCAGATGGCAGGTGGAGATTGTTCCAAGATCAAACCGGACCTGGACATAAACAGCGTCCTGCAACATTTGGATCAATCCCAGTCCAAGGACAAGAAGGCGTCTGAGAATTATGGTCCTGTTAAGAAATTTTTCAACCGAATGCTTCAATGCATCCAGACCATCGGGGGCATCGTCGCAGATGGGGCATCATTTGTGCGTTTCAACTTCTATCTCCCATTGTTATACTGACGATTGGCACAGGTATTTGCTCTAGCTGGTACCAGCTACAATGCTCTCGCCTTCGTGATCCGGGCATGGTAGGGTTATGAGGGTATCTTCGAAAGCCTTGCCAGCCTTCTTGAGAAGTGTATTGAGTTTCTAGAACGACTTACCTACTACACTGACTATGGGATGGATTCGAAGCTCACCAAAATCGCTTGTCAGCATCTCCAGATCTTTGTGGACATCTGTGACCATACCCTCAAGCTGCGCTCAAAGTGGAGCAAGTTTGCTGCTTCCATGAAGCAGATGTTCCTCAATGACGATGGCGTGCAGGAGCTACTAGGTGCCATGAAGAACCTGGTGGAAAAGGAGCATGGGCTCGTGTCTGCACAGACTTGGAAATCAAGCAACGAAGCCGCCGCCAACTCTAAGGACGGATTGAATTTGACCAGGAACATGCATACCAGCCTGGTTGACGATAGGAAGCAGAAGCAGCATGAGAGAGATATAAACAGTTGGAAACTCATCATTGTCAACGCACTGGACTTGGACCGTACCATCATCGAACCTGGTCGTGAACCATGGGATAAGATGTGGAAACGACACAAAGGCAACATCCTCGAGGGCACCGGTGAGTGGCTTTTCCAAGACTCTCGCTTTACTCGTTGGATTTCGGGCTCTGAAGATTCGAAACGTATCCTGGCTCTGGGGGGCGAAGAAGGGGCTGGAAAGACACCCCTTGCATCTAATGTCGTCGTTCATCTTCGCAAGATGAAGGGGTCGGGAAAAAGAGTTGTCACTGCACATAACTTTCTTGACATTGATACCAAATCCACAACAGACGCCAACGATGCCAACATTATCTCCAGATACGTCATGTGTCAACTCGCCTTAGCCGAAGATCCCGTCATGAAGAGCGTCGCAGGCATTTGTGAGAAGTCCCAGTCCTTTAGCAGCGCGTTGGACATGTGGACACAGCTTCTCCTCGAGAACGAAGACCTGCTAGCTATGGATGTGACATTCTATATCGTACTCGATGGGCTAGGTGCCAACGCTGAGGTACTGATCAGCTTCTTACAACGATTCTCCGACAATCCGATCATTCAGAGAGCTCGGATACTTCTGACAGGAAACAAAGAGCTCTTTGACGCCATTAATTTGGCCGGTGGTGTTAAGATGGACAAGATTGTTCTCGGCGATGCAAACAGCAAGGACCTTGTCTTGTACATCAACAGGCGGATGGACAGTATGGAAATCCTCAAAAACACGTCTAGGCCAGGTGTCTCTGAATTAAGGACCAAGATTCTCTCATCACTACAGTCTTCTACGAGGGGAGAAACTACAAGATCGAGCGAGTCCATGACAATATCTCCAAAACGGACGATGTCGAAGAGATTGATGCTCTACTGGAATCAGCTGGCAATGTACGGCCTGACCAGATCGAGTCTGATATCGAGAAGCTAAACCAACAGCGCACGCCAAAGGAGATCGCAGAGATTAATGAGATGATTCTTTGGGTCAACGATGCACGAATTTGGTTCTCACCAGCCCAGATCGAAGCAGCACTCGCCCTCAAAGCTGGCCCCAAAGCAAGCACCTCGCTCATGTCAATCGAAGCCAAGATTGCGTCAAAGTACACCATCTTTACAACCGATTCCGGTTTTGTGCAGTACAAACTTGGTGCTATACAAGAAAGGATTCCGCTCAAGAAACGAGATGTCGAGGACAGTGAAAGTTCCAGTGGGTTCAAGGATATACAACCTGCCGAGGTTAATATCATCAAGCACTACCTCACAACTATCTGTCCAAGCGACCTATACCAGAAGTTTGGATTTGATGATTTCTTCGATTTGAAGATGGCTCGTAAAGGTAACTATATCTGTCAAGACCCAGACAACTCCCAAGCTTCTATGGTATTGCGCTGTATAAGCTGCCTTACCGATCAGCGCAACGAAAAGACCGAGCGTCTTTTGGACTATGCCTGTGACAACCTCCACGTTCATCTGAAGGAGACCGACCTATCTCTGACAGACCGTTCTCTCAAGGCTCAAGTTGGCGATACCTTGCTCAGACTCTTTACGGAGCAGTATGCTCTCGACTTCTTGTTTGGCTTTCACTTGCTTCACGAGGATGCCGATGAAGTGCAATTCTCCAAGGATCATCTTCCTGCGAGTTGGAAAACATGGATTTTATCGGATCAAGGAGTCAACTCACTTACTAAATGGCTCAAGGACTCTGCTGTCATCGAGAATGTCAAGAGCACGGCATTGGTAGCTTCGTTTAACGCACCTGATGCCAATCGCCACTTGGCTCTTTTCGGCTCGTCTGCAAAGTTAGCGGCTGAAGACTTGTTTACAAAGGACACAACTCAGCGGGAGGCTATTCGGGCCTATATACTCCTTGATACGATTCTCAACAAGGTATTCAACCTTTTCTCATCATGGAGTAACATTGCAACGAATTAAAGCTTTCTAGGACAAATCCCCCACTGATAAAAGTGAGCAAGTAAATGATGGCGATCAATCAACAGAGACAGCCCCAGGAGATGACAAGGAGAAGAAGACAGAAGATGGTGAAGACGTAGATTCCGTTCATAGCCCGGCATCAGCAGATATCCACTGGCTGGAAGATTGGGCACAAGAGATGCTCAAATTCCAGGAGAAAGGCTCAACATGGGAGGCCCAAGCATCACTACTTCTCTCTTATGTGGCAGGTGAGAAGATTCCCAAGTCACTTGCAGAAGAGAGAGCACGAAAGGCATTGGAGATGAATCCAGAAAGTTGGGTCGCCTCCTACGCACTGCCCCGAGTCATCGAATCGAAGGAGGAGTCTCTCAGTCACTTTGAGACGGTGCTTGATAAGCTCGTGAAGGACACGGAATGGCAAAACGAGCGAGGCCACAAAGGAATCTTACCACGAGTCATCTACAGTCTTGGAGACAAGTACTGGGAAGATGGGGAACGACAGGAGGAGGCTATCGCGACATACTCCAAGGTCTTTGACCTTGGTAGGTCCATCCATCTTTTCAGTAGCTTCTCGGATGTTCTCCAAAAGTACTCGATGGCTTGCTGCTGGGAACCCATGATCACTTTCTTTGAACGACTGCTCGACGAGCCTCAGGACGGCCCCAACGCAGCAGGAGAGTTCCTGATGGATAGACTTCTGGAACCCGGGGAGGCATTCCTTTCGCTGCTCGTAAAGCTTTTTGAAACATTCGCAAGATATGATCTTCTGGAAACACTGTTTGTTCGGGCCATTGCAAAGGCCACTTCCAGGGGTGACCAAGACGATCTCTTCACAATCCGATACTACTACGGCAAGACTCTCTTTAGTATCAAGGACCACGTAGAAGCTGATATTGCGGTATGGGAGCTCTATAAGAGCGAGGCTACGACTGAGCTTCACGAGCGGGCTGTTAACCTCATCGATACCTATATGGTGCCCGCATGGCTAGAGCTTGCAACTGCCAAGGATGTCGATCCAACAAGGGCTTAAGGCTTCTTTGACAAAATTGAAGCAGCTTATATTGAGTTTGAGGCTCTTGAGTCGCATGCTATCGAGCCTACGGTTGCCTTTGTGCAATACTTCAGATGCCGCGGTAACACCGACAAAGCCAAGCAGATACTGCGACCGCGTGTAACAGAAGCACTGGAGATGCTCTCTGACGACCGCACTGACAATGATCTCTACTCACTATACAACCTCGGACACATATTGGCAGTAATGCGAGACCTTCCTAACCACATAGCCTGCATGGATCTGATGCGCCGCATCGCCAGGGCAGAGTATACCAGGGCCGTAGCCAATTATGAAACAGAGGATATCCAAATGGAAATTGCTATGGCAAAAGGCGAGACGTTTATTCGAAGCTTTCTATCGTTGCCTGACGAGCCTGAGACGGCGTTTTTCTGGTGTGATGGATGTCGAGCCGAGATCACCTTTGCGAGTGAGATTTGGACGTGTCTGAGCGAAAGTGGAAGTATACAGCTAGATGATAAGTGCTACAAGAAGCTCAAAAGGGAAGGTTGGGACCTGTGTGTAGTAAGGAACATGAACACTATTGGGTGTCGAAGCGAAATGTGGAGGAGATTGATGCGGTGCCAGTGGGCTCTGTCAAGCTGAGAGAGGAGATTATTTCCTTTGAGGCATGGAAGGATAAGATACGAGAGCAATATGTTAGTAGCGGCATAAGCACATAAGCTAGAGAGTTCTCAAGCATTCTTTAGTAGAGGAGCAATGATACATGTATTACTAAGAGACAGGTCCCTAACTATCTTCAACCATCTTCAACCATCTTCTCAACTTCCAGTGTCTCTAATACATATTCACCAACCACTTAGTAGCGGACGATCTCCATGCGCTTCTTGAGACGGAAAGCAATAGCACGCTTTCGGGAAGCAGCAGACTGGGTGAAAGCACCAGATCCACCGAAAGGACCAGCAGCAGCGCCATTGCGGACACGAACGATGCAGACGTTGTTGGCTCCTCCGACAGAGCCTTCACAAGTCATGCCCTGGGGCATCTGGACCTTGAGGGGGAAGTCGGTGTTGGTAGCGAGGGAGAGACCCTGGATGCCGATTCCAGGAACATCTTGGGTCACCTCTGCGGTTTGGAAGGCATCGGGGTCCGTGCCGCCGGAAGTAGCGTCGATTTCAGCTGTCATTGGGCCGGCACCGTCTTGGTTGATCTGAGGGAGTTAGTCGAGGAACTTAGGAAAGATGGATAAGACTTACCTGTCTATAAGTCATGGTGACCTCGCCGTTATCAGAAGCCGTCGGCAAGCCCTTGCTAGCTCCCTCTCCAGCCGTAGCAGCAACGCTAGTCTCTTCAGCTGTCTCGGTCTTCTCGCCACCTCCTCCACGGCCACCACCGAAGAGTCCACCCAAGAAGTTACCCAACTGACGCCTCTGTCGGTTGTTGTTGCCCTGGTTGTTACCCTGGGGCAAGTTGGACAAGTCGTCCTCGACACCAGTAGCACTTTCAGTGCCGTTGTTGGTAGGGACGTTGTTAGCGTTTCCGCTGCCCAAAAAGTTGGAGATCATGACGGAGGCGTCAACAGGCCCGTTACCCTGGGTCCTGCCCAGAGCGCTGGCCTCTCCACTGCGGATCTCACGATCGCGAATGATGGAGGTGTCGGCTTGAGAACCGCATCGGTTGCTTGAGCAATCACGAGGAGTTCCGTCAGCAACTGTCTATTGTTAGTGATTCCGTTATATACTACCAGGTGAGATGGCAACTTACTGCTAAGACCAGGCATGGTAACTCCATTAGCTCCCTCAACAGAGAGGACGACTCCATGAGCAGAAGCCATGGCGAAGAAGGCGGAGACAATAGCAAGAGAATGCATTTTGAAGGTTGTATAGATCAAAAAGGATTATTAAAGTTTGTGTTGCTGAAACTGAGCCGCCAGGGCTAACTTGAGGCTTTCTTAGAAAGGAAGTGAAGAGAAGAGAAGATGATTGAGATGCTGTTGGATTATTTTCCAAGATGTCGAACAATCAGACTCTTATATACAAATTATCGTCTATATCATCAGTTTTCATGTTTGATACCAAACTCCTCGGTTGTCGGCTCCATGCCCTCCCCGGCGCTGATCATCAGCGATCATCAAATCGCATCACGAGAAACCCCATCCTCAGCTTCAGGTCATTGTTTCCATTTGTCTCAACGCCTCTCACAGCCACATATTCTGTTCAGTTCACGAGTCTCAAGTCGCTCACCCATGTTTCAAAATTCTTGGTGTTTCATGTTTCGCTCAGACCCCCTACGGATCTAACGTTGCACCCAGAAAACTGACACGTGAAACTCTCAGCTCTAACAATTCGGAGAATTCTTGGCTTTTTTGGTGAATGCGATTGGTTTGTCAGATTTTTTGTCTGTGTCGAGGTTTTTAAACACCAAGACGTTTGAACTCGTGATTCCTCACGTCGGCCGCCGCGTATTATTAATAGAGATCAACCCTGGGACTAACGCGCAATTAGCGAAGAGTTTTAATGGCTTTGTTTGCGAGAGAATATTCTTCGATCGGCGCTAGTAGGTTCGTGTTTTTGGTGATGAAACCGGAAACGAAGAGTACCAGGTAGGCGCAGTTCTTCGTGAACAAAAGACCAAGACCAAAGGAGAAGCGATGACGGCTAAGCCGAAGTATTGATGTCTTCTATTGTTCTTCCCATCATTTGCAGTTTAATCGTTGCTTATGTCATGGTTGCGCTACTTGATTCTATTTAATTCCTGAAAAGTGATATGCTGTTGCTAGTGGATGTGAGCAGTGATAAACCTTCCTGTTTATGCAAACACATTCTGTCGTTTATAAACAATTCATGCGTCATTCTAAGTTCTTAGACACATTTGAGTTTATTCTTCCTGGATGCGAATCCATGTGCACCTAATCTTTTCGGCCGAGTGCCGAGCCGGCAGATCTCGGCTTTCACTCCACCAGGAGTCTCACGATGCTGAAACAGCCACTTGGCGTCCCGTTTTGACAACGTTTCACCGCCACTTTTTGGGCTTGACACATTCAGCTTTCTTCTGCCTAAGTATTAAGTTAAGAATTAGACGCTCATAGCTTAACTCTGAAGAAGAGGCGGTTCCATCTGTGTCAAAGCGTCATAACTGCTACCCCAAGCTCCAGAACGTTTTCTGTGTCAAGTTCCAAGACTTGGCTTCTATCGCGAGGTCACTGACCTGTCGCAACTTTTGAGGGCGAGAGGGCTATGCAAGAATGAAACGTCGCAGATGGGCAGTATCTTGCCCAGATCGGAAAGGCATGCGAGCTGAATCGGCGTTTGGAATCATTCTCGAGTCTGTTGGTTGAAGAGGTCCTATTAGTCAAGATACGCAGCGCGACAAAATGATTTCGATTCTCCCGTTTGAAAGGAAAGAGTTCGTTGCACTCTCTGGCACGACACTCGACCAAGGCTGTAATTGAGTTGTGTCGATCATCTCATCCCCATGCTCGATGCCGCGCTCAATTGACTATTCCTACGAGTGGCTTTTAAGCCGAAGTACTTGTCATTTGTGAGAAAAGATTTAATTGGAATACAGACTAAGAGTTCACTCAGCTGACTTGAGTAGTATGTACACGACACGATCTGCTAGCTAAGTAACAAGAAAGAAAAACACAAATGCGACTCGGAACTACCAGAAGCCTCCATCTACCCCTGGTTGATAGGATCGTTGATAGGATCAACACCCTTTGCAGTACCAATACGAGCCTCGAACCAAAATCGAAGTCTCTCAACCAAGCCACGGTCCTTCATGAATCGCGCAAACTCAGCTGGGTTGGTAGCAGTCTCGTTGCGAAGATCGGGGAAACCTTCTGGGGTGGCGATATCGCGACGAACAGACCAAGTACCCATAGCAGTCTGGTACTCCTCGCTAAGAATGAAGTTGTGAAGAAGCTTGGCTCCCTCAGGGTGAGGGGCATCCTTGAGAATGCCGGCATATTGCGACCAAGAGACATATTTACCCTTTGTAGGTTGGGAGAATTTGAGAGGCTTGGATTCGCCGAAACCTCCGCCAGCAGCGAAGTAGGCAGCTTCGGTGGCGTTCTTCTGGCTGATGATGGCGCCGGGAGTTGCCGTTCCACGAACCCAGCGAGGGTTCTGCTTGAGGAGATCCTCGAACCAGGAAGCTCCGTACTCTTGCATGCTGGAAACTGGTCAGCTTGGATCGCCGTGAGAGACGTGAGGAACTTACATGAGATAAAAGGCGAACAGAACCGCGTCGTCGTCGTTGGGGTAAGTCAGGACGAGCTTGTTCTTAAACTCAGGTCGAAGCCAATCGGTGTACTCTGCGGGTGCCTTGATACCGCGAAGCTTCTCTGTGTTCCATGCATTGGCCCAGAAGAAGATATACACTCCATACCAATACGCCGTGCTATCCTTGAAAGCATGATCGATTTGATCAAAGCCCTTGGGGGCGTAGTTGAGCAAAGCGCCCTCTTGAGCCCAGCGCGGGTAATCGTTCAGGGTCTGCAGGATCACGCTGTCGACATAAACTGACTTTCCACCAGCAGCGAGTTGCTGATCGACTCTGACGTCATGGTACTTGGAGAGATCGACAGTGACATTGAGCTTGATTCCGGGAAAACGCTTCTCGAAAGCTTGTTTCAGACCGGCTTGTTGATTGACTGCATCTCCGCCGTGCCAGAGGGTGACGGTGTCTCCCTCCTTCAAGGCAGCTTTGTAGATCTCATCGAGGCTTCTTGTTTCGACCTCGACTTTTTCGTTGAATCCGAGGACTTGGTCATAGCTCATGACAGAGCTAGCCAGAAAGGCGAGCGAGAACAAAGAGTGCTTCATATTGATAGGCTTGAATGATGAGAAGATGATGCTCTGGACTTGTATGAACTGATGAACGGGCACTGGGTATTTATACAATTGTTCCCCGATACGAAAACTTGATTTAGCCTACGTTACATAACTCAATCTCAGTCGGAAATACCGCGACGGTGTTTCCGGCCAAATCGTGGATAGAGTTTGTTAATGCCGATCTCGCATGATGGCTTATATGAGTACCGGGATTACGTGATGCCCCCATGTTTCTACGATTCCTCCAATGAGGAGCACGATTGATTATCGACGCGCGCGGTTCGGAGGGGCAGTGGGATAGACCTCATCCCGCCGACTCTGCTTAGTCGTCATTTTCGTACTTGGCCTTCCTAAAGAGAACAAGAAGTGGGCAGTCGCATTACGTGGTTGACTATATTTGCGACTCGTAACGAGGCTCAGCTTGAACTCAAAATTGGCTGGGGTTACTTTTTCAGAAAGAATCCTCGTGACAGCTCGTGATACTAGCTAATGAGAACCCAGCAACCTATGAACATACTGAAGGCCCTGCAATTACAGGTACCAATTGTGTTTCCTATTGGCTGCAGTTACGATTAAAAGGTGTTACCCAGTCACGGACTTATGTTGTTCTGGTCCGGTTTTGGCATATGACGTTACTTCATGGTTCCATTACACTATGGATTATCCACCGCCTGACTCAGGATACTTGCTACTTATATACATGACAGCAGCCCAAGCTATTCCACCAATTATGCGAGTGTCTTCTCGCCCTTCTCAATAATGGGAGGAGGACGCGGGATGTCCTTGCGAAGGACATAGCGCTTGAAGATATATGGCAGCCAGACCTTTGTCTCATGAGACAAGAAGCTTTTTGTAGGGACGGAGAAGACCTCTTTATGTTGTGTTAGTAACTGTATCTAATTGGTATTATAGTGGGGAAAACTTACGATCCAATTCCTCAAGGGTCATCTGCTTCGTCTCACGAACGAAGCAGAAGATCATACCCCAGGCAATGAGGTTAAGCCCAGCATAGAAGCCGAAAGCTCCTGTGGGTGTCATGACAGTCTTCATACGAGGGAATGTCAAGCCAAGAACACCGGCGAAGGTGTTGTTGATGCAGACAGCCCAAGCCATACCCTGCTCTCGCTGGATGGTGGGGAAGACCTCGGCTGAATACTGGAAGGCGACAGGTCCCTCTCCCAGACAGTAGGCGATGGTGAAAAGGTAGACGAACAGAACAACGGGACCAATGTTGGCAGCTCGGTTGTCGCTGTTGTTGAGGAGTGAGAGACCACCAGCGAGAAGGAAAATACACATGAAAGGGAAGGTAGCCAAAGTCAAGAATCGTCGTCCCTTGGTATCAATCAGGAAGAGAGTAGGAATGGTGAAAACGACCTGAATAGCACCGTAACCCAGAGAAGCATACAGAGCCTCGTCGTGGCTGTAACCAGCCTCTCGGAAGATACTAGAGCTGTAGAAAGAGATGATGTTGATACCGCACATCTGCTGGGCCAACATGACAGTGCTAGCGCCGTAGTTGGCACGTCGAATCCTAGGAACAGCGAAGCAGTCCCAAAGACGAGCAAAGTAACCAGCGCCGGCATTCTCGCGAAGCTCCTCGTGGTAGATGATGTAAGAGTAGTAGTAATCGCGAGCACCGATGATGGGGTGAGCTCGAAGCTTGGACATGGAGACGAATCCATCGGCGATACGGCCGTGCTTCATCAGCCAGCGAGGAGATTCGGGGCAGAAGTAGATGCCGACAGCGAGGAGGAAGGCGGGGATGAAAGCAGAGCCGAGTTCCAGACGCCAGGCGATATCTCCGATATCCTTGACGATGACATTGGCACAGAAACCGAGGAAGATACCTATTGCTGTTAGTACTCCGACCTGATTGAGAGAATGTGAGAGGCGTCTTACCAATGACGACCCAAAGCTGCCAGAACATGACGAGAGCACCTCGAATTCGAGCAGGGGCCATCTCGGCGGAATAGATAGGCACAGTAGCGTTCTTGGCACCAATACCAATTCCCATGATGAAACGGATGGCAAAGAGCTCTTGCCAGTTCTTGGCGAAACCTGAAGCGATGGGGGTAGCAACCAAGCAACAGGCTGTGATGAAGATCTCTCCACGTCGGCCGAAGTAGTGGTTGAGAGGATCGACGATAAAGGCACCGCTAGAGGCAGAATGTCAGATGAAGTCAGGATATCGTAGGTGAAATTTGAAGCTTACATCAGACCAGCAGTCAGGAAGATGATGGAGTTGATGATACCAACAATCCACTCATCGCGTCCCTTGCCATCAATGCCAAACTCCTTGGGGAATGAAAGATTAGCGCCATTGGCACCTGTCTGATCCCATCCCTGCGTAGCAGCACCCACGGCACAAAGACCAATTGAGTACCACAGCATCTTAGACCCATGCCACTTGTGGTCTCTCTCATAGATGAGAGCAGCGCGTTCGTCGTCGAGAAGGTCATGGGATTCGAAGTTGTCGGGGTCACGGGCGATGAGAGCTGCTCGGCCGAAGAGGTCAACATGCTCAGACATGCCATTGGACTCGGCAAAGGCGCGAGCGTCGGCGACGACTTGATCCTTGGTTTTGCTCTATAATACTGGTGAGTAATGGGAAAATTGAGATGGTTTGCGGGTTGAATGTACCTGGAGAGGGTTCTGAACAATGTTGAGAGCGACGGAGTGGCGACGACCCTGAGAAGCATGCTCTAGAATCTCAGCACCTCCCTTCTCAGGCGGAGGCGTAACGGTCTTGTCATCGTAAGACGAGCCACCGTGGCCAGGTGAAATATCCTTGTCATCCATGTTTAAAGTCCAGTAAATCAACAGTCAGGACAGTGAGAAAAAGAAGAGGAGAGACACTGCTGAAACAACAAGATCTTCATAACCTGAGGCTGTATTATATATAAGCTTAAATTTAAAGCACGGCAGTTGGCAACCCTCTGGGGTCAAACTTGGCAATCCGAAGATGCCCACCCTTGCCAAGCCCAGGCAGCAGGTTAACAGTCTTGGCCGGCATGATATCACCTCGCGCCAAGAATGTGTTGGAGGTGTGCTACCCCGTGGGATCAACGCGGAGAAGATGCGCTCATTGGATCAGATCACTAGAGTGGGACCGGTGCAGGACTTTTTGCTTGCTTATGCTGGTTTACTCTGCAAATTGAAGATCATTTCCTTCTCTACGGACTGATCAATTGCTGTCAATTCGCAGGTCCTTTGTCAGATTGCCCTGTTGTTATGAGGCATATCGACCTCAGATCAGAAGCACTAAGATTACTGAGATATCCCCAGCTTCCATCTCATGCGGAGAAACAGAAAAAAGAGTGGCTTTAGGCACCGAAATTCTTTCCCCCTTCTTCCCCTAAAAACCAAGCTTTTCCTTTGTCCTCCCCGCTTACCCCACATGTTGTGCCATGGGGATACAACCGCGAAGTCTTGGCCCATCCTCCGAAATACTCCACTTGAGCAATTGATCCAATCATTGATATGTTTATTTCACTGCCTGTTTTTTAGATCAGGAATTTAGTCTGAGCTTTTTGGGGAAAACGGGCGTTGGAAACCATGTGAAAGGAAGAGTTGGGGACTAAGTGGGACGGAGAGTTGCAAGAATACGGGTGCCTAATTGAGGTTATTGAGCGTTGATCAGTTGATGAAAATTTTGTCGGCGAAGGTGAGATGATTGAGCTCGGGTATCTCGGTCAATGTCGTTGAGGATTGATCATTTCATGTCTTGCATGGTCAATGCTACCCTCTGTGGCTTGAGACTTGAGTCGATTGACTGGGCAGCCGTAGGCGAGCCTGCCGCTATTGAAACGTTCCGGGCCATTTCTGTCAGCAGTAAAATTGAGTTGAGACGAGCCATTAACGTTATAAATAAAGTTAAAATGCGATCGTCGTTGTTTGTGTTGATCAAAGTTTCACTGCGATCGCGATCATCAGCGGAACAACAAATTCAACAAGCGGCTTCAACGTTCAAGATGACGATGACACTCTAATAAGTCACCCTGGTTCATCGGAACATTTCACGATAGTCGAGATGCTTCCAGCCATGCTCGCTAACCCAAACAACACTAGCCAAATTGCGGCTCAATCGAAGGTATCAAACTCGCCTGAAGAGCGTTGTTTGGTAATTGTCATTCCCGAGGGTTCCTTTGTATTCAGAATCATACTATGGCATGAAGATTTATGTAACAAATACCTACCAACGTCTACCAAAATGACCAGGATCCTTCCATGTTTCGCTCAACTCAATTTCGTGATCAAATCCTGTCGCGTAGCGACCAACGCGTCTCCACTCTTGCCGTTTTCTCTACAACGTGCATCGGGTTGTATCGGGAATACCGGAAATGGCCTCAAAATCTCTGAAACAGGACCATGACCGCATACCAGGATGATACGAGCTATTCCCGCTCATACGCTGGGTCCAGTAAGCAGGAATGGAGGAGCAACACGTGAGATTAAAGAAATGCGCTGGTAAGACGGGAGGTAAGAAGAAGCTTAGTAGCCAAGATGTCCAGCGGAGTAAAGCGCTCCATTGGAACTCGTTCGGGTAAAGTGTCGGGGCCCCGTGGGAAAAATTTGGTGGTCTCGCGTGCCTTGGTTTTGATCCTGTAAATCCGGGGCAACGACATGCAATGTCTTTGGGTATTCGGTCCTATACCTTGATCTGCGCTTTGTGTTACCAGACTCGGATAATCATGCAACTTTGAGATCCTTGCTGAAATGTCAAACCAACAGATTCAAGAATAAAACGGTAAGAGAGTCGGAGCGGAACCGAAGGTGGATATGTAAATCCTCGATATCTTATATTTCCACTGTAACGGCCATCATAACTCATTTTATACCCTAACACAAGCATGACAACTAATTGAGGCGCAATGATATTTTAATTATCACTAGTTAGTGATTCAGGGTCCTAAAGGCCTTCATTCTGCCATGCCGCGTAGAGAAGATGTGTCAGATGCTTATTTGAAGTTGGCTGTAAAAATACCCTACACCATCGTTCCAGCTGTGGCCTGAGGCAGACAGAAGAACCAGACCGGGATACCTAAAGCAGTCATCTTGGCGCCGATCACTATCTGATTTTTATCCACCAGCAAAAAGTCAGAGGCTTGAGAGAATAAACCCAGACCATGCATCGGATAAATTCGCGCCGTCCTTGCGGTAGTGGGAAAAAAAGAAACGTTTATAGATACGTCATAGTTGGAATAAAACACGTGAAAAGCTCACGCGTTCTAAAACACGGTTTACTTGACAAATGACATTGGTTTGTATTTTTATCAGCAAGAAATAAACGCCCATGCAAATCAGATGAGAGCAGCATAAGATAGTGAAAAAATCAATTATTCTCTGCAACATGAAATATTTTACTTGACTGTTAGTATTTTATCATAACGTCCTTCTGACAATATGTCTGAACTGGCTGCTGAAGAGAGACGCACACGTTGTTTACAACTCTGCCCCTCTGGGCAGTAATATCGAGTACAAACATGACCTTACGACTGCTAAATCGGTTCAAAGGTAACAGCATCGAGAGGATCGGATTGGTCAGATAAAGAAGGGCTTTATGGTTGACATGGTAGTTCTGACGGAGAACCCTCTGGTGGATATTACAGTCTTGGACAGCAAGGAAAAGTTGCTTGCAGTTATCAAAGGAGACCATATTGCATTTAGCAGTGTTAAGGAGTTGCCTTTTACAATTAACAGAAAGCCATAGTAGGATCGAGATGGTCATCACTGGCTTTACAAAGTCATTCGGAGAACCAGAACAATAAGCTAGGAAGACATTTTACAGAGCTCATTAAGTTTCGTCGCACCTAGATTGGATTTGCGTGCATGTTATGCAGTTACCAATTGCTCAATTACGATGAATTTTATTGATGTCCTTGAAGAAAAGGTATCGTGTCTCGCTTGGTATGAGAAATCAGTAATAGGTCTGCCCTGATGAAAGTTGCAATACAGTAACCTTAATCCAGGCTCTGTCATCCCGAGCAATCTGGCTAAAATAGAATGTTGGATGTTTCTAAATCCCCCCTCAATTAACCATTCGACCATTCTCAACACTACTATGTACGATTCCCCATGGGGTCGCCACGTATGGATCCATTCCCCCGGATCGGACCCAGAACAAGTTCCAAAACGCTTCCTGGTTTAGCTGTGCCGGTTACCTCGCTCACCTGCCCCCGTCACATAATAATGGATCATGGTCACAGGAACTCGGATCGTGGATGCCCTGCTTTGGCTCACAAGTATCTAATACATGTCAACTATATCGGCAAACGTGCCGATAAAACTTCTACCTGACGATATGGATATCCCTAAGCAGATGGGCGGAAGACGGAAGAGACGCCTTGTTCCGGATCATGAACGCAAGCGAGTTTGAAGAGCGTGGGTCACGTAGTCTACAGTTGCGCGCTTATCAGCTGATTTGAAGATTGCTAGATGTATACCCTGCAAGTCTAATAAACCGAAGAGTGATGGTGTTAGTCCATGTCAATGATGTCAGAAAAGTGGCGTGGCTTGTCATTACAGAGGGAGCAGCCCTGCGGATAACACCCACAGTCAACAACGATCAGAATGCGAATTGATACTGGAGTCAACTTTGCGTTCAAAAGGTATCGAGGTGCCAGAGGGGATTTTGATGTTGAGGGAACTTGCCAAGGGCAGTGAAACGGCAGCGTCATCACTGGAATGGATAATATCTGGTTTAGAATCATTCTTCCAAACGTCGAACGAGGCGGCAGATAAATCCTACATCTGATGTATCTGCGACACAGGAGTATCAGGCCAGGCGGGAATGGTTGTCGGGTCACGAGAACCAGCCGAGATGTACGAGTATCGGGACATATGATGAGACATCAGCACCTAAGATTCCTGCAAAGCAAGCCCCGGGTTTTCAGGCCCATGATGAAGAGTCAATAGCTATCCACAGGTGGCCGGTGAGTCAAAAGCATGAGCTGCCCATAACATGAAACCAGCTGGCACTGAGTAGGGCGCTGAAGGAGAAATGGCCAGAGCATCTACTGGGATAGTCCCCACTATGGAGGCAGCGGCCACAAGCCTCAGCATTGACTGGGATCAATTTTTCCTACAGAACTTACTGAACGGATGGGAGGCGAACGAGCGATCGCTCTGGCTGTTGGATCCGAATAATAATTTTGACGTATTATAGTAGAACTTGATCCGATTACCAGATTTGGTTTGCAATGAGAACATAGCAACCCTATTCCAAAGTAGTTTTATACTTATTAGAAGACCAGACCACGGGGGGAAGACGATATGAATTTATGTCAAATATGACTCAACAGTACTAGGCTTATGATAACCCCGGAAATCTAACCTCCTACTATTTATTATATTCATGGTCCACAGGTTGGCTCCAGGGGAAGTAATAAGACAAGTGACCAGTCAAGCAGGCTTGCGCTCAGGAGTGTCGTCGATTTCCAAGGCATCAGAGTGGCTGCAGACCTTAAAAACTATAATTATTACTATTGTAATAACTGAAATCTCTATAATAAAACAAGCCTAGAGCATTAAATTATTATAAAGCTTTTTCCATTGCCTTTGCCTTAGCCTTAGATATAGTAATAATTTCCGGTGCCACTAGGCGAGATAGCACTGGCGATACTGGATTCTCGTCAGGGGTTGTGAATAGGCGCAGGCGGGTGATAAGATAACTCAGACGTGGCGACGCGGTAAGTACAGTAATGGGAACTAGAAGAAAGAGGCTGATGACCAAGGATAGAAGCCTATGTGATGTATCTTGGGTAATTATTAGCCAGATAATTCCGAGGCCGATCAGGTTTTCCACCCAGAAGACTCGAAATGTATGGCGCCAGCTGAGGCCAAGTCGATCGCGATTCTGGGCGTCCCATTTGATAGATATGCCCCGAAGCAAGCCGCAGAAAAACAGTGTCATGCTGACAGTAGCCGCCGTTGAGACAATTGACGTGATGACATACTCTAGGACGATGGAGGTGACGAAGCGGAAGATGCCACCATAGCGCTTGATCTCGGACGGATTTGCCACAACAGTGAGGAAAGCGGCAATTTTGGGCAAGAGTCTGAAAATGAACCATTGCGAGAGAACGCTGACGCCGACTCTGGAGGCGCCAGGGTTTTCTACTCGCGATCTAATATTGAAAGCCAAAGTCATGACAAACCAAGCCATCGGGCTCAGAGATTTGGCAAGGATCCGACACACCTGGAAGCGATTAATGAGGCTGAGCCCTGGCTCCTTGAGCAGGAAAAAATATTGCATGTCTCCCTGGAACCATCGGTTCTGCCTATTCATGGCTTCAATCAAAGTCGGCGGAAACGTTTCGTAACTCTCGGTTGTAATCGGCAGTAGCCGGCACTCGTAGCCAGCGCGGCGCATGAACATGGTTTCTACGATATCGTGGCTCATAATGTGCCCCCCAAGGGGTGGTTTTCCCGAGAGAACCGGCAGCTTACAATGCTCCTGGAAAGCCCTGGTGCGGATAATTGCATTATGACCCCAGAAAAGCGCACAGTCGTTGGCCCACCAGCTAAGGCCGAGGTAGTTAACGGGTAGGTAATAGCGGCTGCCGAATTGCATGAGACGTGCAAAAGCACTCACTGCTGGCGTGCCAATAAACGCAGTTTGGAGTAGGCCGATTTGAGGGCACTTCTCCATGCTAGATACTATACGAACCAGCATGTCTCCAGACATAACGCTATCCGAGTCGAGTGGAACAAAAAACTCGTCGCCTTTGCTGTGCTTTTCGGCGTAGTCGTACATGTTTCCACCCTTATAACCAATGTTCTTGCTGCGGCGGTGGTAAAAGGGGGTTTGATAAGTGCCTATGCCGATATTGTCTTTGATGCGCGCGAAGCCTTCGTCTTCCATGCACACCACCTCCGGGAGGGTCGTATCGCTAAGCAAGACGAACCTGAAGTGCTGAAGGCGGCCTATTTGAGACAAGCTCTTCTGCATCTCGAGGAGGCGGTCGAATATTGAGCTTGGGTCCTCATTGCGCATGAAGATAACGAGGGCTGTTCTGGACCTGAGTTCTGGGAGGGGTCCTTTGGCGTCGAAGTAAGGATAGACAGATTTTTCTGCATTGCCAAAAGCCATGACCGACAGGCCGATGACGGCACTCCAAGAAGCGACAATGGGCTGGAACGTGCAAATGAAGGTGCAGAATAAGATGGTGCCCTCAAGGAAGGTGATGCCACCCAGTTTGAAATTGGTGTAGTTGCTCCATAGAACCAGGAATGAAGTACCAAAGAAAAGTGCCATGATCAGCCAATGGCGCTGATATCCGGGCATGCCGGTAACCTTGACAGGGGAGAAGATGCTCATATTTTATGTTTCTCAGGCCGACCGGCTCCTGATTTTGGCGTTATGTTTATGTGGATAAGAAATGCCCTTCAGTTGGAGTGAGATGGAAGGAGAGTACTGTCCTTTTAAATTTCACAGCATCAAGAACTGACTCATTTATGTCACGGCGCCTGGTGGTGTGCTTAAAACAATCATCCAACTATCTAAAAAGGGGAACCTTGACGATCGAGATATTGCGCTTTCTCAGTCTACTCCAATTACGATTGAGTCTGTACAGGAATAAATAAAGTTTAAGGTTGTAATTAATTAAATAAGCTTGACTATCTCGCCTATAGGTTTATATGAAATTCCAGTTAAATCTCTTTTAGACTTTTCATGCTAGGTTTCTTGGAAAATTCTTAATAAACGTGATGAGGTGAGCGCGGCAAGGTGAGCTGAATTATGAAAACCTGAGGTTTCATTGCTAAGGACTGCATCCATTTCTTCTAAGCCAGGTTTATAATGCAATTGCAATCTCCGACCGGAGGGTTTTTTAGGATTGTCTAGGTAGTCCGTTCCACATCACCCTTGTCACAGGATAGGTCCATGCGGGGAGCCCGACGACGCATTAATTAAGGTGGGGATGTAAGCAGTTTGATGTCGCGATGCGTAACTCAAAATATTATTGGAACTTTTATCGCAAGGCAATTTAGGTAGGAAATAATCTACCATTCGTATTTTGCAGTTTCATTGGCCAGATGTCCCTGTAGTAACCCGACCGGAGCCTTAATACAGGCGAGGAGATATTTACAATGGTAAAAAACCCCAGATAGAACAACTGCTCTTCGTTTGGACGGAAAACTGCCGAAACCGCCAGAACTGCCGGTGGTTAATAGACAGATGGATACCCGTCCCAATTTCCATATTCGGTCTAGCTTTTTCTGTAATCGGACTGTCTCCCGCTGCCTTAAGCGTTTAACTGCTATGATAACGGGCTGCTTACACCTAAGAATAAGGTTTTAAGAAACCTTAAATTGGCTATGATAAGATAGCTAAGGTAAGACTAATTTATCATAGGGGCTTGCCTTCGATAAGGGAAATTTCATTACGATATGCTTGGTCAGGATGATCTGGACTATAGATCCCGATAACTGCACTAATCGTGTCAAGATTACATGCTCGCCACGATTCTTTTCATATAGACAATGGTCAGTCTCAAAGTTCAGAACTGTTTCCCGGTGACTGCCTTCCTCCCGAGGGCAAGTTCAAGTCACAGCAGGCACTTTTAAAGCGATTAACGCCTGGGCAGCCACCAGGGGCTACGCGTTTATAACTGGAAGGTCAACCAAGGAGAAAACCGCCAGGAGGACAATCAGGTATATATGTAATCGTCATCGTAACCATCCAATTGTCTTAAGAGAACGTCAACGCAAGACGATAACTCGAACAACAGGCTGCGAGTTCTCTATACTAGCGAAGGAGTCTAAAGATAGAAGTACCTAGACTCTGCAGCACCGCTCTGATAGCCGATTCTCACTATATAACCATGAGCCAAGCCAAGATACCACTGCGCGGCCAGTACTTCGAACAATGTCCAAGGAGAACCTATCTCAATAGTTACTCAGAAGACCTTTAACCACGGGGAAGATTAAAGCAGTTCGCGTCAAACATAATTCAATGTTGCCAGGCGTGTGATGGAAAAAGTGAAAGTTTCTTTTATTTGGCTTGTTTATGGCTGAGAGATTATCTTGCTGATCGCGGATTGATCGTAATTCGACCCGCAGAGGAGTATAACACTGGTTTGCCCGGCTAGTTTCGAAGCGACCTTGTTGAAGCCAGCAAGAGCCAAAGCTGCAGACCCTTCAACAATCATGCTCTCAGACCAAGCAAGTTCTTTCAATGCCTCCTTAATATCGTCTTCATTGCAGTCAATCAATTCATCAACAACTGCATTTGCCAGTCCAAGTGTTATAGTGTTCTCATCGATGCCACCGGCAACAGCTTCTGCCAAAGTGGGGAGATGCTCTGTTTCGACGACATGTCCTGCAGCCATTGATGCAGCTAGAGCTTTTGAATTAATCGCTGAAACACCGTAGACTTTGATGCGTGGGTTGTTTGCTTTGAGGACGGATCCGATGCCACTGATAAGACCACCACCGCCCAGGGAGATAAAGATGTTATCGATATGGTCACATTGCTCAAGAAGTTCAAGGCCAATGGTTCCCTGACCAGCAATGATATCGGGGTCGTTGTAAGGTGATACGTAAGTATAATCACCCGAGGCTGCAAGCTTCTGGGCATGTTGTTCAGAGAGACCAGCCTCAGCGCCGTGAAGAATCACGTCGACGCCATATGACTTAATAGCATTCAGCTTGGCAGGAATGACAATCTCGGGAAGGACGACTGTGAGATCTTTGGATAGAGTCTGCGATGCCAAAGCGCAGCCGATGCCGTGGTTGCCAGATGAAGCAGTGATCAATCGACCTTGTCCTGGTGCTGACAGCTTGGACATGGCACCTCGGACTTTGAAAGACCCGGTAAGTTGAAAGTTCTCAGCTTTGAATAGGACGTTTGCTTTGAGATCACGGCCGATCTTCTTGGCGGGGATGAGAGGCGTTTGGTAGATGTGATGACGAATGCGACTTCGCGACTGCACTGAAGCTGCTGCTATTTCTTGAAAGGTCGGCATGGTGATGGCAGTTGACTATAAAGAAGAGAAAAGAGTTAAAGCGTGAAGAAAGCTGTGATGAAGGTGTCTGAGGTGACAAGTAATCGAGGATGGAGCAATTTGCAGGTCTCGGTCGCATTTATGTTGAGTTTCGTAGCTTCTGGGCCAGCCAATCATTCAAGGCCCTTGGATGTCTTAACTAAGGCGCGCAGAAAACATGTCAGCAAGTAACTAGGCTAAACCATACTCGGCAGCTCCTTTCACTTCGATGATTGGTTGCATCGCCAATAACACTCAATTCATGAGATTCGGAACGCCCTATAGGTCCTTAAGCCATATGGCGTTGATTCATTTGAGCTGTGTCTTCTAGCCTAATGCAGAAAACCTTGCCTTACTTATCCGATTATAGACTAGTGAAAGAAGATCGGCATCAGAGCCGCAGAAATAGACCTGCCTAATTAGGGTAATTAAGCGTTAATATCCACTCGAATCTTAGGCTTAGGTGGCGGAAACTCTCAACCGATGTGGATTGATCCCATTGAGATACCATGCGCTCTGACTACCAGTTAATCTGTTCAGTTTCGTGAGGTAGTATAGTATACCTAGTAGATATTATAACACAGCCTCGTTCCAACCTCGGCAACCAATTCAAGCCATTCTCCCTGTAGCTTCTGATTCTTCTGCTCAACATGCTTTCCAAAAACCTCCCAGACCTTGAGAAACTTGTGATTACTCTCCTTCGTTGTTTCAATAGCGTCAAACGCCTTCACCATTCCTTCGTGCTGCTTCACCTTCTTATAAGCCTCACGAGCCTTTTGCTTCTCATAACCCTTTGCAAGAAAGATCCTAACTTGGATACAGTAGAGAATCAGGGCTGCTAGACCAGCTGCTAGTGCAGTCGCTACAGATGACCCGTCCACGATCTCTGGGGGAGTTCGACCGCTGTCGACTTCGACTTTATCGCCGGGAAAGATGTAGCTGAGCTCAGAGGCATTGCCGACGTAGTCTACGCTTGCGCCTGAGGTGTTTGCGGCGCCTATGGTGAATATCTTGCCTGTTGCATTGGAGGGGTATGTTGGGGCGTTATGAGCTCCTTTGTCTCTTGCTGAACAGAACATGAGGATGTTAGCGTTGGCAGCCTCGACGACGGCGTTTTCGAGGTCTTGTCTTTCTCTGTCGTCCTTGGGTGGGTCGATGGTCCACGACATGGAAATGATCTGAACCCCTTGTACTATTGCTGCACGAATGGCCTATCGATGGTTAGTCATCAATTTCTATCCTGCGACAGTTTGCATACATTTGCAGCACTTTTAGCGGTAATGTTCAGCTTGGTTCCATCTTCAGATGGAGTATCCTCAAGTCTCAGTATAAAGAGAGATGCATGCGGACACATGAGGTGGATGTTCTTCGCCATGATAGTTCCGTGCCCAGTTCGAGACATATAGTATGGATCGAGGAGACCTCGATGTTCAGAACGTACGCAAAAGCTTCTGCCACCCGTGAAATGGTAGTCAAGATCCTTCATGTCAACTCCGTCATCGATGATAGCAACCTGGATCGGCTCGATATTCTCGCAGACTTTGGTCCCAGGGGCCATGGGGTAGTTTGCCTCGGCTTCAAAGATCAGCCTTTTAAAGTCTGTCATGCACTGAATCCACTCGTGCTTGGTGGTGTGTTCTGCGACTTCTTCAGCGCGTACGGGGGTCTTGTCAGTTCGTCTTCGGTGCATGTTTGGCCACTCAAGCTCCACTTCGACATTGGGACAGAGTAGCTTCATCCTATTCTGGAACTCATTCACGTTGTCTTCAGTTCGGGCGGACGTTTCAAGGCCCTTGTAATGTCAGTATATTGCCATATGTTTATTGCGAAGGAAGACTCACTTGCTGAATATGAAGTTTGACGAGCCCCAGTTCAGGTAACTTTGCCAAGCCTCCTGCTTCGCTCCAGCCTCTGAGGACAGCATTGTTACCGCTCCAATAGAGATGAACCTCTCGTGCCTTAGGCGCCGCGGTGACGATGACTTCAGTGCACAAGTCTGTCTTGTTCCAATCCCAGACCTCAACACCCATGCCTTGAAGTGCCTTCTCAATGGCCTCATCACTGTGAGATGGGGAATCGGGATCAGAGTCTTGAACAAAGACACGTAAGACAGTCTCAACGCCTTTGTTGCGGAGCTGGTCGAATATGTGTACCAAGTCCGACCTACCAGCCCCATCCGGTACCGGCTTGATTTGTTTGCGCATGGAGGTCCTCGACTTACTTTGCTGAGGCTCCTCAACGGTGATTCTGGGGATCCAAACGTATTGAAGAGTGTCCTCAAACTTCATGTTGCGCAGAAGATTAGTGAGTCCCTTTTGAGTGAGACTTTCATCTGGATTCATCATGCCATAAAGGTCAAAGCTAAGCTCCTTGTCTAGAATATGTCAAACATAGTTCATGCAATAAGTGATGTTGAAAGCGAGGATTAGCCTACCTGAGGGGGCATTCTTTCCATACAAGATCTCCATAGCGTCAGTGGAGTCCCGGGATCTCAAATAGTGCAACTTGAGCAAGCGTTCAACCCCTTTCACAATGCTCTCATCCACTGGATCTGACTTGCTGCCACTCTTTTTGCCCTTCTTGGACTTGGAAGCGTCAGAGTCTCGGGGCACCTTCTTGGAGTCTGCAGAATCCGGAATAACAGTCGGGGCTGGTGAGGCCATAGGCACAGAAGCCTGAATGGGGATGCTGCCTCCATATTTGGTTCGGCGATCGACCTGCATGCTGTCCCGCATCTCGGGCTGCATCGAGCAGTCAGCTGAAAGGATAGGCGGCATAGATGACGAGATGCCTCGATTTGGAACAGATTCTGTTTCTTTGCCAGGCATCTCTGCTCCTCCCGCCGCCTTCTTTCGGCCCTTTCTGACACTTTCTTTGTGGTACCTGTAAGGAGAGAGATTCGCCTTGTTGAAGTCCCCATTCGTACTACTGAATATTGCCCTATCGCCCTTCTCCAGCATCATCTTGACATATTCGAGCTGCTCTCGCTTGCAATTATCATAGTCGACAGCAAGATGAAGTGGAGTGTTCCCATTATCATCTTTTGCCGCAAATGCCTCGGGTTTTGCTGTCTCTATGAGTAGATCAAGGAACTTGATTCTCTTGTTAATGCCGATATGAAGGCAGTTCATGCCCTTGCTTCCGACGATGGAGATGATATTGCTTATTTCAGGGTGAGAATCGCACATCCACTGCACCATTATCTTCTTCCTCTGTTCGATAGCGAGGAATAATGATGTGTGGCCAGAACGATCTTTGATCTCGAGATAATTCTTCTGCTGGCAGAGAAACTTGATGAGGGGCTCCATTTTCTCATCGAGGTTAGGAAGTGACTTTTTGTCTTCCTTTGCCATGATGTGAAGAGCTGTCGGCTGATCTTTATCTCCAGTCTGGCGGGCAAGATCTGGTCCTTGATGGGTAGCGAAAGCAGCGAGCTTCTTACTGTCGGTGAGGTCGAGTTCTCCGTTGCGAATTTCTTTGAGAACTTGAGTGAGCATGCCTTTCACTGAGACTTTCTCCCCCTCCTCATCTCCATCTTCATCCTCGCTGCCACTGTCGTCACTGGAGCCATCACCAGCTTTGGACTGTGCGTTTGCTTCAACCTCGACAAGGTCATATTCTGACTCTGTATTATTGGGTTTGCAATATTGGATTGCCGTGCTCATCTTCCGTGTTGACGACATCTTAGATATCTTTCTTGTTGTTCAGAGACTCAGGGAACTGCTCAAGCCTTTTCCTACCATCACGGGTGACACCAAGCAGGTAGATAATTCGATCCTCGGTATTTCACGCCTTGACTCTGGCAAAATTTAGGGACTCTAAAATCGACACCCCGCCCTAGTCTCCGAGGCCCATTCTGGTGCTTGTGATAGGGCCTCTAGGTTCCGCCTTGCAGGGGCCACGTCACTACAGGGTTCCATTCAAACTGCCAGGGATTGTACAGCCCTGTCAGAAAGATTATAGCAAAAGATCTTTGAACTTGGCAATGCCGTCAGCATATACGGCTAGTATTGGGAACAGAGTTTGAAGACTGACGAGCCACGAGACTGACTGCCAATATGGGCATAAAATGAGCACGACCGACTTGCCATGCCGAGGCTCATTCAGTACCGAGTGATAACTTTTGCCCAAAGTGAACGAAATCGAGAACGATCATGATATCAGCGATGACGAGAACAACGAGTTCTTGGACATAGATGATTTGCTCGAATCGACGTCTATCAGCATCGGCCTCAACATATCTTCAGGAAAAAACAACGAGTTTCACACCCGCAACGACCCAGCAGCACCCTTTCAACGATCGACAATCACCGAGCGGCAAGGAATAACCCAAGTTCAATGCTTTTCACGCGAAATCATCCATGGTTACTTGTCGCCCGACGGAAACAACGCGACCCTGCTCGTCTACGATCTTCATCTCGACACAACCAAGAAATCCCGTCGTATCCGCGAGGCCCAAGTCAAGTTCGAGTTTAGAAGCAGCAATCCAGGAAGCTCAGCTCCCCAGATAGAAAAGATAGCGCCATACGGAAGTAAATCTCTGCTGCCTACATCTGCCGAAGAGTCCAAGACTCTTGGGTATGGACTATCAGCTGGAGCCAGCCAGTTTGTCAGCGTCGAGAGCTCCGCAAAATGGGAGAAGACGGTCAACCAAACAAAAAACGACGCTGCTAGAGGCGCTGGTGGTTTTCTCTGCAATGACTACGGCAAGCAAGTGGGTGCACAGTGGATCCTTTTCGAGAACAAGTTAGTAGCTTCGGGCACACCGAGATTTATGCGCCTTGCTATTCTGCTTGACAGGGAAAACGACGAAGAGGAATTCAAGTGCAAAGTCACTATCGATGCTAGTGGGGACTGGAAAACAGTACTGGGAGGATTGGTTGGGTCTACGCCGCGCGATGATCCTATCCTGTTTGACCCAGTTTTGCCGCCTACGAACAAGCTTCGCAAGGACTACGATATCGAGAATCTAGGATCTCTAGACTTGGATGAGTTTGTGGAGATCGAGTTTGATAAGCCTTTGAAGAAGGTTGGGGGAGCAGGAGGTTCAGCTTAACAGGCCTCGGCAGATCATAGTGGTTTAGGGCAGTAGAATATGCACGCACGGGCCCGAGTGCCGTGAGGGATTTTATTCGCCTGATCCTTCGAATATACTTTCAGCTTAACAACTATTGCTTCGTATTGGGGCCGTGTACTTTTGGCGGCTAATATACCTACACTACTATGTGAATCATCTTAAGCCCTACCCATGTCGAGCATAGTTACGGTGAGTCTCCACATGCCGGTAAGCGCGGATGATTTGCTGACCGGGTTTTTCTGTTCCCACGGAAAGTCGAGTGAAAGACAAGGAGGCATTCTTGGAACCTTCGTGAACTTTCTAAGAAACACCAAGGGATCTGAAATGTCTGACTCGGGGTCTGATTCTGGGTCGTCATCGGACGATTTGGTCCCGTCTCGACGTCCGTCTGTGCAGGAGCAAGATAAGTACCAAGACAAACAAATTAACGATGCTAAGGACACAAAAGAACAGAAGGAAGAGAGTGGAGCAAATGTTGGGGAAGCAGTCTCGGATTCAAATCTGATCACATCAGCAGGAGCTGAGATAAAAGATGAGGCTCTGAGTCTTGTATGGCAAGAGTTACCGTCAGACAGTGATACAGGTGACCAGGCTGCTGAAGCTCGACTTATAGAGTAGGTATCGCACGAAAAGCAGGCTTCTGAAGCTGATGATCTATAGTTTCATTGTTATACCCGGAGTCTATGGCAATTGGACTGACAAAGATTTTGGGCCAAGCCCTGGATCAGGAAGCTCAGCTTGGGTCACCAAATTCGCCGAGGAAGGCTGGGAGAAGCCCAAGAACCCTCAAAGCAGTTGCCGGGTGTTTCGCTTCGAGTACAATCCTTCCGAAATTTTCTCTGGTCATAGATCTCGAGAGGCTATCCATCGGGTTGCATTGAGATTGCTCAATGGGTTACGATTAAAGCGTTCTGGCGATGGCAAGGTATGGGATAATTCACCACCCTAATAGGATACTTCGTCTGACATGGAGATCTATACATAGAAGCGTCTGATATACCTCATCAGCCATGATATCGGAGGTACAATCGTTAAAGATGTAGGTGATGAGGTTCTCAGAAGTTCATCACAGCTTGTACTAACCAAGCTTAGGCTCTTGTCACAGCTTCTCTTGACAGGAGCTCATGGCAAGACATATCAGAGATGACAAGAGTCTTAGTGAGTGAGTCCTATCTTTTATATAGCTTACTCGGTCTGACACACTACAGGTCTTCAATGGCTGTCCACACCGCCAGAGAGACACGGCGGACCTGGAAACGAGACTGGCGAGCTTTCTCTATGAAAACTACTCCCAGGACTCCGGAAAGCCACGACCTTCAGCAGCCTCAATATCAGGACTTAACAGAGCCATCATCCAAGTGAATGGCCTCTTTATAACCTCTCATATCGCGCTGCGAAGCTGGATCATAAATCTACACTCTCATGGAGAGAATAGCAAGGGGGTGAGTAGTTTAACATCAGATGCAGCCCCTGTATAGCACAAGACTGACTTGAACATCAGGGTTTTGACGCTTACTGTGCAACCTTGGGTATACCATTGGAGAGAACATTGACAGTACCAACTGGGACGGACTATTCTCCTCTTACTCAGTACCTTGCCAAGATAGAGCCAGGTACGTTCAAGAGACTCGATCATCGTTTTATGAGTCTAACTAAGTGTTCTCATCAGATGTTCGGGAGCCGAAAGAGTCCATCGGAGCACGACAGTATGCTCAAGAGAGAAAGCTTCTTGCTCTGGCTTCACCAATCTATCCACTTCGAAACAAGGTTGAACCCAATCCCTTGGCTGATCTACCAGACTATCAATCCTGGCTGAACAGTCCTTGTCCTCAAATCCTTTATCTCCATGGCAGTCATCGCGTCAGAGATGTGGCTGAGAGTGTATTCTACGCCCTCGAAGACGAGGCCACAAAGGTGAAACGACGAGCAAATGTTCTATACTTCTCTTTCGACAGATTCGATGTGCGTGCTGACAGTATTCGGGACATGATCGCCACCTTCTTGGCCCAGATTTGCAACCATCACCCGAAGCTTGGACCTGCTATCAATCGGCTCTGCATTCAGATCGAGAACGAGCGTGGATGGACTGAGACAGACCTGATCCAATTCTTCGAGATGTTCAGAATCTCAGCAGAAGTCGAGCAGACGATGATTGTTATTAATCACTTCGACGAGTGCACAAAGGGCTCACGCAAAAGGTTTCTGGACCACATTGCTGACAAGTATTACAATGATGAGACTCCTTGGAAAATTGTTGTGACCAGTCATGAGCCAGGTGCCTTGACAGAAGAGCTTTCAGGCCCGTTTTGTGTCCCTGTTGATATATCGTCCGAGGAGTTGGGAGAGCTCGCTATGAACAGTTTCGAAGGCGACATTCAAGCAATGATAAGCCCAAGGGGGGATCTAAACTTCAGAGAAGAGCAGATTCGCACCGAGCTGCGCTTCACTGAAAAGCTGGACCCTCCAGTGCGCCATATCCTGTTTGAGCAGCTGAGAGTTCGTGACGAGTGGCCCGACGAGATATCGACTGATGCGATTTTTGGGTCGTTGAATTTTACTCAACAAGGAGATGAAAATGACAAGATTATGGTATCTGTGTTGCATGCTGTGCTCAAGCGATACACTGACCAGGACTCGCTTGAGCGTCTCCTCTCCTGGCTCCTATATGCTGTCAGACCACTCACAATCTGGGAATTTGCCACTATCATTTCGTTCTCAGATGAGCGGGAACACAGAAAAGTCTCTCCAAGTTTTATGGCAGTGGAAAGGCTTGTTGAAAAGGTTGAGAAGGATTTTGCAGGCATTCTTGAGGTGGATCACAACGAGGTCAGATTCAAGCACCCGTGCTTCCACGACATCATGGTCAACGGCGACCCTTCAACCCAAAATGCAGAAGAGAAGGCTTATCCGTGGAACAAGATTAAAGCCAAAGCTCATAATCTCATTCAAGGCATGTGTCTGGACTACTTGTCTAGAGATTCTGTTCAAGAGTATGTCAGACAGACCTTTGCAGTCACAGACTCAACAACCTTCGAGACAGCGCCTTTCCCAGACCGTACAAACCTCGCTTCATATGCTATTCAAGCATGGGCACATCACTATTCTCTCAGCTACCCTCTTCCAAATATATCTGCTTTGTCATCGAAGAAGGATCTGGTTCAGACCCTAGCAAAGGCTCAGTGGTGCTTGGCGAATCCTGCCACCAGACGCTCTCCTTGTTTCCAGTCACTGTTCCCAATCTTTGCTGGACTTGGCCTACTCAACGTGGTGGAGCCCTTGGGTAGTGATGATGCCTTGCGGGGTCTCATCGAAGCTGCTGGCAAAGGACAGAAACAAGTTGTTGAAGATCTCCTCGGTGAATACGACTTTACGCCTGATGAAACATGGGAAGTTCTCAAGGCGGCGAGTTCCGCTGGTCATGAAGAGTTGATGAATACCTTGCTCGACAAGATAGAGGCCAAGGGGAAGATACCCACAGATTTTGAGTGGCCGCCAGTTCTGATCTATCGGGCTGCTAATCTGGGTCTGGAGGGTTTTGCAGAAAGGATTCTCACTCTCGGATGCCCCCCAGACCCAGATGTTGAATGGAGGAACGAGACATCCATGCAGGCGTCTCCTTTGTATCAAGCCGCCTGTCATGGATATACAAATTCAGTCCGAGTTCTGTTGAAGCATGGCGCCAGCACAGATTACAAAAGCTTTTCTGGAAGAAACCCGCTTCATAAGGCTGCCCTTGAAGGTCACACCGAGACTGTCAAAGCCCTTTTGGAGGAGTCACAAGTCAACATCGACTGTACTTCAGAGTCAAGCTTCACTCCTTTGTATCTCGCAGTTCTTGGGGGGAACCACGACACAGTGAAGCTGCTGTTGGAGAAAGGTGCAGACCCGAATATGGGCATCCCAGATACGTACACCGGTGATGATCAGTGGACTCCTTTGCTTGCGGCGACTGATGATGGCTTCAAGAAGTGCATCAGACTTCTCTTAGATAATGGGGCTAATCCAAATCTGCCAGGACCATCTGGTCCTCCATTGCATTGGGCAGTCATTCGTGGTAGAGTCGATGTTCTGGACATGCTCCTTGAGGCCGATGCTAATCCCGGGAGTGAGCTTCTCAAGAAACCTCTTCTATTCTCGGCCGTGGGCGATGAACTTGAAGGAGCTGGTCTACCTATGCTTGAAAGACTGTTAGAGCTCAACTTGGATGTGAACGGTAAGGACAGTGATGGCGTTACGGCATTATTGGCAGCCCTGTTATCATACCCGCGGCAAGACTTTGAAGCCACCTCTTTAGGCCCTACGGAAGCCTTGAGAGATGCCGTTATCAAAATGCTTCTGGAACATGGAGCTGATCCCAATGATCGACCATCCAGTATTTACTCGCCACTGATGCGCTCCGTTTCAGCCAAACAGTACAGAGCAACTGAGATGCTACTAGAAGCAGGCGCAAATCCGAACAAAGAAGTACTAGAACGGCTTTCACCTCTTATTACTGCCATCTATGTACCAGAACTTGCACGCCTCCTGCTTCAGCATGGCGCACGTCCAGAAATAGGCTCCAAAGAGGGATGGACTAACTTAACATATGCTGCATGCAAGGGATACAAAGAAACCGCCGAGGTGCTTCTCGAATACGGTGCATCGGTTGATACTCCATTTGGCGCTCCTATAGAGTACCCTGCGCGCATTGGATCCTTTACGGAGCTATGTGCGAAATCCGAATTCACTGGAATGACCGCGATTATGTTTGCGGCATGGCAAGGACATCACGAGATTGTTCGCCTTCTAGCCGAAGCAGGAGCCGACCTGCAGCACACAGGGGGCATTTTTGAAGATTCACCTCCTATGGTATTCAGCTCAGGCAAGACGCTATCAGCGCTTCTCGAATTCCCCACGAGGATAGATTTGAACGTTACCGACCCCCTGAAGAAGTCTGCCCTTCACAGGCGACGTACTACTATTGACGATATGCGACGGCTTATTAACGCTGGGGCGGACATTGAGCTGACAGAATCTACTGGGAGCACCCCCCTAGTATTATTCGCCGGCTCTGATTTGGAAAAGGTCAAGTTGTTGGTCAAAAGAGGGGCGAATGTCAACCATATCTCCCCGTGGGAGGGGTCGCCTCTGCACCAAGCTTGCAAAGCGGGATCCTTTGACTCGATCAAGTTTCTCGTTGAGAATGACGCAGACCTCACTTCAGTGCATCGGTACGACGGTATACCATTGCAATCATTATGCGCCCCCGAAGAAGCGATTGATCCACAGCAGCATGAAGAAATGGTACGCTATCTTTTATCAGAATACAAGAAGCAAAGCGTGAAAATCACGACAGAAAGTGGCATCTTTGGCTACCTCGTCAACTCAGCAGCTTTCGGGAGCTCACCAGCCATCCTCAATTTCATTCTCGAGCAAGAAGATATCACTGTTGATGTCAAGGACGACATGGGTCGCATGCCAGTTCATCTTTCAGCTTTCAGCGGATTACCTAGCTTCAATGCTATCTTAGAGAGAGGCGGTGATGTGAACGCGAAGGACAAACAGGGACGTACGGCACTGCACTGGGCTGCCCAAGCAGGTAAATTGCAAGTTGTGAAGAGTATTATTTCTCTTATGGATGGCAACCCGGATATTGACATCCCAGATATTGACGGTTGGACACCTCTTTGCTGGGCTCTTCGTGGTGACCTACCATTGACCCAGAGGGAAAGTGTGAGACAGCCTTCACTACGTCTTGATGTTGTGAAGCTTCTTATTGAGAAAGGGGCCAAGACAGCTGTGGTTGTGAGCTATAAAGAGGAAAACTGGACCCCACTGAGTATTGCTCGATATCACAGCAGTGATCCAGAAATCATATCTCTTCTGGAAAATGGCATTGGAACAACAGACGAAGGGGGAATGGAGAACACTGACAAAGATGACACAAAAAGCAGAGCTCAGACACCAGTCAAGAAAGGAGTTAAAGAAGATTCTGCTTTCTGCGATTATTGTTTATCAGTAAGTCTTTGGCCGAGTGACTTTCTTTTTAATGCACTTGCTGATAATCACAGCAAATGTACGGGTTGTTTTGGGGCTGCGAGACTTGCGAATGGTTCTGCCTTTGTTTCAAGTGTTATCAGCACGCTGAAATGCTGCATCCGGCGCATAATAGCTTTGAACAAAAGGGCGAAGAGGAGTTTGAAGAGGGTGAAGCTGAGGCTTCTACAACATCCAACTCTGGGTCTTCGGATTCGCAGTCGAATTCTGGGTCAGACTCTGGAGGATCCGAAGACCAGAACGGAGACGATAATTGACAGACTCAGAGATCATATCGTTAAAGATACATGCACATCTAAAGACTCGATAGAAATACTGTAAACTGACTTCTGTATATAACCAACGTGCCCTTGAAATGTGCTCCATAAAACTATACCATACTATCTTGCCGCCCATTTATCATGCCTTCAACTACTGCTTTCTCAGCCCGCATATCTCCATCCCTCAGGCTCACCAGCTGCATCCTCTGCAGCTTTCAGGGCCTTGTTCTTCTTAGCCACGTACCACTTTGTGATGAGAACAAAGACCACAACGAGACCACAGCCTGCAATGATAACACCGCCTCCAGTCTGATAGTATGGTTCCTGGTTTCGGAGGAAGAAGTATGGCGTGAACCAGTGGGAGACAGATGAAACGCAGTTGGCATATGCGATGAGAGCAGCACGCTTTGTGCGAGGACGAGGGACGACAGTTGTCTCCCAAGAGATTTGGATCTAAGAATAAGTCAGTGAAAGGTCTTGCTGTGGATGAAGAGATAGGTAAGAGAACTTACGTTCAGGCCGACGAATGGACCGACCACGAGCAGAATCATGCAGAAGTATCGGGCGCCAACGTTGAGAGTAGTGATCATGACAGCGCAGCCAATCAGGGCAAGAAGTATAGGGACGATGATGTGATAACCGTGTTCCAATCGTCGACCAGAAGACCATGAGATGCCCATCATCACAATGAAAGCGATGATAGGAGGAGGTGCTTGGATGAGGTAGGTAGTGGTACCGGAGAATCCGAGGGTAGCGACGATCTTGCATCATTATTAGTACATGAATCATAGTTGAAAGAAGAACAAGAAGTTACTCACGGAAGGGAAGAAGTCCTTGTATGACTGTGCGATGATCAAGAAGAAGTGAATGGCCGCAAAGAGATGGGCAAATGGCTCCTTCATGCACATCCAGAAGCCATCCCAGTAGCCACCAGCATCATCTTCAGCAATGCCACCGGCAGACACAGCCTGACGGTACTGAGCCATAGCTGCCTCTTCCTCGGTGATGAAGTATGTGCCCGTCGAGTCAGGGAAGTTGGGAATGAACCAGAAGCTCACGAGAGCCACCAAGATACTGACAGCACCTGAAAGAACAGTTAGCCATGTAAGCTGAATCGTTATACTTGGAGATATACCTTCGAGAAGCAAGAACCATTTCCAAGCTCGGAGGTTTGCAACGCCTTCCATGTTGGTCAGAATGCCTGCAGCCAACAGACCTGAAAGGGCCTGAGAGATGGTATTTCCCGCATGCCAGATACCCATCCTCAGAGGCGATTCATGTTTTGTGTACCAAGAAGAGGTCATGAGGGACACAGCAGGTACGAAGGGTCCTTCAGTAAAGCCAATGAGGAAACGGCAGAGACAAAAGCCCCATCCTGCAGAAACAGCAGGCATACAGATGGTTACGCAAGACCAGACAAGCATGCAGCTAGGGAGGAGGATTCGAGGGGTACCCTTGGCGAGGATAACGTTGGCGGGGATCTGAGAGAGGATGTAGCCCACGTAGAACATGGAGATGCCGAGAGACCAGATTGTATCCGTCATGTGGAGATCTTCTTGCATACCGGCGAGTCGAGCGTTGGAGACGTTGATTCGATCAAGGTAGCTGCATCAGTCAATAAGAGAAATGTGAGTGAAGATAGAATGACTGACTTCATCAACAGCATGGCTGTGACCATAGGGAGGAACTTCCAGTCGAGCTTGCGAACCAGGGATTTCTCAATAGCAGCACGCTCTTCAGGAGTCTTATCCTTGATGAGCGGATAGCGCTCGAGGATCTCATCTCGCACAGGAGCAACCTCCTCATACTCGACATCTCGTTTGATGTCAAAAGACCCAGGTTTTGAGTGAACGGAGCCCGTCATGTTGATGGCAGAACTATGTCTCTCGAAAGGATTTCAGGAACAACTCAGCGGTGACAAGGGTGAATGATGAATGGCGAGAGAGAGCTGGTGATCATTTCAAGAACCATGGGTATTGTACACTTTTATACATCCCAATCCTTACCCCAAGCTAGGTAACTTCTTCCAAGAATGCCAAGATCTTGTTGTTGCTCCAGCGTGTCTTTTTCGCTCTTCCATCCGAGCTTAACTACCGCGGTCCCCCCGCATCCCCGCGTTCGTGGAATAACCTTTACAAGATAGAGTGAGACGTTCGCGAGGGCTAGCGTTCGGACCCAACCCGTCGGCTACGATCCGCCAACAAAACTTCATGATTCGGGACCGACGGACTTGGCCCGGATAGAAGTCTGGGGGGTGAGCCAGGCCAGTGTGATCAAAGCGAGTTACTGATCGTTCCTGATGAGGAATAGCGTTGCACTATACGACGTAAATGACTTGGAATTTCGGGGGGTATGAAGTCCTGGTCATTCTGCGAGAGTTAACCATATTTTAAGCATATCTACTTTCGGGAAAGTGAACTTACCTGCAGGGTGCCCTGTCCTTCCATCATCTTGGTAGAAAGGGACAGGAGGAATTGCTGGAAAATGCTCAATGCAGAGAACTTGGATGAGCACTGTGTTAGAAGTATAGACGCTTTGCTCACTACCTCGAACGTTTGCGTCAAGCCTTGTTGATTCGGCTGTGGTGCGCGCTGAACCAGACAGACATACGCGACAGCAGCTGCCAAGATATCATATGCGTCTAGGAAAGATACCGTGGCGCCACTCCCCGACCTGTTATAGAGTTTCTCAATGAGTGCCTTGCAGCAACTAATCGTATCGGCTTCAACTTCGCCGGCACTCTCAGCATCGACTTCGGAGTTTGTCAGATTCTGGTCTCTAGGTTGGACCATTAGGATTAGAGCCCGGCATGCTAGCTGATCCAGGTAGTCGAATTGCGGGCTTGTTGGGGTAGTAGTGCCTCCGGTTTGTGGGGGAAACTCTCGCCAGAAGCATAGGTTGCTGTAGGAAAATAGCGGGCTGGATTGGTGCCTTCCAAGTACATCTGAAATAAGCTGAGCGTGGGTGATAAGATGTTTACTCAAATTAAGCTTATTTTCCACTGCCCCTGATATGCGAGGTTCTATCTCGTCCTCCGTTACATCTGGTACCTAATATATAGTCAGTAATGTTAATGTCGTGTCTCATCGGTCATCGTACTGAAACTGAGATGTCAACCTCCGTAGTGGTGAACGGTCTACCCATAACCGATGCTAGAGATCTACAATATTTCGTTAGTTCTACGGTATGTTAATGTCCAGACATGAAACTTGCCTATCCCAAAGATAAACACTCCAGAATAGCCACTCAACCCGATAAGTGCCGTCTGAATCTGATGTGTTCTGTGGTGGCACTGTCTTGTGTAGACCCGCAGCAATGCAATTCGTCATAATAAAACCCATAAGGTGCCAGGCTGATCCACCTGAAGCACTAAACATTGAAAAGACTGCAAGCAGAAGCATGCAGTGCAGGGTGTCCAGAGGCCCTTGGGAATGGAGAATGAACGGCAATAGCTTCACAGCTGCAGCGTGTAGATTGGTAGCCAGTGAAGAAAGGCGACCAGCATCAGGTGACATGCTGATGCCTATTGCCACAGCCAGGTATGTGTTGAAGCGAGGCAGTGCGGTTCTAGCTGGATCGGCGCCCTGATTGCTCATCTCCAGTACGGCCTCGTACTGCTCAAATAAGCGATGTTCGTCAATATGTGGAAGCCAGACGCTCCAGTCGAGAAACCGCTGGAAGTGGCTGAGCGTCAACTCGCGCGTAAGTGGGATGAGTTGGTCATCCATAACATACACTGGTTGCGACGATGATGCTTTAGAAGGGTCTCGACCATCTACAGCAAGAGCTGCCGATATTGACTCAATGATGGCGAGTTTATGTGGTCTGTCACCCGTGTTCGTTCGAGACTCGGCCATGGCCTTGTTAGACAAGAGGCCAATGGCGCTCATGGTGTCTTGGACACTTGACTGCTCCTCTCCATTGGCAGCGATCTGTTCGTTCACAGGCGCGGATGAAATAGATCCATAATTTGACCGTCGGCGTTTGCCATTGACGGGCGAAACAGCATCTGCTGTACCAAAGGAAGTATGTCTGGCCCGAACATGTTTCTGCTCGGCAATCTTGATCTTTTGTTCAAGTTCAGCAACACGACGTCTTAGAGACTCAACATAACTAAAAACATCAGTAAATAACTCTGCATAATGCTATTTAAGCCACGAATGTATTGTGATCACATACCCATTGACTCTCGCATGCGTCAGAGTGGTATCCTCTCCATTGAAGTCAAACTGCTGAGACCGAGCAGTGCACTCAACGCCAAGATCTGCACACGAAGTACATGCCGGACGCAATCTATCGCACTAGGTCCTATTAGTAAAAACCGCAATATGCATGATAATGACAAGCATCACCTTTTGCTTCCGCTTGAAGCATCGCTCACAAGCGAGACTGTTCTTCTGCGGAGGCTGGGACTGTGACGAACTGGGGCTACTGGCCCGTGCAGGGCTTGGAAGTGAGACGCGGGAAAGTTCGCGCCAATCAGTTGCCATCTTGCATGTTCCTTGGATTGATTTAGAGGCCCAGGAAAGATACGACACGGAGTGAGCCCGAGGGACGCGTTGGGTTCGGAGGGGAAGCTGGGGATGACCCCAGATTTATCGGACTTGGTCCTACAGTCACGTGCGATCTGGATCAACATGATTGAAAGTGGTCTAACTTAGTCTGGACGGGCTCCTACTGGGCATGAAGCGGAGGAATGACACTCGAATTTAACCCTGGGAAATGAGAAAATGACTATCTATAAACTATTTTGCGTGTACAGGACCCCGTTCCTTATGCTACAACTAGGACGCCATTGGTGGCCCTATTTGTGATGCCATTACCATTCGTGACAGCACCATTTGTCGAACTGTTTGTAACAACACCATTGGTAGCCTTCTTCTCCACAGAGTGACCGTTTGCCTGTTGTGACTTGACAACCGATGCATTCAACGCCGCCATCTCAGTACCTCTCTTGGTAGCAGCACCAAGAAGGAGGGGACCATCAGTAGCAGCCATGACCCAACGAGCTCCCATCTTGCAGAACTTCTCAACAAGATCAAGACGAGCATGAAGACCACCAACACCAAGCCACTTTCCATGCTTCTTACACGCAGCAATAGTACGCTCGTAAGCCTCAGTAACACGAGGGTTCTCGTAATCTCCGGGAATACCCATCTCGGCAGTCAAGTCATTGGTACCAATGAGAAGAGAGTCAACGCCCGGAAGAGCGGCAATCTCATCGACTAGCTCAAGAGCCTCAAGGGTCTCGATCATGGGGATGACCATGGTAGCGGCGTTTGTGACGGGGCTGGAGACCTTGGCGGGGATGGAGCGGAATTGATGATGGGGGAGACCGTTGGTGGAGGAACGGTGACCAACGGGCTGGAACTTGGCTGCGTTGACGACATCTTGAGCATCTTGTACAGAACGGATGTGAGGAACGATGATTCCAAGAGCGCCGCCGTCGAGAATTCTTGAGACGAAGAAGGGATCCTTGCTGGGGGCTCGGACGATAGGGGAGATGCCAGCGTAGAGAGCAGCGACACATAGTTGGTTTGTCGTCTCAAGATCAAAGGAGGAGTGCTCCATGTCTACGAGAATGCCATCGTAGCCAGCTGTCTTGGCCATGCCGGCGATCTCGATGGACTTGACGAGCTTGATGCTCATAGTGTAGGCGACTTCATCACGGAGAAGCTTCTCTCGCATGGGGTGGGGAATAGGTGCAGCCATTTTGCGAGTTGATTGGGGTGATAGAATAAACAGGGAGCTTGATCTGGTGTATTGGAGTAGGTGATAGTGGGAATTGGGGATTGGGATTGGGGATGCTGGTGATTGATGAGGATAGAAGCGGTCAAGGTGGTTTCTCCCGCATATTAATATACACCTCTTCATGATCGTAAAGAGTCATATTTCTTCCTCAAGAGTCAGATACTGGATAAGTCCTTCTCCGTGTCCGATCTCGTTCCCCATCAATTGCCTCCATTCAATTCTAGGACGGAAGCCGATTGTTGGAGCCGAGAAGATCGTGGGGTCGGAGCGGGGCCGCATACGACCCCGAAAAGTCATCGGACATTGTCCATCTCACATCGGCATGATACCTACGGATAACGGATGCCGTGAAACGGCACAGAAAAGAGAAATGATTCACCGGTTGGATCCCGCGGGAGTCAGAGGCGCTGGAATTCGCCTTGAGGGAGATACATAAAAGTGCAAGACGTGAAGATTTAGGCTCTTGTTCTCCAAACACCAAACTCTACCCCACAAACATCACCTTGCATCTCAATACTCTCATCTCATTCACCATGGCACCAAGCGCTGTAACAGACACTCCACCAGAGACTCTTCCCTCTGGGAAGCCAACAGTCTATGTCATGGACTCATTCCACCCTCAAGTTATGGCATACTGCCAAGAGAACTTCAACGCTATTACTCCCGATAACCCCAAGCACAGCCAATGGAGGCAAGAAGCACGCTACCTCCTCATGAGATCCTCTCGCTTAACTGCAGAGGACATCAAGGCCTGCCCTAACTTGATCGCCATCGGCAAGCAGGGCGTTGGTATTGATAAGATTGATGCTAATGCCTGCGCTGCACGTGGGATCAAGATCTTCAACACTCCTGGTGTTAATGCAAGAGCAGTCGCTGAGCTTGTACTGACTCTCGCTACTGCATCTGCTCGTCAGGTTGGCTCTATTGTTGCCAAGCAGTCTTCGGGTATTCTTGTACCCAAGGAAAAATGCTCTGGTTTGATTCTACATCGCAAGACAATTGGCATCCTTGGCATGGGCAATATTGGCAAATGCGTCGCAAGTATCTTCAGAGGCGCTTTTGAGGCAGATGTTATTGCTTATGATCCCTTCCTCCCCGCCGATGCATGGGCCGACATTCCTCATCAGCGAGCCAGCTCTGTTGAAGAGGTTTTGGAGTCTTCAGACGTCATCACCGTTCACATGCCTCTTACCCCACAAACAAGAGACCTCATTAGCTATTCTGAGATGAAGAGGATGAAGCGAACAGCCATCGTCATCAACACCGCACGCGGAGGTATCGTCAACGAGGATGATCTCAAGCGCGCATTATCTGAAGGACTGATCTGGGGTGCTGGTCTTGACTGTCACGAGGAGGAACCCCCTAGTTATGAGAGGTATCACTCACTTTGGGAGGTTGGAGCTGTTAGTACGCCTCATATTGGAGCTGCGACGGCGGAGACTCAGATGCAGACAGGAATGGCGGCGGCGAGGTATTTGTTGGAGTTTGCTATCAACAATCCATGAGATAGCAGAATTTGTCTTTAGTTATAGATTGTTCACAAAGAATGCACGATTAATGGTACCAAGTTGTCTTATATCATGCCCTTCTTTAAAACTCAAAGCTGTCCCATACACTGGGATTCGTAGGATCTCCATAAACATATTGACCGAGCGCAGACTCCATATTCCATAACGAATCGTAGTTGAGCAGCGCCCAATTGACCGACGATCCATCTTGATATTCCTCAGACATTTCATTCCCATCTTGCCCTGGAACAGCAAACTGGCTCACAGGGTCCAGCAGACCCGTCCTCGTCTGCAAGCTCTGGTCAAAGAACTGGCGATTTGTGGAAAAGTCTGGCATGTTTCCCAAGGTATTAGGTAAAGAACTTGTGCCGAGGTCCGGAGAGAAACTTCGTCCATTAAAGTTGCTGATATCGTTCGGGTAACCCAAAGCTGGATCAACCGGGAGACCTACAGACATATCTCGCACGTTGGGCCATAGCCTTTGTGATACATCTCGGTGCAGAGCTTCAAAGACGGAGACATAGCTTTTAGCATCCGGGAGTTGTCGTGCGACGCTATTCAATAGCTCTTGGCAACGGAGCAGACCTTGATAAGATGCGCGCATGTCTTCCTGAGTAATCTTCTTGGATACAGATATGCAGTACATGACCGACAACCCAGCCGTGAAGAGCATATGGAAGTAGCTTCGTGTATGTGTCATCATCTCTCGTTTCTGACATATGATGTGATATCTCTCAATAGTCTCCAGCGCAGATCCGAGAAAGACTGTCAAGATCTCTTTTGATGGAGATCCATTGACTTTTGGGACTAGATCAATTGCGCGACGGAGGACAGATAATCTCTCGCGGGCAATTAGCAAGTCATACCACTCTTGTGTTTCGTAGAGACAACTCGGCTCTTGTATGATGGGATTTCTGTTTCTCCAGTCTTTCAATTCCCTTAACAGGTTCGTCATGACAACATGGACGTGACCCGCGAGTAAGTGCTTCGACCTGGTATTGGAGATCTTCCGCCGCAGCTTGGAGAACTCGGTCTGTATATGTGACGATATCTGTCTCAGCCGCACAGAGATGAAGAAGACGGTCATTTCATTCTGCACATTAGGCTCGCGAGTAAAGTTCAAGGAATCGAGGCTTTGAACATCCTGACTGGCGGCTTCGAGTTCCTCGTCGCTAACTTCAACTGGAAACTTTGTCTCGATATCCGCGTCGTCGATCAAAAATGGACGATCCAGAGTTGTTGAGCTGTACCGATCGATCAAATAGAATTGCCAGAATATTCTCCTTCTGAGCTGTGTTTGTAGTAGATCGCCTCGGATATCGGTACCATTATGGAGCCCAAGTTCAATACAGAGGCGTCCGCAAAGCCGAACAACGTCCCAAATGGAAGTGCCTGTCATTCAATCAGCATGGTACTGATGGTCGAGGTCAGGCTTTACGTACCAATGGGATGGTAGATGCCAAATCTACATATCAGCAATAAGTCCTGAACAGAATCTAGGCCCCGAGTCAGAAATTCGGCACCCAGGTGTTGTAGAGCTGCATTATAGTATGCTTCTGGATGGCGATGGTGTAGCTTGTTGCGGTAAGGCAGAACTGCCCCAATGGCACAAATCATGAAAGCTCTGAACAGGTCATGGCTAGTTGCTTTCGTGGAAGTGCCCTGACCATTGAAGAGGCGTTGATGCAGTGCCCAGACACTTCTACGGAGGAGAAATGGGTTTTGTATGTGCGCCCAACTCAAGCTGCAGTACCATTAGTTGATGACTAGAGATTAGGTACGTTTAACTGACTATTTGTCGAACAACATCTGTGTCTCTACTGCGGATGGCAAAGAGCATGGGGCTATCGAGACTTCATCGGTACCGGGCGCATCTGCCAGTGTTCTCAGCAACGTGGCATGCGACTTTCTCCAATTTGCGTCTGAGAATAGGTGTGCGATGAAGCTATCGACATATGTTAACTGAATCAATCCAAGCTTATTATCATCATGGACGCATACCTCAAGCTGGCTCCCTCGCGTGTAGCGGGTGATGACGCTGCTATGGATCTCACAGTATGCCTGTCATCTGGACTCGAGGTATCCACGGTGCCTGGGTCGGCGACTGTGACCGACTCAAGTTCTTGAAGCCTGTTGTGCAATTCTTGCTCTTTTCGCTCAAGCTCGTCGATCATGCTGTGTTGTAATTATCTGTCAGAATAGGCAAGACGAGGCATGGTGAGATACCCACGCTCTCGACAACTGGCCACCATTGTCGGAGTCAGTGAACGAGACGAGACATTCCAGGCCATTGCGTGTGCAAAGAGAGCACTTTGGCCTATTATTGTCACACTGGGATTTTCCAGTCAGTAATTTGTATGAAGAATAGTACTGTTACTAAGCCCGACCTTTGTCTTTTTCTGTGCGCAAGATTGACACGCTGGAAGTCTTGGGAGACGCGACATCCTCTTCCCTACGTGATTGGTTGGAGCGAGATCTGGAGGTGTTGGACGACAAGTCTGGGGGGCGGCTTGGTATAAATGCTCCAATAATGAGAAGCCTACGGAAATAGAGGGGAGCTATCACGTGCTTTGCCCCGCAAGTTGTTCGCCAGAATAGGAATAGGTTAAGTTTGACATTTCGTAAGACATGTATTTTTGCTGAAGCCAAGAGACCTTATTTACAACACCATCAACATAAAGCATAACTATAATCATTTAATCTTGCAAACTCTTCCTTTTCAACGCTTAGTATCTGTTCTCGACATGTTTCGAGACCACAGACTCCTGATCCTTCATCTCAGGCTCAATAATCTCCCGTGCTGCAGGCTTCAGATCATCAGCAGTAGGGTAGGCAATCTTATGCACCGTGTACCAGGATCTCTCAAACAACTTGTCCATGCTCTCCAACGATCGACCAGAGGTCTCAGGCATAGCAAAGTAGACATAAACAAGAGAGATAGTGCAAATGCTAAGGAAGAACATGAAAGCGCCATAACGTTGGGTCGCTGCCAAGAGAGAAGGCATAGCTCGTGAGCAGCCAAAGTACATGGCCCAATGAACAGCCATGAGGATGGACACGTTGATAGAACGAATTCTCAGAGGGAAGACTTCGGCCGAGACAAGGTAAGGGATGGAGAACCAGCCGATGGACCAAGCGATGGCGTGGATGTAGATGGCCGCAATGGCTGCGCGACTAGCTGCCATGGCAGACGAGCTAGCCTCAATCTTCTCGGGAGTCCAGCCATTGGTGACTTTGAGGTAAGCACCGACAAAAGCCAGAGTGAAGATCTGCATGGTAATGCCAGTCATGAGAGATCGACGTCGGCCGATGAAGTCGATGACAAACACGGAGAAGATGAGAACAGAAACAAATTTCAAGATGGCGTAGCACCCAGTTGCCAGGAAGCGAGCTTCAGTGCCCTCAATACCAAGATAGCCAAAAATAGTAGGGCTATACTGAGTGATGGCATTGGCACCGGACCACTGTCCAAAGACGTGGCAAGCAAACATGAGAACAAAGCGTCGTCTGTTGGAGAGATCTGTGAAGGTCTCCTTAATCAAGTCCCAAGTATTGGCACCAGAAACAATTTCAATCTCATGGTTCAACTGACTCTCGATACCTTGAAACTCAGATTGAACATAAGGATGATCTTCTGGAAGCCCTCGGAAGCGAGACAAAGTAGCAAGCGCCTCTGTTCTCTTGTTCTGGCTGAGCAAGAAACGGGGAGTCTCCGGAGTGAAGAATGTTCCGACGCCCCAGATGAGGGCGGGAATGAGCTGGAGTGCGGTAGGGAGCTGCCATTGGAGGTTTGTTCCGGCGTGGTACTTGGTGACACCGTAGTTGAAGAAGAAGCCGAAGACGACGCCGAGCTGTTGACAGCAGGTGTATTGGAGGGTTAAGAGACCGCGGATAGGCTGGGGCGAAATCTGAACAGAGTTACTCGTCAATTGGAGATGCTACAGAGTAAGAAGGAAAGTCATACCTCTGCGATGTAGACCGAAGGCAAGACAGTTGTCGCGCCGATGCCAATACCAGAAATGACACGAGTGGCATAAAGGGCTCCAAGGTTTCCATTGCTAAATGTCTGACCAAAGATACCAGCCATGTAGACAACAGTGAAGAACTGAAAGGTACGCGTTCGTCCCAGACGCTGGGTAAGCCAAACACAACCCAAACATCCAAAGACTGCACCAGCCGTAGCGATAGCCACGATCCAGCCTTTGGTGTTTGCGTATTGATGATCGGTCTGTTTATCGATTCCGAAACGCTCTTTGAAAACCTCCATGATGACGAGGGAGGCGATGTTTCCTATTCAAGTGCCAAGTGATTAGTTGGGGTTGGCAGCGGATGGATGTCAGACTAACCTTCATCGAAACCCTTGGCGACACCAGAGAAACTCCAAATGCAGGTACAAAAGAGAAGATACCAGTTGAAGATCTCCTTGGGACTATCTTTGATGGCCCGTCTCGTGGCCTTGATCATATTCGGTCTTGCCATTGTGAATTGTGATTATTGCCACGGGTGAAGGTAGGAGAATGAGAGGGATGCAGACAAGAGCTTGAAGCTGAGGAAAGAAGATCGTGTAGAGGAGAAAAGGGGGTGCAATATATCCTGCCCAGCCTGGCGGAAAACCTTCCCCAGAGAGTCAACGGGGGTCGCCGACTCCAAACGGTAGAAGCGTGGAGAAAAATGCAACGCTCACGTCGCGGAGAAAAAGGCGGGGATGATCTTGGTTCCCCGAGATCCAAACTTCCCCAGAACTTGGGGTGGGCCCGTTGTTTAGCGTGGAGTCAAAGTGTTGTTGTCGGAGCATGTCCTAGTGCCATCGGGCTGGACCCGGCACAGGTTTCGGAGCGTAGATTTGAGAAGTTGCTGACGAAGCTGAGGTACCCCTCGTCACAAGTCAACGATTGTGCTACATCGGGAAAAGCCCTGGAGAAAGGCCGCAGCTTGACGGAGCAGGTTGAGTTAGTGGATTTTGGTCCGCGTTGTCGGAGATAATTTTGCGTCCATGAAGTCTTAGGCGGACTGGCAGAGATTTGCAGTGATGACGGTGTGAGACCAACGCGTTAAGCCCCCGCGAAGTGTGAAGATGACCGCCGGTATACTGATTTGAACTTGAAGCTGTGACTGGAGAAACAATAATGAAATCATGAGGGAATCATCTATCTGATGTCTCTGCGCCTATTTGGGTCGATTATACAAGAGCTATGGCTATCAAGTCGCGTTATGGTAGTCGCAAGCAAGGTATTAGCCGGTCCAAGTTCAAATTAATCATTGTTTACTGCTCTTTGTGTTGTTTCAGTGACGACGCAGCCACCGCTCCCCGGCAATGCCACTCCACTGTCTGAATATTCCCCTCCAAACTATCAGTAATATACAAGGTCTTATGCTCCGGTCCTCCAAAACAGCAATTTGTCAGATTGATTCCAGGCGATCCACTGACAATTCGAGCCTTGGGTACCCCATGTGTATCCACTACAAAGATTGAACCAAGACTTGGATGACAGATGAACAAACTGCCTTGTTCGTCGAGGGCAAGACCATCAGGACCCGCGTTGCCGAAAGACTGGAAGAAAACGCCGGCTTTGGAGGTAGTGCCATCTGCGTGTAGGGGTAGGCGCCAGACTTGGTTTGCCCGTGTCATGGCGACGTAGAGGAAGCGCTCGTCTCGTGAGAGGACGAGACCATTGGGTGAGGGACCATTGTCAAGCAGAGTGTCAAGTCTCCCATCAGGCGATAAACGGTAGACGCGACCAGTTGGATCTGTCATGCCGGTTTGGCCTTGGTCGGTGAAGTAAAGGTTGCCCCTTGAGTCAACGATTAAGTCGTTCGGGCCCTTGAATCGCTCGAGATTCTTTCTCGTCAACTTTGGACCAATCTTGCCTGTCTCAGGATTAAATGACAATATGCCCTATTGTAATCAGCATCACTCATAAATTCAGGCACAAGTTGTGCATACCTGCTTGTAGTCCGCCACCAACAAATCCCCGTTGGCTGTCCCCACGAGCCCATTCGGCTCGCCATCCCAAGTGCACGCAACAGTAACATTCTTCTCGCTATCAATCTTGAGAATGCGACCGTACGGAATGTCCACGACATAGAGATTCCCAGTGCTGTCGACGACTGGACCTTCGAGAAAGATGTGCTGGAACGACCCCGCAAAGCCCCCGCGCCATTCCGACTCTTGGCCTAAGCAGCGCTTGTCGTTTGGGATGCGCAGATAAACCTCTGCTTTGATCACGGGTGGCGGTGGATAAAAGTTCATTTTGTTGGAGGTTATGTATAGCTTGACCCAAGATGACGGCCGTGAGATGCCGTTGGAATATTTTATAGGCTTGGTGTCGAGCCGTTTTGGGGTAAGCTGTTTGCGCGGAGGAACTCCGATGGGTCTGGTGCTGTGGCTTGGAGATTAGTCAGGCTCGAATCTACATTGGAGATCCGATCACCTAACGCAGCGGCATCACCAATGTCCTCTGAGGTCTGTTTCAATATAATGGAGCTAGTCAATACTCCAGTCATTACTATTGCACATGATCGCGTACATCTGCTCCGAACTTGACTGCAACTTGTAAGGCAAGCGAGCTCACCGGGTTTAGGTTACTCATGACTCCCGTGATCTTGCTGTAGTTACTTGATCGATTGCTGCCCATAAGCTTAAGCTTTAGGCTGCTAAAACATATGACGAGAACACGATACATTATCTTGCTGAATCTCGTCCATGGCCCAAGCCCAATTGTAAAGTTCCTGTGTCTAAATTGTATCGTCTAACATGCCCAAACAGATAAACCTTTCCATCTTGTTAAATCTGTCTCTGTTAACTTTATAAAACCTGGTTATAAATCGGGACATAATAGAGCTATCTATAAGCTTTATGGGGTGGAATAACCAAAGTTTAGTTTAAAGTTATACGTATTCCTTTTTGATCTTTATCATCAAGGTTCATATATGAAAGTTAATAGTTTCACGCAATACAATATCAGTTTTTTGCACTAGATATTACCTGCTTCTAAAATTCAAATAATATACATCAGCTCTATAATAAAGATAAAGTCTTCAAAGGTTACTTTAAAAAACTTCGTAACAACTCAACCACAGCCAACCTTATAAGTATTCTTGGTATATAAGAAGCTGTCGCAACCTTCCCCCCAAAGCTCCATTGTTATACAGCAGTCCACTACACCATGTAATGTCGAGAAGCAGGAGATCCAAGATGACCGGTAAACATGGTATTCCAGCACTACCACTGAGATGGTAAGTCCCATCTACAGCAAGCGTTGGACTACATATTAACAGACAGCAGTCTACGGGTGTCGAGAAAGATACTTGGTCCACGACGGCGACCCGATACCTCGGAAGCCATTGCTCACCGCCCTGAAGTAACGCGTAGATCCAAATTACAGCTCAATGCCCCCTGGAACCTCGCACGGATCTCCCAAGGCCATGCCAGAAATGACGGTTTGCGCCGATACCGCTACGATGCAACCGCGGGCTCCGGCACATATGTCTACGTGGTTGACTCTGGCATCAATTTCTCACATGCCGAATTCTCTGGACGAGCTTTCCGGGGAGCAAACTTCGTCTTAGGGTCACCAGATGACGATGAATCCGACCATGGCACTCATATCGCAGGAATTATCGGAGGGAAGACGTATGGTGTGGCTAAGAATTGCACCATGATTTCGGTCAAGGTGGTAAGCAAAAGCGGCAGAAGTAACATGCTATGGATCCGGCAGGGCATATATTGGGCTACTAATGACGCCATTGCGAAAGGTATTGCTGACAGGAGCGTCATCAACGTATCTGCAGGAGGTCTGTACAATGCCAGTGTCAACTTTGCGGTAAAGAATGCTACTGATGCTGGGATCACGGTGGTTGTTGCAGCAGGGAACCACGCCACCTTCGCCGGTGCCTTCTCCCCTGCCTCAGCCGATACTGCCATCACAGTCGCTGCAAGTGGCCCCGATGACTGCCGTGCTCCTTTCTCCAACTACGGCCCCTGTGTTGATATGTTCGCTCCAGGTGCTCACATCGCTAGCGCCTGGAACTACGTTGATAATGGAATTAAGTATGAATCTGGCACGAGCGCGGCAGCGGCGCATGTTACTGGTCTAGCCGCGTACTTTATTTCCAGCGAGAACCTAAGGGGATTTAAGGCTGTGAGGGAGCGGATTCTCGGCGCGAGTTTAAACGGGGTAATTACAGATACGCGTTACAGCAGTAACCGCCTTGCATATAACGACAACCGTGTGTCTTAAGAAGAGCCCTGCTTTATAGTTTCACGACGGCTGAGTCTAGAACAGCCCTGGCAGAGACGTCAATGAATAAGGATAAAGGCATCATACTTATTTGCAATAACTTCATCTAAGCTTTTGCCACTTCCCTATCACAGATACAATCGCAGCAGCCTTGGACCTGGTCCATAACCTTGTTACATCATCCCCATTACACCCGTGAGTCATATCTTTTCTCATATCCTGACCAGCAAGAACAACCATATCAATCAGCGTTGGTTATCACACACAATAACTTCTTTCTCATTGCCACTGATTCAAATAAGGACTTATATGCTCTGTAACTTACATAGTAGTCGTTGGCGGAGACTGCTAACCCTTCTGGTTCTCTGCCAGCTCTGACCGCCTGCTCAATCCTCGCCACCACCAGATCCAGACTCTTGAACTCTTGCCCTATCAACATCAGCTTCCTCCCCCATCAGAATGTCATACAATCAATTCCCCCATCGTAGACGAGTGATACAAGCATGCGTAAACTGCCGTATGCGCAAGACACGCTGTGACGCTGCTCAACCAAGATGCGGCCTCTGCGCTTCACAAAATGTTGATTGCGTCTATCGAGATGCGAAACAACCCAAGATTGACTATAACACTCAAGTCCTCCTGGAGCGGATGCAACTGCTCGAGGATCGCATCCTTTTGTCAACTTCATCATCGCAGGCTCAGAGAGCTCCGCCAGAAGCGTCACCTATGAGCCATCATGATCCACAGCCCGACAACTTGCATGACTCAACCACTGAGGGCCGAGAGCCCGTCTTTGAAGTTCAAATACCTCTTTCGCATACGGCCAACGCCAATCACGTTTTCTCATGGAGCTTGGTCCAGACGCTTCTGTCAGAGAACAGCACAGATCAACAGGACTTGCCGAGCTATGCAGATGCAACTGAAGTCTTCTTTCAAGAGCAGCAGAACAGCAAACATCCCTCAACAACTTCGCAGCCTCTTTCCTCGTGGAAGCTCTACGATAGCTCATACTTTAGCTCGTCTCGTGACGATAGTATAGCACGACTGCACGACTTGATTCACCTCTATTTTACAAAAGTCAACATTTTCTTCCCTCTGCTGTCAAAGAGCAATATTCTCAATATCTTCGAGATGGTAACAGCGAGAGAGGTCTATGGAAATGATGAGACACCAATGGTCGATATGCCGCAATACGGCCTGCTTCTTGTGGTTCTTTGCCTGGCATTACTGAGTTCGAGTGGGCAGTCTGACATATGCATCGAAAAGAACCGTAGATACAGTCAACCCTTCTCAAACAGCTCAAACATTCCTGAGGAGCAGCTGAGAAGCGAACTATGGTGCAAAGCAAGGTTGATACTGGGTTACGTCTCCACTGATATGTCATTAGAAGCGGCTCAGGCCAATATGCTTGCAAGGTGAGCCGTCATCCCACACCTCATAGAAATAACTGACGATTTAGCATCTACATGGGTGCGTCGGGTGCAGTAGCAGAAGCCTTTCACTGGGCGCACGCAACGGCTGTCAAGTGCGAGAGTATGGCCCGATTACAAGCAAAGAATGAGAGTATCTCTGATGGCTTCCGCCGCTTGTACTGGATATCCTTCATATACGAATGTGATTTCATATCTGAGATATCAATTGTGTCACCATCTGGTATAGCAAGATATGAAGACAAAATCCCATACCCAGCATTTACTGCTGAAAACCACCCTATCTCGCCATCCGTACCAGAGTCATCAGAAGCACACTCGATAAGGAGCCAGGAAGAGCTCGTCGCGTTTCAAATAACCACAAACTCAGCCATCAGACGCTTTCTGAACACTGTTAACAGTGTTGTTTACGATGACAAGGAGCAGTTCCGGACAAGACGATCAAACTACGCATCTTGGCTGCTCAGAATATCGGAAGATCTCTGGTCGCATCACTCTGCCATATACCGCAACCTACCCGAGTTCCTCCTTAGCAACCCGTCTCAAGATGTCCCAATGACAGGGGCTGATACAAGCTCTCCTGCAAGTCTCCAATCGCCAACAGCGCGTATTCAGGGCATCCCAGTCGGCAATAACTCATGGAACATCTTGAGACTCAAGGGGAGATACTATGCAGGCCAATACATTATACACAGGCCTTTCATCGAGTTCATTGTTCTCAATATCGACAACTTCGAATCACATCCTTGCAAAGACGCAGTTCTTAAACGATCCAAGTCTTGTTTGGATGGATGCACGGGGTTTATCAAGGTATTTGATGTTCAGACGGTAAATAGTTTGACATGTTTGTTCCCCACTGGGATGGTGTGAGTGATCCTACCGCTATTGTTTTGGCTATTACTAACCATGTCCTTCTTTTCTCAAGTACCTTTACTATGACTATCATCCTGATGGTTGCGACGATCTTTCCGATATTCAAGGATCTACTGCCCGACGATGTGGAGGATGTAATTCTGGGTGGAAAGATGAATCTCGCTCGATTCAGCCAGAGTGTGGCAGAGTTTTCATGGCATATCGAAATACTAGAGAGGCTTGATGTGGCTCGGAGAAATAGAATAGTAAGACACGAGGAATGATAAATGACTACTCGACTTGCATTCCCATGTCTAAGCTGACTTTGTATACGGATATCGATATTACTTGCTTTTTGTATTATACTAAAACTGGCTACATGGTATGTCTAATGGCAAGCCTATGCTGCGACAGGTACAGGTTGGGCTTGCGGGTGTTGTTGTTTCTTCAGCTCAGCTTTCAGCTTCTCCTCCGGCGACAGCTCAAAGATGCCAACACCTGAGACAGATGCCTCCTTAGAGGCCACATCACTTGCGGTACCTTCTGATTCAATGACTTTTCCTTCCAGCCTCCTGTCACCGGCCTTCATGGGCGCATATGTCTTCAGAAGTTCATTCAACTGTTCTCTCTGCATGCAATTCTCATACTTCCAGCTTGCAGCGAGTTCGTCCAGTTCCTCAAAGCTCTTGTCCTTGAAGTAGTCTGCCCACTCAGGGATCATATACTCGGCCATGGTAATTCCTCGGATGCCTCGGAAGACATGCATGTGCATGCGCCATTGCCAAGGGTACTTCTTGGAGTATTGTGTAGGGACGTTATCTTCAAACCACTGGTGTAGTGGACCGAAGAGGCCGTCTTGGAGATGTGCATCGTCGTAAGCCCATGAGTCGACAGCGAGATCACGTTTCTTCTTGATGATGGGTCCGAGAAGCTTGAGCCAAGCAGAGTCTGGGGAGACATGGGTCATGCCCATGACGTTGACGTCTTTGTATGCCCAGATCGACCATGCTGAGCTGTGTTAGTGCTATTGATGGAATGAATTTTCGGGTGACCTACCAATGCTCTCAGAAGTGTAAATAGCCATCTGTCGATCCAGCATATTGTATCGCTCTTGGTTCTGGACTTCCCAGTCTGGGTTGTACTCCTTTCGTTCGTAGATGGGACCGAATTCACCTGCAGAGGTCAGCTTAGGTCATCAAAAGGGCCCAACGAAACTTACCATTCCAGATTGGCACGTTGTGCTTATTCATGAACTCCACCTTGCGATCGTACATTCTACGAATGTAGCTCTCCTGTTCTTTTGTACCTTGGAATCTACCGATTCTGTTCGGGAACCCAAAACCACAGTAGTCATGGATGGCGTATACCGAGTTGTCCCATACTCTGTCGAAGCCTGTGAAGTCCATGCTGAATCTGTGTCGAGGCTGTCGTCAGTACGTCTGCAGAAGATTGACTCAAGTGGATGGTGCTCACGTGTTGCCTTCCAAGAATAGGATGTGGTCAGGATCAACATTCCTGATTGCTGGCACGATACGGTCGTAGAATGCCAACAGGCGACTCCACTCAGAGTCAGCAGGCTCGTTCATGGGATTGTAACCAGCAACCCATGGATTTCCCTTATATCTTCGGGCAATGTGTTCCCACAGGTTGATCGCTCGGTCTTGGAAGTGTTTGTGGTCCCAAAAGGCGGCGTATCCGGTCGGGTTGTCGCAGTGCCAATCCTGGTTTTGTCCACCAGGTAGGGCGTGAAGGTCGAGGATAGTGTAGATACCATATTTGGCGCACTACGATTTTACGTTAGCAGCTGGCGATAAGTAGAGTTCTTGCGACTTACGAGATTGATGACTCGGTCAACATGCTTGAAACCCTCTTCCTTGATGACAAATGGGTTCATGTCATCTTCAAAGTGTCTGTAATTGAGACATAATCGCAGGCAGTTGAAGTTCAATGAAGCAAGGAATTCAGCATCCTTTTCACCGAAGAAATATTCGAGGAACTTGTCGAAGAAGAAGTCGTGCTTCTCTTGGCCAAGCACCTTGAGGAGCGCTGCTCGGATCTGATGTTCTCGTCCAGGGAAGCCATTCATGAAGTTCTCCATAAGCATCCAGCCGCCGAGGGCAGTCTGTGATCACGGTGTCAATATGTTGCCATTTCAATACATCATGACAGCGAGCATGGGTACGAGGACTTACACCGCGCAAGAGTACTGCATCGCCGTTTGCGTCGACAATGCGATCAGAGTCTGTCTTTAGTATTCCGGTAGTCATGATTGAAGTCAGCAGCCGGTGAATTGGTCAACAATCGTGCAAACAATCCAGAAACGGGCGCGCATGGACTTCTCCTAAATACCCCATGGTATATACTCCCCCGGAGTATGTCCACTTTGCACATCTCATGATCATACCAATGATGTTAGCTCATGAGGACACCATGGATTACCGAGGATAAACAAACTTCTCTTGAGCATCAACATACCTCGCGGGGGAGTGAATTCCTTGCCCCGAAATCAAGTTGGAGAGGAGGCGAGCCAATCATAGCGCTTCGGGGCAGCTAAATTCTAACCCCGATATTCTCAAAGTGGAACGCGAGTCGTGAAATACGTAGGGGCAACGATTTAGCTCCCCCGAGACGCCATGATTGGTCCATCTCGATCCTCCGTCTCCGCAGCATCTCACTCATGACTATGAGCAATTCTCTGGTGATGCAAAGACTTCACAGTTGCCCGATGAGTTTCCCGTTGCATGGCCCGACACATGGAACGACCCCCATGAGCAATATGCGGAGTTCCCCCAGAAATTTGGTCTCGACCCCGCAAAGTTTAGCTGCAACGCTATCGAATTGATGGGGTGAATGACACCCGAGTTTTCGGATGCTAACCAGGTGCACTCTAGGTTGGCAGACAATATAGGCAAAAGCAAGTCTCTCACTCCCGGTTTTTTATCACATCACAAACACATATATAAGACAACCAACCATGCAAGGTGACTTGCTCTTATCTCCAGTATCTCGTTCATTAACACCAACATTTCCTTTGGATTGATCCTTCGCCATGAACTTTCTTCGAAATCGTCTTCCGGCCCCAAAGCAGGACTTGCTCGCCAAGCAAGCCCGCCAGCAGGGTACCACCGATGCAGCCTACAAGCCTTCGCGCATATCTGAGCTCTCAAACGAGTCTCCAAGCTGGTACAAGTCGGCTGCGCGGAGACATCTTTACTTCCTGCTCTTCCCAGCATGTGTTGTGTCATATGCAACCTCTGGATATGATGGAAGTATGATGAACTCTCTGCAGACTGTCTCCTACTGGGATGACTTCTTTGACAACCCACGCGGATCTCAGCTTGGACTCATGAGCGCTATCATGTCGCTTGGCAGCATCTGTTCCACGCCCATTGCGCCTTTTGTTGCTGATAAATATGGCAGACGGTGGGGTATCACTACAGGAAGCATCATCATGATTGCTGGTGCTATTCTTCAGTGCGAGAGTACCAACTTTGCCATGTTTGTTATCAGCCGTTTCATTCTGGGTTTTGGACTGTCTTTTGCTACGACTGCGTCTCCTAGCATGGTTAGTGAGCTGTCTCACCCCAAGGATCGAGTCACCATTACAGCTATCTGCAACACTTGGTAAGTCAATCTTTGCTGTGTGTCCTTTGACTTTGCTGACTTGTCTAGTTGGTTCCTGGGCTCTATTGCAGCTGCTTGGATCACCTATGGCACTAGAGTAATTCCCAGCACATGGTCATGGAGAATCCCCTCCCTGCTTCAGATGGCACCCAGTCTCATCCAGCTATCGACTGTCTGGTTCCTCCCCGAATCCCCACGATGGCTCATCTCGAACGATCGCAGTGAAGAGGCCCTCGAAGCTCTTACGAGGTACCATGGAGAAGGTGTCAAGACTGAACTAGTAGAGCTGGAATACGAAGAGATTCGAGCCGCAATTGAGCAAGAGAAGTGTAGGTCGCTCGCTGCCTCTCTGTCATACTTTACTGACAGTCCGCAGTATCTGGTCAAACTACTTGGAAGTCTATGGTCAGCACCAAGGGTAACCGCTACAGGATGTTCCTCGTCATCTGCATGGGTCTAATGTCTCAATGGTCTGGAAATGGATTGATCTCTTACTGTAAGTCGACTTCACCAGTCACAATCTGACGGATCAATGGCTGACTTGATGACTCTGCAGATCTCTCTCGAGTCATGGACACTGTCGGCATCACGAACAAGAAGACACAAGCCCTGGTCAACGGTCTTATCAACATTTGGAACTGGGCCCTCGCTCTCACCAGCGCCTGCTTCGTCGATCGCGTTGGTCGCCGCCCTCTCTTCCGAATCTCTACAGTTGGCATGTTGCTTGTCTTTACAGGATGGACCATCGCATCGGAACGCTTTGCCGCCACGGAGGCCAAGTCTGCCGGTGTTGCGGTGATGGCTCTAATCTTCGTCTATGAGATCTTCTACTGCATGGCTTTCTCACCTCTCCCAGTGGCATACTCAGTTGAGGTTCTCCCGTACTCAATCCGGGCGAAGGGAATGGGTGTATATGTTCTTGCGACGAAATGTGCTGTTTTCGTCAACCAGTATGTCAACCCTGTTGGGTTGGACAGCATTGGGTGGCGTTACTACCTCGTCTACGTTGCTGTCCTCATTGTCGAGAGTTTCATCGCCTACGGTTGGTTCCTCGAAACTAAGGGTAAAGCCTTGGAGGAGATTGCTGTCATCTTTGATGGAGAGGCTGCAGACGTAACTGTGGACGAGCCTGTCAAGTCCAAAGTTTTCAGCACTGACGTACCAACGACTCTTGAGCAGGAGAATGTCGACCGCAAAGTCTAGGTTAAAGCTAGAAACAAAGATAATAAGTGAATGTTGAGTTTACTTTTCTCTTTTAATTATTAGATAGTATTAAAACTATTTTATTTAAATTAATATAATAACAAAGATCAAAGGTATTAGTGCAGGGTAGATGATCTTATCAATTAACCAATTACATACCCCTGTTAACACGCATCTAGCATTAGTGGTATGGCTGTCGCGAGCATCCTGTCACGAGCGCACGAGGTAGCCATTGATGCGAGAAATCTTCCAGGTGACAATGAGAGTCTGAATTGGGCATGTATGTGGTCCGGGGTTGTCTTCCACGGTCTTGATGGATCAACGCCAAGTGAGCAAGAGATGCAGAGAGACGCGCTACTCATCTCTGATCTTTAGCAATTACGGACCCAGAGTCAAGCGTCAAGGTATAATCTTTTTCTCTGTTAGGGCCATGGACCTCAGCTAATAGTCACTGTTGGAGCATGGAGTTGAACAATTTCTAAGATAGCACGAAGTACTACCCTTGGCAACGTTTAATATCAAGACTTGATGCCTGAGGTGTGAATCTGGAGCGCGTTTGCACACAGATCCACTAACGCGTTACTTTTCTCTGTATGTGGCTATGGAACAGCAATCCTTGGAGGGATCGAGCAAGTGGATAACACGTGAGTATCCTCGGATGGATCTTATCGATAAGCTCATCGCCTATAGATAGATGATTCAGAGATCTCGTCGTGGACCTTAGAAATGACGTACGTGACGCGTGAAGCTTTTAATACTTCTATTATTAGCATCCTTAGATCCTTTAGCGCATTTATGAGAATACCCCCGAGGTTTAAAGGATCTAAGATTCAGACGTCGAGATCATACACGACAATGTTGGCATCTGACCAGCGAAAATAGGTGGAGTGCGAGTTAACAAGTAGAGAAATAGTGGTCAGAGCATTGCTCATGTATTCCGTATATGGTAAGGGCAAATTGAATGTACAGGTTTGGAGACATCGACTAATGAGACGGAGGCTACGTTTCCAGCTTTGGTGTTGCTCAGGCTGCTGGAATATTAGTCAACGACATTTTATTCACTATACCAGCAAAGCTGGAGCTTCATGTAAACGGATTCCATTGTTTAACATATGGCCAGAGTTTATAAGAAGCACCGAATTGACCTACCTAATTAACGGCTTATGTATTGCACTCTTGGCTATTTAATAGTTTTATTTCATATATCAGTAATATAAAAGCTTTGCCCAAGACCTCTTCCTCCCACCAAGTTGGCAATCCTGCAGATTTCGTTGCTCCGAATTAGAATCCTACCGAGTTCTATGTGGTAATTGTAAGCTCGGAGCCATAGGCCTGAACTACAAATAACACACATCTGGCTCATGACTTGGGGACCAGAGTTCTAAGCGCTTTCCACAATCATGGTCTGCGATTTCTCTGTATCAACTGAGATTGTCCCGTTGCTGTTGACGCTGATGTTATTCCTCCTCATGTCCTTGGTCATCTGCCGCGCAACAGATACAGGGTTTCCGCCTTGAGAGAAGATAAGATCGACGTTCTCCAGCTTGAAGTTGCTCGTCTCTGGGTAGAAGAAGTAGAATGCGGGCACGAAGAGTAAGTTCGTAACCATGAAAATGAGATACGCTTTCCACTGCAGGCGATTGATGATAACTGGCGTGATCATGACGACAGTGAAATTCCACAGCCAGTTGGAGCTGATTCCTATCGCTGTTCCTCTAGTGCGGGATTCAAGGGGGAGGATCTCGGGAACATAAACCCAAGGAACGCAGTTGACGCTCATGCCGAAGATCAACATGTAAAGGAAAAAGAAAGCAACAGCCGCTGACGCACAGGTATGGCCGTTGGAGTAGCCGACCCTAGACAGGAGTACAGCCACCATGAGCATGCATATACTCAAGCCTGTGCAGCCCCAAATCATTGTCTTCCGGCGACCCATTCGATCTAGGGCAAAGGAGGGCAGAATCGAGCCAAACATAAACATCATATTGATGCAACCACCGAGAACCTGTAACATGCGCGGTGAGAGCCCGACGTTCTGAACCAAAACCGAAGGAATGTAATAGACAACGAGATTGATTCCTCCAGCTTGGTTCATGAATTGGACACCCCAGGCAAGCAGGATACGGTATCTGGTCCTGATGGCATCGTTCCTGAAGATGCTCAAGAAAGAATCGTTTTTATTCGCTGCGAGTTCGAGCTCGATGGCTTTCTGAATGGAAGTAGATTCCGAGACGATATATGGGTCTGACGGATCTTTGTCGTGGACCTGGCACAGGACGTTGATGGCTTCTTGATCACGGCCCTTTACGAACAGCCATCGCGGAGACTCTGGGAGTGCAAACACCAGAACTACAACGCCGATGGCGAAGACCATTTGGAAGGCAATGGGGAGACGCCAGGCGATGGCACCTCCAACGTAGGACATGCCGAAATCGAACCAGTATGCGATTGTAATGCCGACCCCGACGAAGAGGACTTCGCTCGACACAAGACGACCGCGGGATTCAGCTTCGCAAAGCTCGGATTGATACCTAACGTTGGCGGACGTATATCAGCTGACGGGTTGCTCTCTTTCAGAAGTGACTGAGGTAACTTACATGGGCACCGTTGAAGTCTTGATTCCTGTTCCCAAGCCAGTAACGACTCGTCCGATGACGAGATGAGGAACATTGTACGCAGTGGTTTGAAGTGTCGCCCCGACCAAGACTAAGACCATGGCAAGCCAGATGGTCCTGCGGCGGCCAAGCTTGTCTCCGACGAAGAAGTTGACTGTGATAGCAAAACGGGTCAGTACGTAAAGATCGAATATCTTTGAAGGGCCTTCAGTTGGGAATTTCCATCACTTACTCACACAGCCTGCCAGGCAGCCCAAGTTATAGCAGGATACTATGATTCCAGTCTTGGCGTCGTTCGGGTGGTCGAACTGGTTCTGCCAATCTTCGTTCTGCAGAATGCCACCGAAAACTCCTTGATCATAGCCAAAGAGTACAAATGCGACGAGACAGCAGATAGTTACGCCGGCTTGAACACTTGCGCCTCGCCCAAGACTGAACAATGCCATGATTTGGGAAAAGCGATAGAATGAAACTTGTCAATTTGGTATAAAGTAGGAGAAGAATCAGTTGCTTCTTTGAGTCCTGATATGATCAAAATATAGGAGCCGTGGAGGAAAGAGGCATCTTAAATGTTTATTCACTCCGTATCCCTGAATGACCTTCCCCAGAAAATTATGGGTGAAAACCTGGGGCGATGGAGTGTGGGGTAGAATGCAAACTAAGGTTTGCTTTCACTTGGCCTAGAGTTCTCCGTGGATTCATGCGATGAATTGCAAACACTAGGCACACTACGCTAGACGGGTACTTGGCGCTTACGCTTACAGTTGCCAGATTCACTGGACGTGGAAAAAATAATTATATGACGTCGACAAATTGGGCAATTTGATGCTCTGACGCCGGAAACAACTAAGCCAGTAGTTGTAGGTCTAGGCCAAACTAGCTATAAGGTAGCCCGGTTTACGTGTTTGCTAAGAGTAACTGAAGCAGATAGTTATGACGCCAAATCAATAGTGGCCTGCAATGTATCATCGCGACTCTTTACTTTACTTACAGTATGATAGATAATTGCCCCAAGCCTTCTTGAATCACTATCCTTAGTGAACTCTCGGTCCGTTTCTTACGTTGTCGTCGGCGAGTTTGCCCATCAGCATCAACACCAGCTTCGGTACCAGCACCACGACGGGCCTCGAAGAAGCCAACGGCATCCTCAGGTCTATTAAAGACAACATCACAATAGCAAGAGCTTTCTAGTTAACAAAGTTTTCATGCTCTGAGATTTATATGTCATAGTATTATCAAGGGCTATCTAGTTATCAAACACTGGAAATAGGTGCCGACATATGATAAGGACTATAGGTATGGGCATAGTGATAAGCAATCGCAAAGCCTGCAGCTTCCCTCTGTAATCAATTCGCGGTCAAGAGGGTGAAGTCAAGTATTTTTGGATGAAGTGCAATACAGGTCAGCTGATACATGTACATTTCGGGATCTATTAATTCGTTAGGTATCTGAGAGGGTAATAGATCTCTACAGAAAGTGCTCATAAGCCGAATCCCATTAAGAAAGATTTATTACTCTAAACTCTGGTGGATAGATGCTATCTAAGACTCATAGAACCATGTACCGAGATTACATCAGTGTATTCTCTATCTAAGCGATAGCGAGGGAAAGAAATTCTGCAAGTATGGCGAAATGAGCTCCGAATACCTGTCAGAATCTTTAAGTGACATCACAGCAAGGGAGCCCACGCCCAGGCTCAGCAGTGCACTGGTCAAGACTCTGGAAATCGAAGACTTGGGGCTTTCCACCCTGCGAACTTCAAAATCAGACCAGCGTGGGAATATGGTCCGCAGCCAGTAGAGAAACATGGGGTCGGGGTAGATAAAGGTGTTCTTCTTGGTCTCGGGGTCCATCCACCAACTCTGACAGCCACTGTTGAAGACGAGGTTCTTGAGCCTCCCGTGCACCCAAGCCAGGTCACGGCGTTGAGCCTCGGGCTTGACCATGATTGAAGCCGCAGGGGCACTTCCACTGAGGACTTGACGTAGCAGACGGCAGGTGTAGTTGATCTGGCATTCGGAATGGAAGATGACCGAGTGCTGGCCCGTAGCAGCGTTGGGACCATATAAGATGAAGAAATTGGGGAACCCTGTGACGACAGTGCCCTTGTAAGCTTCAGCGCCACCCGTGGAGTCCCAGACTTGATGCAAGTCCCGGCCATTCTCGCCCTTGACCTGGATCGGGTGAAGCCACTTCTGGGTCATGAAGCCCGTTGCGAAAATGATAGCGTCTGCTGGGTACGTCTCGCCGCTCGCCGTCTCGACGTGGCGCGGGCCTATCTTGACGGCATTGTCCTTGGCCAAGTGCATGTTTGGCGAATGCAGTGCAGCGAGATATGTGGCTGTATTGACGCGTCTCTTGCAGCCAGGTTCATAGTTTGGCTTCAGTACTTGGCGGTACTGGGAAGGCGCGTCATTCTCGATATAAGAATTGGTAGTATCGCGGATCTTCTGCCTCATGCGCGCTCCGTCTTTGGTCATGAGGAAAGAGTAGAACACTTTTTCGAGCTCCCAGGCGAGGAACACGCGGTATATGCGCGCGGCGAGCGGGATGTACTTCATTGTGAGCTTAAAGGCAGATGAATAAGTTGGGTTCCCCTAGAAATGGATATCGGTTAGATCGAGCTTGGCATGAATCGGATAAATCATAGATGAGAGAAAGATCAGGAGAGTATCTTACCCTTTTAGTCCACCAGTGGGCGCTCCTAACCAGTTGAGTAACCTGCCCCTTAGGCGCAACTTGCTTAACGAGCTCAGGAACGAACTGTGTTGCGGAAGCACCGTTGCCTAAGACGACGATGTTCTTGTTCCTGACCTCGAGCGAGTCGTCCCATCGAGCGCTGTGGAACATCTTTCCCTGGAAGGATTCAGCGCCCTCAAGCTGTGGAATGTAAGGCCGATCGAGGGTGCCCACTGCGCTCACGACGACTGGCGCTTCGCGGACGAACGTTTGTCCAGTTTCGGTGTTCTGAAAGGTACAGATCCAGAGCGAGCGGGCCGAGTCCCAGCGCAAATCGAGGCACATTGTGTTGAACTGGCAGCGGGGCAGGATATCGTATCTATCAGCTACAGACATGAAGTACCTGTGAAGCTCATCACGTCCCGGGTACATGCTTGTCCAGTCGGGGTTCAGTGCAAAGCTGTAAGAGTAGAAATGACTGGGGATGTCGCAAGCACATGCGGGATATCGATTATGCCACCAGGTGCCGCCGATATTGTCGGACTTTTCGTAGATGGTGAAGTTGTCATGTCCGAGAAGACGCTTGAGTTGGATGGCCATACCAAGGCCCGAGATACCACCGCCGACGATGATAACCTCTTTGGAGCTAGCCATTTTGGATGGAAGTTGATTTGGAATTGGGATACAAAAACACGAAAGGGAGCCAGAACGATATGTTGCATAAGACCATTCTGCCTGCTACGGCTGTCTCTATGCTCCTTTTATGATTTTCGACATCTTTGACCTGTCAGCCAATTGATGTGTAGGGGCGATGTGCCTGGAGACGAGTCTGGGGGTGAGACGGCAGCGCTTAGAGTTGCGTTCCCTCAGATAATGGACCCACCATTATTAATAGCGGGGATGAGGACAGACAGCAACTCTAACCCCCGGCTTCGCAAAGCAATAGAGAGGACAGCTCAAGGCGCTAGTTAGTGGCTTCAGAACCCCGCGGAAGTCATAGCACTAGCGCCAAACTGGGCACGCTCTAGGCCTTCAAAGACATTTTTAATGTCAGGTCGACCCGCTGCAGGGAGAGAAATCTCACAAACAGTCTACTCCAACCGCGCAGTCAACAGGACAACGACCTTGCCTTACCTACTCTCAGCACACGCACAATTCATAACACGCAATGCCAGCCCCGCAGTCCCGCAAATCACTCAGCCCGTTTCCGGTAGCGTCCACCAGGAAGAGGAAAAAACACAGTCGTTCCCGGTCAGGATGGTAACGAACCCCTTCCAGGAGAGATCCAATGTTAACCAACACTCACTGAACTGAAAAGCCTCACCTGTCGACGGCGGAGACGAAAATGTGGGTTTTGTCTAGTTTGCTTTTCATCTTTATCCTTCTCTCTCCTAAAAGTCAACCAACGCGTCTAACTGGTGGATTCTTAGGTGATGGCCATCATCCTACTTGCCAAGAATGCCAGGCGCGTGGGGTTGAATGCGCCTGGGGATTGAAGGTTTCCTTTCACGCTTCTAGGTCGCTACAGCTGTCCTTGGAACACACTGCTGCCCTGTTTGACCTCGACAAGCAGAGACAAGAAGCTCAATCCGATGGGTCTGGACCTGACCAACAACCACTCGTTGTAAGTGTCATCCACTCCACTCTCTTGCTTCGACAATCACAACCTGACATAAATGATGTATCGAGATCATTGACGATACTGAGGAGGTTATTCGCTCCTTTTGCAAAGAGGATGGTGGATCGTCTATTGCTGATGAGTCAGATGGCGATACTCCCCAGCATTCTTTCCAGGAACACGATGAGTCTACCTCAACCGTCATTGAAAATGACGCAAGCTCTCACGAGGCCTTTTTCAGAACTGAAAATGAGGAGGCACGGAACGAGAATGCCAGTCTTGGTAGTCTGGATAGCGACGCTGTTGGCCAGGACAGAGCGTTTCACCACCTCCATCTGATACCTCCAGACCTTGCCACCACCCCGTTGATCCCTGCCCATTGGATGGCCGATCTTCCTTTTGCCCCCTTCTCCCTAGGACAGGCCATTTCTCGGGGCGTTTCTCCTCAGCCTGAGCCAAGGTTTCCCGTTTCGCAAAGCATCAAAGTTCATCTCATGTCTGCTTACATTAGAGAGACAGCGACATGGTGTGAAACCACAGACTCGGAGATGCATTTCTCCGCCAAGAGCATCCACCAGATGATGGACTCGAAACCCTTCGTTGCAGCAGCCATGTCACTCGCCTCCCGCCAATTAGATGTGACTCAAGGTTGTACCCGGCACATCACGCTCGAGCTTTATCAGTACGCCATTCGTCTCCTGCTGGGACATGATCCTGCGGAAGCAGACTCGTGCATCCTGGCAACATGCACAATTCTTTGTGTCTATGAAATGATGGCATCAAGCGTTTCCGAGTGGAGACGTCACCTCAAGGTGTGCCATGATATCCCCAATTATCCCCTACGTTGACCAAGGCGAGTGGGGGCTGACCTGTATGTGTACTTATAGGGCTGCGCTGGGTTACTAAGGATGCGCAAATGGAACGGGAATAGTAAGGGCATAGTAAAAACCTGCTTCTGGGCTTTCGCACGCATAGGTGCGACGTACCCCTTACTGGCAACGGATCCTTTCTCAGCTGCTAACGTATGGCAGATGTATGGGCCGCGTTTTTGATGAACCAGACCACGTTGATCCCAACAGACTCATGGGTAGATCAAGACTCTCTGTTCTTGGTTGCCGAGAAAGGAGACCCTGATGACTACTGCAACTTGGCAATCTTGATATTCGCCAAGATCATCAATGTTCTCAATGGTGAGGATAGCGCTGGAGTTACCTCTATCACTGGACCCAAAGCCAAAGTCCAGGCGTTATGGGACGAGCTTCAGCGATGGAGATGCTGGCGCCCTCAGAGTGTAAAGCCATTACTGAGAGTCGGCGAATCAGACCAGGGTCCCTTTCCTACTATCGTGTTTGCTCTGTACGCATCGGTATGCGGAAATACATTTTACCACGCCGGGTCAATCCTTCTACTGCAAAGCGGATTAGTTACGCCTAACCCTACTCTGGACATGGCAGATGTAGTATGTTCCCAGGCCAGCCCGGGCAAGTGAGAATCGGTGGCAGAACTGACATGATACAGCTCAGTCCTGTTTGGCATGCTAGGGAGCTCGGGGGTATTTCTACTAGCAACCCTTCTCAGTAAGCTTACTGTCCCGCCAGCTCTATGTTATGGTCTCTAGATGTTTTCTAACTTTGACCTGAATTGCAGCGCAAACTGGGTGAATCACCTTCAGCCCTTGTACATCGCCGGGAGGGCATTTGCTGGGTCACCCAAGCAGCCGCTTGCAATTCAGCCAGGACATGGAAGTTGTTGGTCGAGACATCTGCGGCAGACCGACCATGGATCGACGGAGAGTGAGAGGTTTGAAGCCAACACCTATTCTGTGGTGGATACAGCCGAGGGCTGGAATAGCCCAACAGAACCTGAGGATTTCGCCGCCGAAAAGATTGCTCTTTTGAAGCACTTGGCCAAGATTGAACGCGAGACAGGCTGGAAAACCACGGAACGGGCGAAAGATTTAAGAATACTCTGGGACTTGGAGAACTAACAAAAACTCAATACCAACGCATACAACAATATGTTTTAAACTGGTGAGGCATCGTGATTCTTTAGCAAGAATTTGAGGTGAAAGGCCAAGCCACCTTGCACTATGTTGCACTTTGACTTTACATGGGCGTCTTCAACGGCTTCATCGACGAGCCCTTCTATCGACTAATAGCCACTATAACCCCCCTTCTGTACCCTTGATCGACTTTCGTACGGATTCCGAAGCGAAGAATGTTCTCATATCCTGAACAAACACATCCGGACATTCCAGAGATGAGAAATGCCCCCCCACTCTGTACTCTTTCCAGTCCTGGATATTCGCAGCTTGCTGAGCCCAATCCTTAGGGCACTGGTGGAAAAAGGAAAAGCCTCTAGTCAGTTTCTTGTCGAAGCGCACTAACAGGGGTTACTAACATGTAACTGCTCTTTGGCATACATACTGACGCCCGTGGGGCAATCAACATAGGTCTCAAAAGTCCTCTCAGCCTCTCGTCGAGAGCCAAAGGCTTCACGATAGAATCTCAAGCCGGGCGTCGCCCCTTGGATCCAATGCATGACGACTAGGGTTATAACTGTCTCAGGGTCGAAAGCTTCGTCGACGTGACCCCAGTCATGGAACTTTTCAACGAACCAGGCCAGCAGACCAACTGGGGAATCGCCCAGAGCGAATCCTAGCGTCTGAGGCCTGGTCTTCTGTTGTTCTAGATAGCCGCTCTGGTCGACCTCGAAATTCCTCCTCACGCGCACGGCCTCCAGCTCGAATTCAGAGTAGAAGAGGCCGGAAAGGCACCAGCGTAGGTAGGCCATGGGGGCAGACCACAAAGTGGGCGGTGGCACAGGGAACATGTTCAGGTGTTGAGCACGGACGATGCCCGGGAACTGGATAGCTATTGATCTGGTGATGAAGGATCCAAAGTCGCCGCCTTGAGTTACGAACCACTTGTACCCGAGCACCTCCGTCATGAGGAGCTTGTATGCCCGAGCCACGACCTCTGGACCTACTCCTGACTTTGTCGGCGCAGGAGAGAAGCCGAATCCTGGGATAGAGGGCGCAACGACGTGGAAGGACGGGTCGGTCGACTTTTCTGGTCTGCTTAGAGGAATGACTACTTTGGATGCTTCCACGAAGGAACCTGGCCAGCCATGCGAGAAGAGAAGTGGAGTGGCATTGGGACTGGATGATTTCGCATGCGTGAAGTGCAAGACCAGCGGTCCGTAGCCTGGCACTTGAAGCTTCACAAGATAGTGATTGAACGTGTCGTTGAGGAATTTCTGTAAGTTAAACCGCTTAGTTAGCCGTATTCCGCCATAATTTCTGAGCACTCAGTACCAACTAACCTCCTGCTTTGCCCAGTCGTACTTGTTACGCCAGTACTGGGCCAGCCGAATCACCTCGGCCACCTTTGCACCCTGCAACCAATCCTCGGGGCCGAAGTCGCTCTGCTCGAACGGAAATCGAGCAAGATCGAGCTTCTGTCGCGTAAGCTGGATCAAGTCTTGGCTGAAGCGAACAGAGAAAGGGACAGGCTGGTTAAGCTTGAGCTCCGATTCTGATGGAAGGCAAAGATCCGAGAAGCTCATGGTGCAATTAACTTAGTAGAAGGAGTCTGTGAGAATAGTTGCTGAAGGGATTGTGGGAATGGTGAAGAAGTTGTCAACTTTTGGGAGAATAATTAAGAGCACTGACGCAAGCAAAGCAAATGCGGGAGGAAAAGCCTGGTGCTAAATTCTGTTGCTGCTTAATGAAGTCCTTTTGGGTTCTTTGAGAGAGGAGTGAATAATTAATCAACTAAAAAGCTGCAACTGCATGCACCTCCCCCTGCAGTGCTTTGTACCATAGAATGTCAGGGTATCCCAAGCAGCGTTTGCACATACCATTCTCTGTCCCTCGCCTTTCGCCGACGCCTCTGACGTGGGGCCTTGCACTAGCGGCGCTTCTACATGCCTTGTCTTGGACCCGTCCACGTAGAGCCCCGCTCGGCACCTCCAACGGGACTTTCCATCTCCGTCACGCCCCATTCTTGTTTTGGACAAGGAATCAGCTAACGTTATTGCTCCCATTTCGACATTCATGGGCTATACACCACTTGGTTCAAGCAGAGAATTATGACTGTTTAGCTATGGGTAAGCTACCTTGCTCAACAGTACGTTTGTAATCTGATCAGATAGACATTAGGGAATTTCAACCAAGTAACGGATCGTTGGTAAAACACCACAAACTATTGTCTTTGATCGTGACAGGCGTAGTGTGGAGCAGGAAAACTGACTGTGGTTCATTCCAGGACTTAGGAGTCGGTGATTATCAATCAATGATGCCCACTTGACAGTAACGGCATGAAGCATTGATGACAGAATGCGTCCTTGCCACCCGTCGGTTTTATAAACAGCTCTTTTCCCATGAGCAATGTTTGAAACACCAAACAACACCACCCACCCAGGCTATCTTCTCGACTCCCTATACGTACCTCTTTTGCAATGTCACTTCCAGCATCTGCCGAGGCCCTGGTTATCAGGCTCGACAGTACTAACACCCCAAGGCTTGTCAAGGAGACGGTACCCGTGCCCAAGCCTGGCGAGCATCAGCTTTTGGTCAAAGTGTCTTACGTAGCCCAGAACCCAACAGATGGTAAGACTTCCTCGCTTCAGTCATGGCCAAGATTGCCGGCTCCCATTCATGCACTGTTAACCATATCCAATACAGTCCAGTCATTTGACAGCAACGCCTTCGGTGATGGTGCCATCCTGGGCTGCGACTTTGTTGGCGTGGTTGAAGAAATCGGTCCGAATGTGACAAGAATCGCCAAGGGAACGACCATTGCGGGCTTGATCTGGGGAGGTGGGTTCTAGCATCTTCCAGACTTACTGTTGTGTACCCCAATGGATGACTGATCTAAGACCTAGGAAGCATCAAGGGCCTTGGGGGATACAGCCAGTACACCATTGCTGATGAACGAATTTGCTTTCCAGTTCCTCAGCAGCTGAGCCCAGAGGCAGCATCTACCATTCCCCTCGCGTCCTGCACAGCTGCACTCAGTCTCTTTTCAAAAGACTGTCTAGCCATTGACACCAGCGGTGAAGAAAAACCTGCGGTTCTGATTTGGGGTGGCAGCTGTAGGTCATTCCGTCGCGATTTTCTGCTTATTCGCCTTTGTGGCTAATCATAGTATAGCAAGTGTAGGACTTTACGCGATCCAAATTGCGAGATTGAACGGACTGGAAATCATTACGACCTGCAGTCCAAAGCATCACTATCTTGTCAAGTCTTATGGAGCGATGGAAGCATTTGACTATCGAGACCCGCAGGTGGTTGAGAAGATCCGACAGGCAGCTCCCGGTCTTCGATACGTGTTTGATACTATCGGAAACACGACCTCTTCCAACATGGCCTCACGCGCAATCTCTCACCAAGACGGCGTCCTCTGCACCGTCCGCCCCGGCAAAGCTAACACCGAAGAGGTGGATAAGGGTGTCAAGATTACTGACGTCCTCGTCTGGACAGCTTTTATGAAAGAGCATCGCTATGGGAAATTCCACTGGCCGGTAAGCACGTGCATCAATGAGATGGAATGGATTTAAAAGCTTACGAGTCTAATAGGCTAGTCAAGAAGACCACAAACTTGCTTCGGATTTCTTTCAGAAGTTACCTGCGCTTCTTTCTTCGGGCCAGATCAAGCCAAACTCTTATAAGCTCTTCAAGAACGGTTTTGACGACGTATCCCGGGGATTTCAGGAGTACCGCGACGGTAGTATCTCAAACTATAAGATTGTTTACAAGGTTTAGGACAGGGGAATAATACTTAGTTTATTATAAAGACTAAAAGATGATAAAACTGAGAGTATTATTGACTTTACATAACTAAGACCTAGAGACTTTATATTTATTTAGGAGACAGATAAGTCGCGTTAATATTGGCTTGCTCTGTTGACTCGGAGATGGTGTCCTTCCTTATTGGTCCCCAGATTTATGTGGCACGTGCAGGGTCCACCCCAGCCTTTGTCCTACTTCTTCGTCCCCCATTCAACCCCCAGTGATCCCTGCATATGGCATAGGAATTCAAAAGCTAACCTAGCACCCACGACTTGCTTCCAACCTTTGCCAAACAAACAGATAAAGCGACAATGGAAGGCTTTGAGCTTCTAACTCCCCCCTTAGGGTTCCAGAACGGCTCCGCCCGTCTTCTCACGGGAGACCTGGTCGTGCGGGACATTGAGCGCTGGTGTCGTCGAAAAGCTGAGAAGGGTGGCGTCAAGCCAGTCATGGCCGTTATCTTCTTTAACACAGGCACTGAGGCAGTAGACTATGTCAAGATCAAGGCTCACGTTGCTGCACGGGTAAGTTCAACAGTTTCCCCATCCCGATCAGGGACCGGATTGAGGACAATAGCTGCGATGTGGCATAAGATACTCCCCGGCGTCTGCCTTGCAGAGCTTAATTGACCCACCGCGTAATAGGCTGGCGTCAGCTATTGGGTATATGAGATGCCCGTCGACGCACCAACAATACAGGTCATGAGCCAAGTCAAGAAGCTGAACAAGAACCCTCAAATCCACGGCATCCTTATACAGCGCCCGTTGCCGCGCCAGTTGAATGAACCAGAGATCATGGGATATATCGATCCTGTTAAGAACATTGAGGAGTACGCTAAATGCCAGGCCGACAATATTGCTGCAGACGCCTTGGTCCGCTTGTTGGCCAGGTATGGGTTGCTAGAGTCAGCACAGCAGGCCAGAATCCAGATTGTCGGTTTTGGGAACATCATTACGAAAGAGTTCATCAAGCAGATGAAGCGCCAATTCCCCCACGTAAGCGCGTCTAAAGACTTCGATCCATCCTATGATGCCAGTCAAGACACACGTGAAGCTCTTCAGAAGGAAGTTCAGAGACCACGCGCTTCCATAATCATCTCGGAAATGCATCGCGGACCCGGTTTCATCAAAGCGTCCATGGTCAAGCCAGAAGTGAGTGTCTTGGTTGATCTTGGCTTCTATGCTACAGAAAAGGGCGTCATCGGCGATGTGAGCCACTCCCTCTTTGACAGGAGTGATCTAGCCATTGCCCCGACACCGGGAGGAGTCCTTCCCATCTTGTTATGGATCATGATGGAGCGGACGATCAAGGCCAAGCAGATGATCGCGAAGGAAGAGCTGCGAGGGTCTTGTTGCTTAACCATGTAAGACTAGCAGAGGTGGCAGAGAACTTAGATTCTTAGATGTTATTAAGCATAGCCTATAAAATGAAAACCTCATCTTATCTCAAAACAGAGGAGATCAGAAGTGTGTAGCAAATGAATCATATGTTTATTTATAGAAGAGATAGTGTGCAGAGATTCCTTACCCTTCCAAAGTCGCCGCTTAACCACTCTATATCCTTAAGAACTCAAGGTAGCACCGACAAATCACCATGGTCTATATTAAATCTCAAACCTGCATTCTCTGCCTTAATATAATAGATACTTTAATAGAAGCCAGGGTAGACTTTGACCTAATAAAATCTGTTCAATACTGCAGCAGTTGCCTTCTGCATTGATTATATGACTTAATAGCATTTTGGTACTCCCATCGGGCGTGACGACATGGTCTTTGTGAAGATCATCTTGCCTTCAGCCTAATCAGGCAGCGGCCGCAGCCAACGAGTCAGCGGGGTCATGGCCCGGCCCGTCCACTTCCCTCCATTTCCCTCCATTTCTTTCACGACCACCTGTTATATCGCGTACTTAAAACCGTCATGAACCGCGAAAAGGAAAACGATTACACAAATACATCCGGTATTGATGAGGAAAGTCTCAAATGTCCAAATCCCATTACCAGTCAAGGAGCCGGAAGCCGCCGTGCCCGGGCCGAGAGCAGCTGCGTACGGTGGTGGGAGGGCCTCCGCACCCGCTCACCATTCTCGCAATCCATGATACCTCTAGAGCCTCTAAGTTCGGCAGAAGGGGACTTTCTAGCAATGCCTAGCTATCCTGCCGAGGCGGAGGCGCGGACCCGTGCCATTGACAGATACCTCGCTGCCGAGTCCCAGCGGAGGAAACGGCAATTGAAGATCGTCCTTTTCGGCGATGAGCACGGCAAGAGTCATTTTTTGAAGCAAACCCGCCTTCTTGAGCTCCCGCTTTCCAATGACGAACGCGCAAATGTTCGAGTCGAGGCGAGGCGCTTCGTCGCGTCGATATGCCGGGAATGCTTGCTGATTGTTGAAGCATGTGCGGGCTATCCAGAATGGATTAATGTCCATCCAGTCCTGGGGCGTGTCAAGGAGTTTGTGTCGCGCGAAGAAACCGAAGACGAAGAAACGGTTGAAAGCATGGTGAACCTGTATTGCGACGAAGAACTGCGGCTCGCACTTAAGCAGTTTGGCCATAACCTCGAAAACATCGAGCGACGATTCTTGAATGGCCGCTTTCCGCATATCCTTACTTGCCCCTGCACTGGAAATGGTAATCTGAGTAAGCTCTTGAAGCGAATCTTTGCGCCAGAGTACGTCCCTACAGAGCATGACTGGTTCCACTTTGACCAGCGCCGTTTGGAGCCAGTGGCCCAGGAGGCTCTCATCCATCGAGACAGCCACACGATGCGATTTTTACAAATCACGGATAGGTCAACACAGAGGCGAAAATGGATTCACATTTTGGTGGATGACGCGGCCTGTGTTCTTTTTATCTCTGACCTGGCCATCTATGACCAGAGTCTGCTGGAAGATGAGACCATAAACAGGCTCCACGAGGATTTCCTGCTCTTTAGCTCGTTGGTCAACTCAAGATGGTTCACCCAAACGCCATTCTTCGTCATTTTGTCAAATGTCTCGGCCTTTAGAAACAAGATTCTGCAGTCGCCGCTGTCGAAATGGTTTCCCCAATTCAAGGGAGGCAGTGACGGAGATGCAGCGCTCAAGTTCATTAAAGACCGGTTCCAGGAACTTGCGAAAGCTAACCAAAATGTGTATATACACGTTGCAGATATTCATAGTGCAGAGGGCGTGATAGCTGCCATTGAGACTATGGAAAATACGTCACTTAGTAAAGTTTTAAAAGAGCTTGGTATGCCTCCTGTCAAGTGTAAAAACTAGTCTTTAAGAACTTTACCCTTTGCCGGGCTTAATTCTATTAGTAGCGCGCTTTCCATAGCTTCCCTATTTGCTTTAAAGGCCATGGCGAGCACGAATTATATCCTTTACTAAGCAGCAGCTCGGCAAGATTGCTTGCAGAGCGTCTACTAGCCTGAAGACTATGATCTGCTTCTTATTTCACACTTTTCTTTTCTTGTATTAGTTTAAGGTTTAAAATTTAACTCTTCTAATTGGCGCATTCTCGGTATCTTGTTCTGTTTGAGTATGTGTCACGAACATTTTACCCTCTTTCCCAATTGCTTCCCACTAAGAGTCTTCAACTTCATAGGCTAATACATCATTGTCTCTTTGGATCTTTTATTGATGGTCAGTTCACTCAATTAGTGCAAAAAAAAAAAAAAAAAAAAAAAAAAAGCTGCCTACCTGAGCTACTAATAGTAAACCTATTGCATAGCATCACGTGTACTCAGTAGGTCCTGTCATTATGCGACTACGAAAAACACCAAGAGCTACTGAATTTTGCACCGTATTCACCTGAGACAACCCAGACTAATGACACAACATGATGGCCATGAGAAATCACCGGCAATATTACCCCATTTAGGTACTATAGACAGGTGTATATTGCCCGAACCTACTACGAAAATGGCAGACGGCATGGCCAAGGAGGCTAATTTCAATGACGGATCCATGGTGGACTTTGCTTCGACTTCGGGCACTGGCTCTCCCTAGAGAAGGGAAAATGAGAGCACCTCAAAGGGCACACTATTATGAGGCTTTCAGACAACCTGTGGACACTGGAAACTGACGCGCCGGCAGTCCCGCTACCCCTTCATCGAGGAAAGATACAGAGCCTTGCCAGGCTCATCCGGCACCACCATCATCGTTCTATTCAAAATTTCCATTGTCTCATTGTAATTTCAACTTATCATCCGTCTTCAATCCCAACTGTTCTTGTCATTAGTCTCTTTCTTCAATAATGGCAGACCTTCTAACATCTCTTCGGTTCACTTACGATGGATAGCTCGATTACTTTGAAATCAGTCCTGCAACCTACGTTCTCGAGTTATAACCATCAGTGGCGATTGTCTAGCTTTTCATGCATTATTTTGATGCTTCATATACTTGAACTTTGTGTACTGTCACTTCAAAATTTCAGTACAGAAGAATTGCCAATTTATTGGAAAGAGGATAGCGCCAATTCACTATTGATACATAAATTATATAATACAAACATAGGAGAAAAGGTAGCAGCATGTAGCGCAAAAGGCCATGTAGACAATCCAGACAAAGGAAACAAGGCGGTGACCAAACTGATTAAAAGCTGGCCATGATATGTGAACATAGGAAACGAAGCTGATGAAGAAGGGACACGAAGCTATCCGTACAAGATACACATAGGAAATTTGTCAATGGTTGAGTTTGCGTCCTAGACTGGGAGGGTTTGGCTGTCAATGCACCTCGCGCCATCGTTAGAGCTGGACGCAGGACCTGTTGCAATGAAAACAGGGTTACCTGCTGTTGGTGCCACAGGAAATTTGAAGATTTGGCCGCTGTTATTTTCAGAGCCATACAGGTTTCCGTCCTGAGAAGCATATACGGCACCCCAGAAGTTTGAACCGGCAACATTACCATACGCTTTAACAGTCGTCCAGGTGTATGAGGTACGACTGAAACGGCCTAGAGTTGAGGTTAAGCCAGCACTGTCGACCATAACTGCATACATATAATCACCACCGCCAGGCACAAAAGCCCAGTCAGCTGCAGTCAGAGTAGTAACAGCAGTGCCACTCATGATGATCTTTCCATAGGTTGCTGAGCCCGGCATGAGGTCGATGCACCACCAAGCCTTTGCAGATGTAGCAATCCAGTATCGGCCTAGATTGTCGATATCGCCCATATTGACACTGCGGTCTGAGGTGCGTGCAGCCAGAAGGGTGTAGGAACCATCACCAGCAATGCGGATAACTTGCGTACCTGTGCTATCCTGCAACATGCCGTAAATGAAATTGTCGAACTTATTGTATCCAATAGCGTTGATATTGCCACCGGGTCCAACAAGAGCATTGATGAGAGTAGTTTTTCCACTAGTGAGATCAACACGGTAGAATGCAGTCTTTTGCATGAGGTAACCGTAGACGTCGCACTTCAATGCAGGTTGAGCAGCGGCAGAGGATGTTGCCGCAGCTGGGGGAGAACTTGGAGTTGCAATAATCACGGTGGCAGGATCACCAGGTTGACCAGGCGATAGAGTTGATGTAACTGGGCCATTGATTGTTGTACCACCGTTTGTGGTTATCGTAACAGTGTAGGGGAGAGGATACTGGATGAGGATGGTGCCGGGACTGCCCAGAGCCGTTGCAGACTCAAAAACAGTTGTGGCCTTGGTGAGAGTACTAACCGTCTGCGTTGTCGTGACGTTGTAAGGGGCAGGTACTTGAACGATGGCCGTAGCGGGATCTCCTTGACTGCTGGGCATCGCTATTGTCGTCAAAACCTGAGAAATGGTTGAAACGGTGGTGGTGACAGTGACTGTGGTCGAGGGAGGGAGGTTTATCGTAGTGGGATCCAAACCTACGCATCTGGCACCATCACCGGAGAGATTGAGAATAGTACCGCCCGGTAAAGACGTAGGGTTGGAAGTACTTCCTAGAGTGAATTTCCACGTCTGCCCAAGTAGATTTTCCTGTGCGTATAAAGTGCCGCCTGGGCCTCCCATTACAGCTCCCCAGTTGAGGTTCAAGCTTGTAAGGACGAAGTTGCTGTATGACTGATAGCGCTCCCAAGTCTGTGTTGTAAGTGACCATCGCACAATGTTTGTACGAAGAAGGCCTGACTCAATGACCGAGGCCTGTACGGCATATAGATAGTTTCCTGCACCAGCAATGTAGGCCCAGTCACCTACACCTGAGAGGATATCGGCAGTAGACGTGCCACTCTTTAGTAGCGTGCTGAATGTCGAGGAAGAAGGATTAACGTCGATACACCACCATCTCTTTCCGCTCTCAGATACCCAAAGGCGTCCTTGGTTGTCGACATCCCCCATATCGATGATAATTGAAGGAATCGTAACCGGTAGGATCTCATAGGCACCGTCCTGGGCAATGCGGATGAGACTTGAGCTGAGGCCTTGGATGACCATACCGTAGATATAATTGTCGAGAGTATTATAACCGATAGCGTTGATGATACCAGGGCCAATACCGTTGGCCACCGTAGAGCGGGTGCCATCGTTGAGATTGACTTGCGTAAGAGTGTTACCAAGTAGATTGGACATGACATATCCATTACCGTCACATTTAAATGGTGGGCCAAAGACAGTCTTTGCATCTGGGCACCTAGCACCATCTCCCTGCAGGTTGAGGATAGAACCCCCTGGTATAGGAGTCGGATTAGCGCTGCTCCCGATAGTAAACCTCCATGTCTGGCCGAGTAAATTCTCCTGTGCCCACAGAGTATTCGGTCCTGCCATGACAGCGCCCCAGACCAGATTTGTAGCAGTGAGAACGAGGTTAGGGTATGACTGATAGCGCTCCCATGTGTGGGTTGTGCGTGACCAGCGGACAATATTCGTACGAAGAAGACCAGATTCGATGACCGAGGCTTGCACGGCATAGAGGTAGTCACCTCCGCCGGGCACGTACGCCCAATCGCCTACTCCAGCAAGAATATCAGTAGCCGATGTACCGCTGCTAAGAAGCTTGCCAAAGGTAGGCGAGGCAGGATTAACATCAATACACCACCACTTCTTTCCATTTTCGGAAACCCAGAATCGCCCTTGATCATCAACGTCACCCATATCAATCATATTGGACGGAATAGTAAGAGGCAATGTCTCGTATGCACCATTCTTAGCGATGCGGATGAGTTGGGACGAAGGGCACCCAAGAAGGCCACAGAGCAGTCCGTTCACGAGACCTTGGTTGACCGTACCATAGATATAGTAATCAAGCTTGTTGAAACCGATGGCATTGATGGCGCCTGCAACCCCAGCAACATTGAGAAGGGTACCTCCTGGACCAATACCACTCTTAATTGTCGTACGTTGACCGGTGTTTAGATTGACCTGTGTAAGAGTGTTGCCGAGAAGAGTTGAAATTGTATAGCCATAGCCATCGCAGTCGAACGTGGGGCCGAAAGAAGCCTGGGGCATCTTACTGCTAGTGCTCGTGCTTGAAGAAGTGGACTTGATGATGGCAGAGCTGACAATTGGGGGGGCAATAGTTGTCAGTGTCGAGCTGACAGGAAGGGGAACTTGGATGAGAACAGTCCCCGGGCTGCCTGGTGCTGTAGCGGGCACAAAGCTTGTCATAACCTGGTTGATAGTGGCAACCGTTTGGGTAGATGTGATGTTATAAGCAGGGGGCATTTGAACGATGACGGTTCCTGGGTCTCCTTGTACGGCTGGAGCGCTGTATACAGTAGCAACTTGTGAGATGGTGGGAACCGTCTGCGTTGTCGTAACATTATATGAGGGCGGGAGCTCTACAATAATGGTTCCAGGGTCGCCTTGTACAGCGGGGGGGTTATATACTGTAGCAACCCGCGAGATAGCAGGAACTGTCTGCGTTGTCGTAACATTGTATGAAGGTGGGATTTGAACGATGATGGTTCCTGGGTCTCCTTGTACGGCTGGAGCGCTGTACACAGTAGCAACCCGCGAGATGGTGGGAACTGTCTGCGTTGTTGTAACATTGTATGAGGGTGGGATTTGAACGATGACGGTTCCTGGGTCTCCTTGAACGGCTGGTGGGGAATAAGCAGTAGAGACTCGTGTAATCGTTGGCACCGTCTGCGTTGTTGTAACATTGTAGGATGGGGGCACCTCAACTAGTACAGTCCCTGGGTCTCCTTGCGTGGCTGGAGGATTATATATCGTAGTAGCCCTCGAGATAGTAGGAACAGTCTGGGTTACTGTCACATTGCGGTCGACTGGAACTTGTACCAGGACAGTGTTGGCATCACCTAGATTTGCTGCAGGATAATAAGATGTTTGGACCCGACTGATTGTGCTGATAGTCTGTGTCGTTGTGATATTGCGAGATGGTGGGACCTCAACCAAGACCGTGCCGGGGTCACCCTGATTGGCTGGCTCAGCATAAATAGTAGATACCATAGTGATTGTAGGGATGGTTTTTGTGGTCGTTATGTTGTACGAGGGTGGGACTTGTACGAGGAGAGTGTTGGGATCGCCTTGAACACCAGCTGGATAGTATGATGTCTGAGCCCGAGTGATCGTGCTGACAGTCTGGGTACTGGTCACAGTGTGGTCAATCGGCACTTGGATAAGAACAGTGTTGGGATCGCCTTGAACTCCGGCTGGATAGTATGACGTCTGAACCCTGGTGATAGTACTAACAGTCTTGGTGCAGTGGTATTATACGAAGGAGGCACCTGTACTAAAACCGTATTGGGATCACCTTGAACGCCGGCTGGGTAGTATGATGTCTGAGCCCGAGTGATCGTGCTGACAGTCTGGGTACTGGTCACAGTGTGGTCAATCGGCACTTGGATAAGAACAGTGTTGGGATCGCCTTGAACACCAGCTGGATAATATGATGTCTGAACCCGGCTGATTGTGCTGATGGTTTGGGTCGTAGTGACATTAGACTCGACTGGGATCTGGATAATGACTGTACCCGGATCGCCTTGCGTCGCACCAGGGTTATATGTTGTCCTAATTCGCGTGATTGAGTCGACTGTTGCCGTGGTAGTGACGTTATAATCCACTGGAACTTGTATTAAGACCGTATTAGGGTCGCCTTGCGTGCCTGCAGGATAATATGTAGTCCGGACCCGACTGATAGTGTTGACGGTCTGGGTCGTAGTTACATTGTAATCAGGAGGAACTTGGATAACAATGGTTCCTGGATCGCCTTGTGTTGCAGCCGAGTAATAAGTGGTCCTAACCCTAGTGATTGAGTCGATGGTTGCAGTCGTGGTTACGTTATAATCTGGCGGCAGATCGACATAAACAGTACCTGGGTCTCCTGCAGCAGCTGGGCTGGCGAATCGTGTAGCCGGGCGGCTAATAGTTGGCACAGTCGAGGATATTGTTACGTTAGAGTCTGGCGGAAGTTCAACAATAACGGTGCCAGGATCGCCCTGCGTGTCTGGTGACGCAAAGGTAGTTATCAGTTTTGTGATTGTATTGACAGTCTTGGTGATCGTGATATTATACTCTGGTGGTAGGTCCACATAGACAGTACCAGGGTCCCCGATGGTGCCAGGGCGGGAATACCGAGTTGTAGGCCTTGTGATTGTTGAGACTGTCTGAGTCATTGTGGTGTTGGTATCCGGAGGAAGTTCAATAATAATAGTGCCAGGATCGCCCTGTATGTCTGCAGGAGCAAAGGTGGTCGTTGGCCTTGTAATAGTATTGATGGTTGTTGTGACTGTGATATTGTACTCTGGAGGTAGAAGCACGAATACGGTACCTGGATCGCCAATTTCAGCGGGACCTGAGTAGCGAGTAACTGGTCTACTGATCGTCTGTATAGTCTGTGTTGAGGTGATATTGTATGCAGGTGGCATCTCGATGATTATAGTACCAGGATCGCCTTGAGTAGCAGCCGGAGCAAATGTTGTAGATTGCCTTGTAATAGTAGGGATTGTTGTAGTCACTGTGACATTGTATTCCGGCGGTAGGTCAATGAAAACAGTGCCCGGATCGCCGATTTCAGCTGGAGTTGAGTATCGGGTCAAAGGTCGACTAATAGACTGCACAGTTTTCGTCGTAGTGACATTATACTCAGGGGGCATCTCAACAAGTACTGTTGCCGCGTCACCTTCCGTAGCTGGGGTCTCAAATATCGTAGTTGGTCGACTAATTGTGCTGACTGTAGTAGTCATCGTAACGGTATGGCTTGGCGGTACGTCAAGGTAAACAGTACCTGGATCACCTTGAGTTGCTGGAGGAACAAACCGCGTTACGGGTCGTGTGATAGTAGACACAACCTCTACAACGGTGGCATTGGTCTCTCGGGGTACCTCGATGACAATGGTGCCAGGGTCACCAGGATTTGCAGGAGGCAGGTAAGTTGTGGCAAGTCTGGTGATTGTGCCGACGTCTTGCTGCGTAGTCGTGATATTTCTCTCGGGTGGCATTTCGATGATGATAGTCCCTGGATCTCCTTGACTCCCTGGAGCAGAATAGGCAGTGTAGGGAGTAGACAGACTAGCGATCGTTGTAGTGATTGTTATATTCCTCGGAGGCGGCACCTCTATGATGACGGTACCTGGATCACCCTTATTTGCAGGCGCTGCGTATGTTGTGGACATCCTCGTGAGAGTAGGTACTTCAGTCGTAACTGTAATATTCCTGTCTGGCGGCATTTCCACGATGATGGTACCTGGATCACCCTTGTTCGCAGGCACCGCATAGGTTGTGTAGGGCTTTGTGAGAGAAGGTACTTCAGTTGTAACTGTAATGTTTCTGTCAGGTGGCATTTCCACGATGACTGTACCTGGATCACCCTTGTTCGCAGGCGCTGCGTATGTCGTGAATATCCTCGTGATAGTAGGTACTTCAGTTGTCACTGTAACGTTTCTGTCAGGGGGCATCTCGATAATAACAGTGCCTGGATCTCCCTCATTGGCAGGCGATGCGTACGTAGTGTACGGCTTCGTAAGAGAAGATACTTCGGTTGTGACTGTAACGTTTCTGTTAGGTGGCATCTCGATGATAACAGTGCCCGCATCCCCCTTACTTCCCGGCGTCGCATATGTAGTGTATGGATGGGTGCGAGTTGCGACTGTTGTAGTAATTGTTGTGTTCCTGTCAGGAGGCATCTCGATGATAACAGTACCAGGATCACCTCTATTCGCGGGTGCAGAATAGGTTGTGAACGGTGCAGTCCGGCTGCTGACCTCCTTTGTAGTCGTGACGTTAATGTTACTATCAGGGGGCAACTCCACGATAACTGTGCCTGGGTCACCTGCGTTGCCTGGGGGCGAGTATTTCGTGTAGGGAGCCGTCAGGCCTGTAACTTGCGTTGTGATGGTCACATTGTTGGCGGGCGGTACCTCAATAAGAATAGTACCGGGGTCTCCCTGACTTGCTGCAGGTAGATATGTCGTATAGGGAGCTGTCCTACTGCTGATCTCGGTTGTGATGGTGATATTGGAGTCAGGGTGGAGGCCGATAAATACCGTTCCAGGATGTCCCGGGTTAGCTGGAGGCGAGTAACTTGTGTAAGGGGATGTGATAGAGCTGGCAACATTTGTAACAGTGACATTGTACTCTGTCTTCATTGGAACTTCAACGACAACAGTTCCAGGATCACCTTTGTTTGCAGGTGCTGCATATGTTGTATAAGGTGCAGTCCTATCACTGGCAGTCTTGGTAGTGGTGATGTTGGAATCTGGGGGTAACTCAACCAAGACGGTGCCAGGATCGCCGCGGTTAGCAGGTGGAAGATATGTCGTGTAAGGAACAGTTCGAGTGCTCTCAATAGAAGTGATAGACACGTTACGGTCAGCTGGAATACCAACGATGACAGTACCAGGATCCCCAGCAGCACCTGGCGGCGAGTAGGTTGTATATGCCGCTGTAATGGCAGTATCTTGCTGTGTAACTGTTACATTACGCTCAGGCGGAACCTCAACGAGAACTGTTCCGGGATCATCCTGTGCGCCTGCTGGCAGAAAGGTTGTATAGATTGCGGTGATAGTCCGAACTGTTTGAGTGGTCGTCACGTTAAACGGTGTAGCAGGCCCAGGAGTCTCAATAATCACAGTACCGCTGTCACCTGCACTCTGTGGGGGGATAAAAGACGTTACAGGGCCAGTAAGGGATCTCGGGCCCGCTCTATAGATGGTAGTGTTTTGACCGGGCTCAGAAGTTGAAGGGTCTTGAGAAGTTGACACAACCCGTTGGTTGGGCATGATGATGGCAACTGTTCCAGGATCGCCGGGAGTGGCTGGTGGGTCGTAACTGGTAACAGTGTCTGAAGCAGAATCAGTCGCCTTTCTAGTAACTGTCACATTGTACTCAGGAGTCTCAATAAGGACAGTCCCAGGATCCCCAGGAGAGCTGGGAGGCAAGTAGGTTGTTAACGGAGCTGTAATGGTAGAAGCGCCTTGAGTTGTAGTAACATTATACGGTCCAACAGGTGTTTCGACGATGACAGTACCTGGGTCGCCAGGGCTTCCGGGTGGAAGATAGGTCGAAAATACAGTGGTGACCGATTTGGGTCCTTGCCTAGTAACGGTGACGTTATAATCCGGGGTTTCCACGATAATAGTGCCTGGATCACCTGGCGTGGCTGGCGGCGAGTATTTCGTTGTAGGCACTTTGATTGAAGCACCCTTGGTGACAGTAACATTATACTCATTTCTAGGCGTCTCAATGATCACTGTACCAGGATCACCTAGGTCCCCTGGGGGGTTATATATCGTTCGCAGGCTTGTCACTGAAACAGGTGCCTCACGAGTGATGGTGGTGTTATAGTCGGGGGTTTCAATAAGAATCGTGTCGGGGTCGCCTGGGGAGGCTGCGGCTATGTATGTTGTGAATGGCGCAGTGACTGAGGCGCCTCGCGTAGTGGTCACGTTGTAAGCTCCAGCCGGAGTCTCAACGATGACTGTACCAGGATCTCCGGAGGCACCTGGGGGGACGTAAGTTGTATATAGGCTCTTGACTGAGGCTGGAGCAGCTCTTGTAACCGTAACATTGTAGGCGTTGTTAACAGCGTTAGGTGTCTCTACAATGATAGTACCAGGATCGCCTGGAGTGCCTGGAGGAGCATAGGTTATATGCATACTGGTGACAGATGCAGGTGCAGCTCTTGTGATGGTGACATTATAATCGTTGTTAGGCGTCTCAACTATCACAGTACCTGGGTCGCCAGGAGTGCCTGGGGGGACATAGCGAGTTATAGGACTAGTGATTGATGCCGGTGCCTGTTGTGTTACCGTAACATTGTTATCAGGAGTTTCGATAATAACTGTCCCTGGGTCGCCGGGTGAGTCTGGAGGAGCGTATGTTGTCAGCATCCTTGTAACAGACGCAGGAGCAGCTCTCGTGATCGTGATATTATATGCATTGTTGGGGGTCTCCATGATGACTGTTCCTGGGTCACCCATAGTACCGGGAGCCACGTATGACAGGCGAACGCTTGTTACTGATGCAGGGGCTTGTCTCGTGATAGTAACGTTGTAGTCGGGAGTTTCGACAATAACCGTGCCCGGATCACCAGGGGAACCTGGAGGCATATAGGTCGTGTACATGCTCGTGATGGATCCCGGTGCGGGTCTGGTCACAGTGACATTCCTGGTGCTAGGAGATTGCGATTCTGTTTCTCTGCTGCCTGTGACTCCGGTGGTATCATGTTCAGCCGAGCCGGTTGGGGTCAGAATAATGATTCTTCCCGCTTCACCTGAAGAAGCCGGAGGAAGATAGATCGGCGAAGTGTCCATCCCTGCGCCGGCGCTGTAAATTGTGACATTAGGCTTTGCTGCACCAGGGATAGGTGCGCTGGTACCACTTCCAGTATCGATACCATTAGTAGGTGTTTGAATCAAGATAGTATCCGGTTCATCTGATGCTGTAGCTGGTATATATTTGGTCTGTGCAACGGTATTAGGACCACCGGTATAGACGGTAGTATTTTCCTTCTGCTGTGGAGATATAACAGTCCCCGTGGATGAGTCTGAGATACGATCTGAACCCGTTTCCTTGTCTACGGAGTCGCCAATTGGCGTCTCGATGACAATGGTGCCAGCCTCTCCAGACCTTGTCGGTGGGATGTATCGTGTCTCCGTTACAGAACCAGAATATCCTGTGTGGATTGTGACATTTCCAGGTGCAGTTCCTGTGCTGGAAGAATCAGCAAGACCAGTTGGCGTCTCGACCATAACAGTTCCCGGCTCGTCAGACGCAGTTCCTGGGATGAATGTTGTTCGCACAGTCGTTCCAGCAAAACCAGTGTAGATGGTGATATTACTGACACCTGTTTGAGGATCAGGAGAGCCGGTAGGAGTTTCGATAAGGATCGTTCCAGGCTCGTCTGTAACTGTGGCAGGAATGAACCTTGTCTTTGTGGCTGTGCCAGAAACCCCGGTGTAAATGGTAATATTACCGGCACCTGTTTTAGAAGCAGTTGATCCATCCGGTGTTTCGATAATGACAGTGCCCGCATCATCCGAAGCAGTGGGGGGGATGTAGATAGTGCGAGTTGCGGTGACATGCCCACCACTGTACACAGTTACATTGGTACCGGCTGCTACAATCTTTGGAGCCTCGAAAGAACCAGTGGGTGTCTCTATTATGACTGTTCCTGGTTCATTCGAGGCCGTAGCAGGCAGGTAGATAGTGGTAAGGGCTGACCCTGGGCCGCCTCGAGAAATTGTAACGTTGGAAACATCACGAGGAGGTGGAGTCGTGGTGGCACCACCAGTTTCCTGACCATCACCGGTAGGTGTTATAATCAGGATGGTATCCGGCTCGCCAGGTTCAGTGGCAGAAATTATGGTCGTTCTAGTGGCTGTTCCAGCACCACCGGTGAATACAGTGGTGTTGTAATGACGGGCTGACGAAGTATCTTCATTCGAGTCAGTAGCAGGTGTCTGAATTAAGATCGTATCTGGCTCTCCTGGTGCAGTGGCAGAAATGGTAGTCGTTCTAGTGGCTGTTCCGGTACCAACGGTGAAAACAGTGGTGTAGTGGCCAGTTGACGAAGCAGGTGTCTGGATCAATATGGTGTCTGGCTCTCCTGGTGCAGTGGCAGAGATAGTGGTCGTTCTGGTGGCTGTTCCAGTGCCAACGGTGAATACAGTGGTGTAGTGACCGGCTGACGAATTATCTTCGTTTAAATTAGTAGCCGGTGTCTGGATCAAGACCGTATCCGGCTCACCAGGAGAACTAGCCTGGATAAATGCAGTCGTTCTGACGGTACCAGAGCCCGCAGTGTAGATGGTTGTATTCGTTCGCCCTCCGATCACTGCGGAAGTCGGTGTTTCTTCTTCATTAGTCCTCTCAGATGGCTCAGCTGGTGTTTGAACGACGACAGTCCCCCGTTCGCCTGAATTAGTAGGAGGATAGTAGATAGTCTTGACCACATTTCCTGAAACACCACTGTAAATGGTTGTATTACCAGGGCCAGTGGCGGCGACTTCAGTTTCGGGCGGACCTGAAGCTGGTAGCGATACGTGAGATCCTGTGGTGGCACTATAGCTAGGTACCTCGATGACAACTGTGCCCGGATCACCCTGGGAGCCCGGAGGCAGGTAGGTGGTAAAGGGACTCGCAATCGAGGTCGTCGCCTGCTGTGTGATAGTGACGTTGTAGTCTGGGACCTCAATGATAAAGGTACCCGGATCAGTAGATACAGCTGGCGGCGCATAGGTTGTCAAAATCTTAGTGATACCGGCAGGGGCTGCTCTTGTAATGGTAACGTTTCCGTGCTCAGCCAACGTCTGATCCAAATAGACACTAGTTTGAAGGACAACTGTTCCCGGTTCCGTTCCACTAGGGGGGATGATGATAGTGTTAATTTCCTTGCCGGTGGTAGTAGGCTCAGCACCAGGGCCCGACCTCACGCCGGTTCGAGTAGAGGGGTCACCGGGAATGGTGACTGTGGCGCTCACCGTGACAAAGTTCGCAGTACCAGATGCACCTGGCGATGCTTCCTCCACTGAGGAAGTATCGATTGGGGTGTAAATAATCTTGGTTCCGGGATTTCCGTTAGAGGGAGGGATTATTTGCGTAACATTCTCTACAGCATCCGGGAACCTCGTGTTAGGCTCAATGACCGTCACATCATTATTAGCATCACTGGGAGTGACGGTGATTGCATTGGGGTTTGAGCTTGTCGAGCCTAGCGAATCCTCGGGAGTTGTAGGGACCGCTGAGATCAAAGGCGGTCCACCTGCAGGTTCTTGCGACTCGGATGAACCGTCGGGTTCAGAAGCAACAGGGGTTTCAATGAGTATAGTGCCCGGCTCTCCCGACTTGGTCGGTTCAATGTATTTCGTGACAGGACCCTTGGCCACTTCAGATCCGGTAACCCCCCTGATGATGGTGATGTTGGGGCTACCGTGACTGGCAGATAGTGTGATAGCAGATGGCTCATCTATTAGCCCGGCCTCGGTCGAAGTATCAGTTGCATCTGTTGACTGTGTTTCGATCACAATCGTACCAGGCTCTCCAGCTGCAGTGGGAGGAATGTATCGAGTGATAGGTTCAGTGATTGAACCCGGTCCAGTGTAAGGTCTGATAACAGTCGTATTGGGGCTCTGGGACGTAGGTGGCAGAGTAATCTCGGGGTTATTGGTCGTAGGCTCAGGACTATCCGAAGCGTTGGTTTCGATCACAACTGTACCAGGCTCTCCAGCTGCAGTGGGAGTAATGTATCGAGTGATAGGTTCAGTGATTGAGCCTGGTCCAGGATAAGGCCTAATGATTGTCATGTTGGGACTGTTCGAGCTGGGGGGGATAGTGACACCTGGCTTGTCATCCGTCAATGGGCTGGGAGATGCGGCAACGTCTCCTTGCTCTGGCGAAGCAGTGGGAGTCTCAATAATCACGGTTCCGGCTTCACTTCCGGTTGGAGGCATAAAGATCGTGGTAACCTGACTGCCTGGGCCACTTCGAACGATGGTAACATTGTGACTGTCAGAATGGGCCAAGACAGTTACAGGACCGTCAGAGGTGACGTGAGACGGTCTTCCTGCAGGCAAGTCGATAATAAATGTACCAGGGTCGCCTGATGCTCCTGGAGGCAGGTATGTTGTAAAAGGACCCAAAAGGCCGGAATATTCCTCTCTTGTAATGGTCACATTTGCGCCCATAGGAGCTGGCTCTGAAGGAACAGTCTGGATAAAGACAGTTCCAGGCTCTCCCGAATTTTCAGGGAGCCTGTAGCTGGTAACGGGCGTTTTGACACCGGATGGAGCCAAAGTATAAATTGTAACGTTGTCGTCGACTGGCTTGGATGTATGCTTAGGGGCTGGAGTCTCAATGATAACAGTGCCAGGTTGACCAGATGCACTAGCCGGCTCAAACAAGGTAATCGGAGCAGTGATAGTGTCTGACCCAGTATGGTCACGGACAACAGTGACGTTCGGGGTTCCGTCGCTAGGTGAAACGTTGGTTTGTGCATGAGAGCTTGCTTCATCTGACGGCTGAGCCTCCGGTGTAGTCGCGTCCACAGGGGTCTCAATCACGATGGTGCCAGGCTCTCCTGCCGCAGTAGGTGGAAGGTACTTGGTAATGGGACCCGTGATCGATTCCGTGCCCGAATATGGTCTGATGATAGTCGAGTTGTGGCTCTCATTGCTAGGGGGAATAGTGATCTCCGGTGAGTTTGATACCGGGCTCTCTGTGGTTGGCTCAGTGGTCGGAGTCTCAATGACAACAGTACCTGTGCCAGATATAGGAGCTATGGTGGTAGTCGTTGGCTCAGTGATATGTTCTGTGCCAGTGTATGGTCTATGGATGGTCACATATATAACACTAGCGGTTGTGGGGGCCAAGGTCTCGATGATCACTGTTCCAGTGTCTGATCCTGGAGCAGTCGTTGTAATGGTAATAGGAGCAGTAATTTGGGCAGTACCAGTATATGGTCTGTAGATAGTCACGTAGATATTGCCTGGTGCAGATGTTGTTGTCGGCGTGGACTCAGGACCTGATTCAGGCTCTGGAGTCTCGATGATTACAGTACCAGGTTGACCTGCTGATGGGGCGATGGTAGTAATAGTAACAGGTTGGGTAATCAATCCAGGGCCTGTGTGAGGTCTGAAGATAGTGGCATACGTATCATCTCCTGGGGGTAGAGTCAACGGTGGACTGCCATCACCACTACTGTGTTCTGTCTCAGGTACTGGAGTCTCAACAATAACAGTACCCAATTGACCGCCTGAGGGAGAGACAGTAGTCATTCGAGGCTCTGTGATGGAATCAGTGCCTGTATAGGGTTTGAATACAGTCACATAACCATCATCTCCAGCGGAAACAGTGACAGGAATAGCCCCCTTATTTTCAGTATGTGGACCGGGTGTTTCGATGATCAAAGTGCCTGGCTGGTCTCCCTGTGGAAGGGCGGCTGTGCGAGTGATCTCTCTTGTGATTTCGCTCGTACCTGTGTAAGGTTCATAGATGGTGGTATAAGGAGCGGATGGTGCTAGGGTGAAAGGTGGTCCGGATCCAGGTGTCTGAATGATGACCGTACCTGGCTGGCTGTTGTCCTCCGGCGCTTCTGTAATCGTCACAGGTGTTGTAATAGGTTCTGTGCCGTTATAAGGTTTATAGACTGTGATGTAAGAAGTTGCAGGCCCCATTGAAGGTTCTGAAGTAACAGGAGGTTGGGAACCAGGAGTCTCGATAATCACAGTGCCCGGTTGACCCGATTGTCCTGGAATAGTAGTGAGTGTAACAGGAGCAACTATATCCCCTACGCCTGTATGTGAGGTATAGATCGTGATATAGGAAGGCTCAGATGCCAATGCAGGTCCTGATGTGATAGGAGGCTGGGAACCAGGCGTCTCAACTATGACTGTCCCAGGCTGACCTCCTTGTGGCTCAATGGTTGTAACTGCAACTGGAGTCGTAATCTGGTCTACCCCCGTGCCAGGTCGATAAATTGTGAAATATGTTGCTTGGGGGGCTAGTGTTGAAGTTGCTGGCTCTAAATCTGGCGTTTCGACGATCACGGTACTGGGTTGATCTCCTTGAGGGGCGATAGTAGTAACTGTGACAGGGGTCTTGATCTGTTCTGAACCAGTATGAGGTCTAGAAACTACCACATACGAGGGCTCATGCCCTAAGGTCGTAGGTGTCTCTAACCCCGGTGTCTCTATAATGACAGTTCCCGGCTGGTCACCTTGAGGGGGTATGGTGGTGATCGTAACAGAGGTCGTGATTTGCTCTGGACCAGTATGGGGTCGATATATCGTCTCGTAGGAAGTTTCTGCAGAAGGTCCGACGGTCACAGGTGGCTCTGATCCTGGAGTCTCAATAACAACAGTTCCTGGCTGGTCACCCTGAGGGGGTAGAGTAGTGACAGTGACTGGCTCTGTTATCGTACCGTCACCAGTGTGGGGCTGATAAAATGTTACATAGGAAGGTTCGTAGTGGATAGACGTGATAGCTGGCTTTGAAGCGGGTGTTTCAATGATGTATGTACCGGGCTGCCCCCCTTGAGGAGGAATATCGCTGATAGTCACAGGTGCTGTGATACTGTCCGGACCAGTGTGTGGCTGATAGACATTGACGTATGTAGCCGGGAGAGCAGCACTTGTAGAAGCAAATTTCTGGCCGGGAGTCTCGAAAATTACGGTACCAGGTTCGTCACTTTGAGGCTCAATAGTAGTCTTGGCTGATGGTGCGGTCATATCATCAGTGCCTGAGTATTGCTCATAGACTGTTGTGTATGACGGGCTAGGTGGTGTCGTCGTTACAGGAGGCTCCGAACCTGGTGTTTCAACTACAACAGTTCCAGGTTGATTTCCAGAAGGAGCAATAATTGTGACGGTAGTTGCTGCAGTGATGCGACCGGGTCCAGTATGTGGACGATAAACTGTCGCGAAAGGAGCTTGTGTCTCGATAACCACAGTTCCAGGCTGGTCCCCCTGTGGACTGACAGCAGTAACAGTAATGGGTGCCGTTATCTGGTCAGTTCCAGTGTAAAGAGAGGTAGTCGTGACATAAGGAGGTATCGCAATAACCACCACACCAGCCTGCGTACCGTGCGGTTGGATAGTCGTAAGAGCCGTTGGTCCAGTGATTGAATCAGATCCCATGTAAACCGTTGTACTTGTGACATACGATCCTGGTGTTCCTATGATAACAGTTCCTGGTTGGTTGCCCTCGGGAGGAATCGTGGTGAGCACTGTTGGTGCCGCAATCTGATCGTCACCAGTATACAGGACTGATGAAGTGACATACGACGGTGCAGGGGGAGTAGTCGTGAATTCAGCACCTCCACCAGGCGTCTCGACGATAATAGTGCCAGGCTTGTCCCCCACGGGAGCAATCGTGGATACAGTAACTGGACCTGTAATCTGATCTGATCCTGTGTATGGGCGGTAGATGGTCGCAAATGGAGCCTGCGTCTCAAAGATAACGGTTCCAGGTTGACCATCCCGGGGAGGAACAGTAGTCACAACAGGCGCTGTGATCTGATCTGTTCCCGTATAGGGTCTAGAAATGCTGATATATGAAGCTTCGGTGTTGCTTGCTACAGGAGCCGTTTCCCGCTCGGGGGTCTCAACGATTACTGTACCGGGTTGGTTGTCCTGAGCAGTGATAGTGGTTGTGACTGGTTCTGTAATCTCACCTGATCCAGTATAAGGTCTAGTAATAGTTACGAACAAACTGGGGATTGGGACAGAGGGCATAGGGGTCGACGCAGGTTCAATGATAACTGTACCGGGCTGGTCGCCTTGGGGAGGGATAGTAGTTGTTACCGTGTCTTCAGACCTACCTGTGCCAGTATGAGGCTTGGTGATGGTTACATAGGAAACAGGGACAGGTATATGAGTCGTAGGCGGCGCTTGCTGGCCTGGAGTCTCGATGACGACTGTACCCGGTTTGTTGTTGATTGGTGGAACAGTTGTGACGGTGGTTGGCTCTGTCATCCTTTCTGTTCGTGTGCAAGGCTGATACACGGTTATATAAATGGCACCGGGCCCGGAGGACGTAGTGATAGGGGCTAGGTCTTGATCTGGCGTTTCAACAATAACAGTACCTGGCTGGCCTCCTGTCGGCTCGATGGTACTAATTGTAACTGGAGCCGTGATACGGCTGGGGCCACTGTTTGGTCGATATACCGTGTGATAAACTGGCGTATTCTGCGATTCCGCAAGCTTTGTCGAGCCTGAAGGCGTAGGCACTGTCACAGACTCGGGCACGACCGGAGTCTCGATAATAATAGTACCTGGCCGGCCGTTGTCAGGTGCAATAGTCGTAATCGTTATAGGTCCGGAGATCCCGTCGATTCCCGCACTTCCTGTATGAGGACGTAAAATAGTGACATATGACGCATCGGGCCCAGAGGGTAGCGTCACCGTAGGATTTGGAACAATGGTCTCAGGCTGTGGGGTTTCAATAATAACCGTCCCTGGCTGGCCACCAGAAGGCGCAATAGTTGTCACCGTGATGGGTGCAGTGATAACACTACTGCCGGTATGGGGCCTGTAGATAGTGGTGTACTGACCCCCAGGAGTAGGTTCAAGAGTAACTGGAGGAACCACAACCTTGCCGCCAGTCTCGAGGCCTGGAGTCTCAATGACAATTGTACCAGGTTGTCCAATAGCGCCCTGAATAGTAGTCACAGTAACTGGAGTTGTGAAACCATCATCAACTGTATGAGGTCGATACACCGTGATATAAGAGCTACTAGTGTCGACTGTGATAGCCTTTGATGCTCCGATGCTCCCCTCAACAGGTCCAGTAAACTGAGCAGCTGGTGTTTCAATAATAACAGTACCAGGCTCACCGTTGGCCCCTGGGATGGTAGAAGTGACTGGTGCCGTGATAGCATCAACACCTGTATAGGGACGATAGTCCGTCACATAGGAGTTATCCGATCCACCTGGGCTTTGGGCAGGATTATCATCAGCTTGAGTCGGAGTAAACGCCTGGGTCACAGGTGTCTCGACGATAACAGTACCAGCCTGTCCGTTCATACCAGGAATAGTAGAAGTGACTGGTGCCGTGATAGCATCAACGCCTGTATGAGGACGATAGATAGTTGCATAAGAGTTATCAGGCCCTGGTGGAACTGTAACAGGAGTATTGATGGCGACTTGAGTCGAAGCACTGAACAGAGGAACAGGTGTCTCAACAATCACAGTACCCGGCTCCCCGTTCAAGCCCGGAATAGTAGAGACTATCGGTTCTGTAAGGGCGCCACTGCCTGTATATGGACGATAGACCGTTGCATAAGAGCTATCAGGTCCCGCTGGAATAGTCACAGGCCCTTGATCGCTTATCGCACCCAGAGTTGGTGACTGACCAGTAGGCGTTTCAATGATAACAGTACCTGGTTGACCGTTGACGCCTGCAATGGTGGAAATAGCCACTGGGGCTGTGATAATATTTGCACCTGTATGGGGACGATAGACTGTTGCATAAGAGTTATCAGGCCTAGGCGGAATCGTAACAGGAGCATCATTGCTGCCCGGAGTTGACATAGAGGCAGGAGGCACAGGTGTCTCAACAACAACAGTACCAGGTTGACCAGCGGAGGGCGCAATAGTGGTAACTGTAATCGGTTGCGCAATGACATTTGTGCCAGTATAAGGCTTAAAGACAGTCATATAGCCGTCATTACCCTGCGATGTAGCAATGATTGGTGCCGAGGTCGCCTCCGAAGCCACGGCCTGAAGGACTGGTGTCTCGATAATGATCGTGCCTGCTTGGCCTGAAGTAGGAGCAACAGTACCAACTGTGCGGGGTTCGGTAATCATTCCAGGTCCTGGATACGGCCTATAGACGGTGACATAACCACCATTACCTGCGGGAATCGTAACAGCAGAAGCAGTAGGTTGTTCCTTTGTTGATGGCGTTGCGACTGCAGGCGTAGGGGTCTCGATGAATACTGTTCCAGGTTGGCCATTAGTCGGTGCAACAGTAGAGATAGTAACAGGCTCCGTGATGGCACCAGAACCTGAGTGAGGCTGATACACTGTAACATATCCATCTTGGCCTTGAGGAACGGTCGTAGGAGGGTTCTCTGTGGCCTTTGTCGTGGCTTGCGATTCTGGCTGGGAAATCGGCGCTGTTGACAGTGCAAACTTGGTTTCCACCTCTACTACAGGGGTTTCAATGATGATGGTTCCCGGCTGGCCACCCGAGGGAGTAACAGCAGTAATGGTAATTGGTCGGTCAATATTACCAGGACCAGGGTACGGCTTGTATACAGTGACATACGGGTTATTATCACCAGTTGGAACTGTAACTGGGCCTGTTTGGGTAGCAGTATTTGCGTTTGGATTAGGTGTCTCGATGATAACTGTTCCTGGCTGGCCAGATACGGGTGCTTGGGTATAGGAGACAGGGGAGTTGATGTTCCCCGGTCCGGGATATGGCCGGTAAACCGTTATGTAAGTTCCAGTTGGATTGGGGGGAATCGTGATGGGAGAAGCTGAAGTTGGGAGACTGATCGGCTGGGTTTCAATAAATACAGTGCCGGGCTGGCCATTCGAAGGGGCCTGTGTCAGGGTAACCGGTGCCGTAATAGTTCCAGGTCCAGGATACGGTCTAAATATTGTAACGTAGCTATCAGTGCTAGAAACCGGCGCAGGAGTCTGTATGAGAATGGTTCCAGGTTGGCCGGAAGACGGTGGCTTGGTGATAGTGACGGGTGCGGTGATAACTCCAGGGCCCGGGAAAGGCGTGTGGACAGTTATATAGTTATCCGTAGTCAATGCAGGAGTCTGTTGGGTAGGAGTCGGAGGGGCTGGCGTGGTGACGAAAACAGTTCCCGGATTACCGCCAGATGGTGCCGCCTGTGTGCGAGTAATAGGTTCAGTGATAACACCAGGACCAGGAAACGGAAAGAACACCGTGACGTACTGACCAACACCTGGTTCAGTGCTATGGACATCCTGCTGAGTAGCTTGAGGTGCAGGGGTTGTGATATAAACCGTTCCAGGATTGCCACCAGAAAGAGGTTGAGTCCTGGTGATGGGTTCCGTGATGACCCCGGGGCCTGGGAAAGGTAGGAAAACGGTCACATAGACATCAATGCTAGGAGACGTGCTGGTCACTTGAACCTGCTGGCCTGGGGTGCTAAGTGCAGGAGCAGCCGGTGTCGTAATATAAACAGTACCTGGGTTACCACCAGAAGGAGCTTGGGTGCTAGTGATAGGTGCTGTTATAACCCCTGGCCCTGGGAATGGAAGGAAAACAGTGACAAAGCCGTCAGCACCTGACGTAGTACTACTAAGCTGGTTCTGCTGTTTTGGTGTATCAACCGCAAGAGCAGAAGGCGTGGTGATGAAGACAGTACCAGGTTGGCCTCCTGAAGGCGGCTGAGTACTGGTGATAGGCGCAGTGATCTGGCCAGGTCCCGGATAAGGGATGAATACTGTCACATAACCATCGTCACCGGAAGTAGTGCTTGGTAGATTTTGCTGACTAGTTACTGGTAAAGGCACTGGGGTCGTGATAAATACAGTGCCGGGCTGGTTACCAGAGGGGGCCTGGGTGCTCGTGATAGGTGCTGTGATTGTGCCAGGACCAGGGAAAGGAAGGAATACAGTCACATAGCCATTGGATCCTTGTGTAGTACTAGGCCTAGGTAACAGACTTACAGATGTAGGCAATAGTGCTGGAGTCGTAATGTATACCGTTCCAGATAATGTCCTGGTGTAAGATGTAGTAATCACACCTGGGCCTGGGAAAGGGAGGAATACGGTTACTAAACCATCGGACCCTTGTGTTATACTAGGCCTAGGCAACAGTGTCACAGATGTAGACGATGGTGCTGGAGTTGTGATGTATACCGTTCCAGACAGTGTCCTGGTATAAGACGTAGTAATCACGCCTGGGCCTGGGAAAGGAAGGAATACGGTCACAAGACCATTAGGCCCTTGCGTGGTGCTTGGATTGGGCAATGGAGTAGTAACAGGAGTCTGTGCAGTCGGAGTCTCAATGACGATAGTGCCAGGTTGAGCACCAGATGGAGTAGCTTGCGTGATGGTGATGGGTGTATTGATAATACCTGGTCCGGGGAATGGCTTGTAGATAGTGACATAATTATCGCTACCCTTAACTGTGCTTCCCGGTGAACTCGATGTAGGATTGAACTTCACTGCTGGTGGTGTTATGATGTAGACTGTTCCTGGGTTTGTTCCTGATCCGGGTACCGAAGAAGTTATAACTTCCGTGAGATCTGTACCAGTATACTGGGAAGTAACTGTAACATATCTACCTGTACCAAGACTACCCTGTTGTGTTGAAGGCTGATCCGTCACCGGCGGTGTCTCGATGACAACTGCGGTAGATTGCGAACCTCCTGAGGCTACCAAAGTGATGATTTTCGTGATTGTGGTACCAACAGCAGTTCCAGGAGTATAAATTGTGGCTGTACCTCCAGAACTAGTAGGGTTGATGGTGATAGGGCCTTGCGTCTCGATAATAATAGTTCCTGGTTGTCCATTCGAGGATGGCTGGGTAATAGTGATGGGCGCGGTGATAGGATCGCCCGTATGCGGCTTATAGATGGTGACATAGGGGTCATTGTTACCAGGCGGAATAGTTACCTGTTCACCATCCGTCACTGCCGAAGTAACAGCATTTTGACCAATTGGCGTTCCAAGCGTCGGAGTTTCAACAATAATGGTCCCTGGATTCGTGCCACTTGGGGGGATCGTGACCGTGATAGGCTTGCTAATCGGACTACCTGTATGTGGCTTGTAGACAGTTACGTAAGGACTGTCACTTCCTGCTGGGATAGTGATTGGTCCGCTACCAGGAGCATTTGAAGTCGGATCAGGCGTTTCAATGATGATGGTACCTGGCTGACCGTTTTGACCTTCCTGGGTAAGTGTGATTGGTACTGAGATAGGATCACCACTATGGGGCCGGAAGACAGTAACGTATTTACTCCCTGGCCCGGGAGGGAGAGTAAAAGGGTCACCAGGGGCTCGTGTGATCGTGCTATCACCGCCAGAAGAGCCAGGGGTTTCGATGATGACGGTTCCAGGCTGGCCTGGGGCACCTGTCATGGTGATGGTAGTAGGGGCCGTAAGAACGTTAGTCCCAGTAGGGCTCCGGATGATAGTGATGTAGGATCCATCTGCACCAGGTGGAATTGTAATCTCAGCATCTCCCGGCCGAGTAGCGACAGGAGTCTCGATAACAATGGTACCCGGCTGACCTCCGCTGGGTGCGATTGTGATGGTTTTAGGCGCTGTAATGACACTTCCAGGCTGTCTAACGATGGTGATGTAGCCACTATTGGGATCAGGTGGAAGAGTAATGACCTCTTGCCCTGCACGTACGGCCGGTGTCTCGATGATGACTGTCCCGGGATTTGTGCCAGAAGGCGGTATAGTATAGGTTATAGGCTTGGTGATCGGTCCGTCGTGTGGTCTCAGGATCGTAGAATATGGGTTGTCGCCACTAGGCGGAATAATTTGAGGCTGGTTTTCAGGCAGGTTGCCATCCTCGCTTCCACTACTGTCCGTGCTTGAGGGGTTAGGAGTTTGGATGATGATTGTCCCATCTTTTCCAGCCGAGGTGGGAATGAGGGTAGTGATAGGTGTAGAGATAGGCGTGGCTCCAGTGTATGGCCCAATAATTGTTGTGAAATGGCTACCATCACTTGGAGGGATTGTGACAGCACTACCAGGGTTCTGGTTAGCTGGGACCTGAACAATCTTGGTTGGAACACCTCCAGGGCCAGCAACTGTGGTTACTCGCGCCTGTGTGATATACTCGGTCCCCGTATACGTCTGGATGACCAAGACGTCAGAAGTACTGTCTCCACCGATATCTCCAGCACCACCACCGCCAGCACCACCACCATCAGCACCACCACCATCAGTACCAGCGCCAGCACCGCCATCTCCAGCACCGCTATCAGCACCAGCACCAGCACCAGCACCAGCACCAGCACCAGCACCAGCACCAGCACCAGCACCAGCACCACCAGCACCACCATCGCCAGCACCACCATCACCACCAGCACCAATAGTGCTTGGTGGTACGTCTGCCCATGGGGTCTGAATTATAACAGTGGCAGGGTCGTTCCCATTCGCTGGCACAGTTCTTGTAGCATCGCCCGTGATAGCGACACCGCTAGGTAGCGCAGATATAATTGTCGCCGTTGGGTTATCGTTCGAAGGGGGGATGGTCAGCGCACCAGGTTGGCCTGATGAGAAGGATGAATATGCTGTACCAGGCACATCCACAATGATGGTGCCTGGCTTGGTGCCGCTCGGCTCGGCAACCGTGATTTCTTGCTTCGTGGTGGCATCATCGCCCCCTGTGTAGGCTTGAATAACTCGTTCATAGGGGTCGTTGCTCGACGGGGGAATTTTGAGAACAGGATGGGGAAGTAGGGTCACTGGAAATAGTGTGCCTTGGTGTGTGTATGTAGCGATTGATGGTTGCCCTACTGGTTGCTGGGTAATGGGGATATTGTTGGCACCACTGTCTGCGCCTGTCTCAGGTTTATCGAGATTTGTCGCACCAAACATTTGCCCGGGATTGCCGTCACTTCCGGTATCTCCGTGCAAGGTAGTCACTGCATTCTGGATGAGAGTCGCTGCGAATCCTGACGCAATACGTATCGCGGCATCCTCGATACCATCGTCCTGTGCCTTGACGGCCAAGACCAGCGTCGAGGCTAGCAGCCGTCGTGATAACCACATTGGATAGGTTACTTCACAATTGGCATCTAGTAGAATGATGTGTATTCAATAATATTTATGATATGTTCAAATCTTTTTCCCAGCGCTTCTTGGTCGTTTATATGTACTGAACAGTCATACGAAAACGGGGATGCTATTCATCTGGCTTCATTTTCCAATCGAGCTCGCTTTTCCTGGAGCGCTCTGATTTTTTTCGACGTGCTTAGGAAGACGTCATGAGAGACGCCACAGTCAAGTCGTGGCTTGCTCCATGATGGGTCTGTCTTGATCACATTACCGCATTCTCCTTCAGTGTAATCAGGAGGTCCTGAATTACGTAGGAATTACAAGACCTGGGGGTTGATTTGGAATGATATCTGTGTGATTTTGGTCATGATTGGCATACGTCTAGATCCAGAACGGATTAGCAGACTTGGGGTAATTAGATCACAACGTTAGGGAGCCAGCTGCTGAAAATGTTTCATCGGTCGATAGCCAACCGCCGCTAGCAGACGAGCCTATTACGGTCCTTTACCTCCTAAGTTTGGTCCACATTCCAGGGCCGGAAAATTTACGTAGGGGTTAGCTACGGCCCCTGCCGCTGTCAGATTATTAGTTTAGTGTTAACCGAAAGCATCCGGGCTGCAAGGATGTCGGCGGAAATAAGGTTTTGTGTACTATCGGTAATAGCAACAGAAATGAATGCCAGACACACTTCGGTGGGCTTGGTCTGTCTTGTTTTCAACGACCGTGCTGTCAGGTCCGGAATGCTAGCCCTCACGGATTTAGATCTGCCAGTCTTTTACGATTCTGTTCAACCCGATGCCTCCATCTTATGCGACGATCGTGTGAGAGCTTGTTGGCAATGCGGTTTCAAGTGATTGGGCACAGATCATGCCAGGCACAGCTTCGGAATGCTATGTCACAATACATGTCATGATAAATTTGATCAACTTATTTTCCATGAACCATCCAGGCCAGCCATAGCGGCTTAAGTGCAGGACCCGGACGGCCCTCAACCTCAAAATGTTCTACAGTAAAGGCAGCCCTCGATCAATGAATTATCATATCGGCGATTACACACCAACTCCCATGAGTGAAGGTCAATGTTAGCGATTTGCATGCCTGGTGGATAGTTTCAGTTGGTACGATGTCAGCTTATTTCCTTTGTCCGGCTCTTCTGTCAAATTGTCACTGATATAGATATTTCGATTTGTCTATCTATATCTGGATGTGGAATCTTATTTTCCTCATACCCAATCTTTTGCCCTGATGAGTAGATCTCCCATAAGAAATGATTGACAGCATTATCATACATCAACGGAAGGGATTTACATGCCAACCAACAACTCAGATCATGAGCATTGTTTTTGGACAGCTCTCTGCAACTGGGGACAACTAAAAAGTCACCGCCACGTTCCAGATCATTAGTTATTTAAATTAATTATCCATTTAAGGAATAAGCTGCTGTTACTTATTACATATATAAAGCGAACCCCAGGTATATACTCTATTACATTTTAATTAAGTATAAAAAGTATAACTTACTTAACTTCTTGTTGCCTAGAAGGACAAATGCATAATCACAAAAAGTCAATTACGTAAAATAATAAGAAAGACAAACAGTTTTAAGATATCTTACCCGTTTATCTCTACTACTTAAAATGAAAACCCTCCTATGTTGGCGCCTACTCTAATGCAATGGCATTAGTGGATCTGCAAGGGGGAAAAGGCTACTAGAGTCTACTACGTCAGAGCCCCGATTCAATCGATGCGACTAGCTACTTATAGACTAGTGCAGGTACTAGTGCCCCCTCAAAAGTAGAGATTCAGACGCGTTCAAGACGCGTTCTTGCACCTGCATCGTTGCTTCCGGTTCTCTGATTGACATACAGGAAGGCGGTCGAATGAACTAGGATATTTGCATCAATAGACTAATTTTGGTTCGCATTAGAGCAGCTTGACCTTATACACTTCGTTTCGAGATCCTGTGAGTAGAAGCGAAGTTGCCGTGTGCTGGTGAGACTGATGATTGTTAACAGCTAAAGCCTTGAATTGGGAAGTATCGATGGTGCCCATGGAAAAGTCGATTGTCATTCAGGACAGGGACCGTGAGACGGTGTGGTGGGTCAGATTGATCGTTATACATATGTGATTGGACTGTCACATCTCTGTCGACCTGATCTACAGTACTAAGATTCAAATAGGTTAGTTTTTGTCACTACATACCAAAGTCACAAAAGTGATCAAGAACGCTGCGCACCAACGCATTACTCCATTACCATATCATTCAAATATGAAATTAGAGTAATTGACGATTTTATTGATGTATAATTCTATGGCTATTGCGCTAAATCTGCCGGTTGACGACTGTATGTCGCAGTGCTTTGAGGCTGGTATGAATCTGGGTTCATTGACTACACATCAAGTATGCTTTTCGTCTGTCATCACATTAGAATTCTCGCATTCCTTGCACTAGCATTTCTACATGCACGCTCCCACTGAAAGGGCTCCACTTTGACGGGTTGAAAACTTGGACCTGTTAAAGTGGATTTAGTTGTATCCAATTCCAGTTATCTGTGATACCTACCCTAGATCCGGTTCAAACATTAGATAGAACATATCAATGGTATACCTGTCATTGATCTACTTAAGGCAGATATCCGACTTAATGATCTATGTTCTCAGTTTCAGTCGAGGTTAATACTGTGGCTTATGAAGAAAAAATTTGGTAAGTTCGTTTTTTCCGCTTTGGTCTTTTTTGATTGTCGTTGTAAACGATATTCCCCACACGATTCCATTGCACAATCATTTGGGTCTATCCAAGAAAACGAACTCCATCATTGCTATACATCATTTGACGACTTTGACTAGAGGAGAAGCGTAATAGTGGCACTATTTTAACTCAAAAACAGTCAATAATATGTCATTGCTTGTTGATAATGATAGTGGAGTTAAAAAGTACACCGGTACTATCTTCATATCACCTCATGATAGGGCAGGCAAGTTAGTGTTTTTGTAACCAAAGAGGTTAACATTTTTCCGGTACCATCATATCACGTCGTCGAATCTTTTTGGATATCATCTTGGGGTAAGCTCAGCTGAGAAATTTAACTTAACTTAACAAGTTAATTTGCCATTGTCAGTATGGGCTTGCCGGAATACTTGGAGCCTGTTATACAAACCGGAAGGTTTTAGACGTACTTTTTTTGGATTACGTATGCCGGGCCTGAATTTGGTCTGTCAGTAAAGGTTGATAACTATATCTCCACCATTCAACTTCCTTTCAACTCTCAAGACAAGAAGCACTTCCTCGGCTACGACGATAACCTCCACTGGCAACCTTACAAGCTACGCTGGTCAGAGCTAGAAGCCATTTGCCAAGCAGTTTCAATCACTGACCGCAAGTATTCGCATCCTGGGCTGCCGCTACTCATCCTGGCTCGCTTTGCGCCAATATGCATTGGTGACGATGTTGATCACATAGTGGAAATACTAGTACAGGCCTGGAAAAATCTTGGCGAGGATATTCTTACAGACGATCAGATCCGACAAGTGATTGAGAGAATCGACAATAGAGATATGCAATTATGCTGGCATTATGACGAATCGAGAAGTTATTGGTGGGTTGGCAAAGGTCTGGATGAAAGTACGGCGACAAAAGCATACACTTATCGTCGAAGTCGAGAATTGGATTGCGAAGAGCCTTTTCCGAACGAGCAGTGGAATGCGTTCATTTCTGCAGTGCAAAATATCGTAGATGAGTCCAGTACTACCAGAAATGCACATGATATTGCATTAGCCTACGAAAAGAACACAATCGACAAGTTTCGACCGCGCAAGCGTTACGATCTGACCATGACCCTGGACTTGGCCATGGGAGATTTCCTAGTGGATAAGGCTGCGTTTCAAGACTCTCGGAGCTGTTCTACAATCTCACTGCCTCGGCAAGGCCGGAACCCTTTACCAAGAGGGTACAACCGTTATGGGTAAACATATAGAGACCAGACGCAAAATCTGGATACGTATCATGGACGAGTTATATCTTGGACGAGGGATTGTTAAACAAATGCTGTGGTGGCTACGCGTCTCTCCATCAGTCATGTATAGCATCGAGTCAAAGCCTAATGATTCACCACTCCAGATAGTGGACAGGAACGCCGACACTTTGGAGGGGGCTTTTATGGGAATAAGCCAGCTATCCACCTCCGGTCCCGAAACTCAGATTACTTATATCTTACCGACTGCCATCCAGTCCGTGTTGGAATCCACCGAGTTGCTTGGGACAGAGACAACCATCACAGGTCCAACTGCACTTGGCTGGTCAACAGTGGATACTGCTGACAACGGAAGAATCGAATTCAACTTTACAAAGTTTCCACAAGGTGTTGATGCTGGCGACGAAAACACTGGCGTTATGATCATTCGGAAGCTCACGCTGCAAGTATCCGCAGTACTGCATCGCTTTATGTCTGCTGCAAGCTTAGTGCTTCTGCCGATGTTGCTAACTGCGAAACCATTATCAGAGGAAATTTCATGTCATTTGAAGGGGCATTGCGTCGTGACTTCAGAAGAATTATACGATTTGCTCTCTGCAGGGGCTTATGAGTGGTGGGTTAGGGGGACGGCAGGCGCGGCATAAGCGTTAGCTCTCAGCCAGATTTACTTATAGAGAATACACCGAAAATACAACTTGGCACCAACCACAGCGCTAGCCCTACCAAATTAGGCAACTCGGCATTGAATGTTCCGAAAAAGCGGTCCGAGCCTTCGTAAGATGTTACCTTATTCCGTTAGATCTCGTATTACTTACAGCGCACATGCTGTAGTTGTGCCAGGGTTCATGGACTGATAGCAAAAGATCTTTCAGCTCAGCGTAGCAGTTTCTCAATACAGTGAAGGCCGCTGATTTTGAGGTACTGCACAGAGTAGCATCGCATTAAATGAAGGCCGCTGACGTCAGCATGGTAGTCGGGCATCTAGATCAAATGGGACATAGTTACACGGAGAATGGAGATCACTCTCTATGCTGACGGTCCAGCCGTTATTGGTTCACAGTTGAACCGTTTGCGAAAACATACTTTCTCGCGCTATATAAATACATACTGTCTTTGTCAGTAGAAACGAAAATACCCAACCAAACCAGCCAACTCATCAATCACCATGAAGATTGCCGCCTTCCTTACTTCCGCCCTCGCTGGCGCCGCCGCTGCCCGCGATAGCGTCTACCTCGTAAACTCCTACAAGGGCAATGAGATTTCCAGCGGCATAGCATACTATGCCGATGGGCACTCTGCAACCGGAGGATCTCGTCCTGATGACTATGTTGACGTCGTCCATGGAAGCAACATCATCTGGGAAGGTCAAACGGTAAAGGGTAGGTTTTCTCTAGTCTCTAGGCTGTCATAAGAAGAAATTAACTGGATTTAGGCACTTTCGGCAGTGGTGTATCCTTCACATCAAACATTTTTGCCGATGCAGGCGGCAAGCAGGGAAATGCTTGGGCTGGTACGGGAACAAACGGGTTTCATACATATAACTGCTATAAGGGTACTAACCCGAATGGTAAACCTTGGGTGTTGTATACTGTGGATGGCTGGACTGTCAACGTTATCTACTTCTGCAATCCCTTCAATTAAAGAGTGATGGTTGAAGATATATATATATTTCATTCACTCGCCTGATGGCCACTTGGTGGCCTGAACAGTGCCCATTGATTCATTACTTCTTGCCTAGCATAAAGGAGGTCGCACTTGTCCTCGGTATATATCAGTCGCACTGCCATTGACTCTTTAGACGTTGTTTGTGCTGTCGTACGTGTAGCCTGTTTGCCAGAAACTTGCAAGACAGAAAATGAAATTGAGAACTTAAGGCACGAGTTCTGTAAGACGGCTAATTGAAGTGCCTTATTTGATTGTCATCGGGCTTCTGAAATGGATGTTGCTCCGTTGGGAGTCGCTCACGCTGAAGCTACTGGAGAGGGGCCCCGCCGATTTCTTAGGAAATGAGTAATAAAAAAAGGCTGAGCTAATTGATCATGTCAATCCAGGTCATATGGTTCAGAGTTGCCTTTGATTCAAGGTGATGTCTTTACAGAAGTTGATGTCGAAGACCGCAGTGCACTTTCCAGCCTGAGCCTCGACTTGATCTTCGCGCAGCAACAGTTCCAGCAACGCACAACCGGTGAGAGGGATATGACTGGGACAAATGATGGTGGTAATAATCCGAAAGAAAGGCACTTTCTTTGAACTTGCATGAAGACTTACTGCATGTATTGTAGCCAGCAAAGGTCAGACCAACTCATTTCAGTGCTCGCCAGTACCTTGCCGACCAAAGGTATCATAGCCAAGCTACAGTCTGGATTGAGCAGTAGTAGTATATTATAGTTTATTACCCTCTAAGCAATTTATGTCTTAATACTAAGCTAAATTCTCACTCCTGAATTACCGCTTTTACTCCTCTAAATTCCTTTTCCACACCTTGACAGGCATAGGCCCCAGGATGTGGTTCATTGTCTCCTCTCTCTTCAGTTCAAAGCCTGCTGGTAGGGCAAACTCATACCGGTGAACTATTGAAGCAAGGCAAACAGCTTGTTCAAGATAAGAGATATTACGCCCAATGCAACCTCGAGCACCAGCTGAGAAAGTAATAAAGTGAGACTGCAGTTCCTTGCCCTTTTCGCCCAAGAATCGTTCAGGAATGAATTTTTCTGACTCGGGATAAATGCTCTCGTCACGATGCGCCACAAGAGCAGACACACCAACAGATGTGTTGCCCGGAATATACTGGCCCATAATCGTCAAGCCTTCAGGAGGGGTCTGACGACCAAGATTCTGAGGAGTCGGGGGCCAGAGGCGAAGCGACTCATCGAGACAGGCGCGAAGGTAGGGAAGGTGCTTAACCTTTTCGTAGGGCGCGACCACCTCATCGGGCTCTAGGACAGAGTCAAGTTCGTGTCGCAGGAGCTCCATTACCCTAGGGTTGAGGATCAACTGATAAAGAATGTTGGCTAAGGCAATAGCAGTCGTGACGCTTCCGGCGTTCATCATAATGTTGATTTCGGCAACAACTTCGCCCCATTCAAGCTCATGAGAGTTACCGTTCTTGTCCTCCATGAGCGCCTGAAAAAAGTCGTCAAGCTTTTCTCCCTTCTGGTATCGATCTAATCGGATTTGAGCTCGTCGCAATACAATATCATCCCAGCCCTTCGCCGATTCTGACATCTTTTGATAGAAAGGAATGACGTTGGAAATCTTATTGAGCAACTTGTAATGGTCGTAGGTCCAAAGAAGATAGGACTGCTTGCGTGCGGTGGGATAAAGGCATTCGCGTAGATTAGTTTCATAGACAGCACCGCAAGTCTGCTGGGCTTCCACACGATCGTGACCTTGATCAAGAAGACCAAGTTTCTCCGAAAGGCCAATGTCGGCGATGGCGTCGAGGGAGAAAAAGTTGGACCAGGCGCGGAAGTCGACATTGACGTCTTGGGGGTCGGGAAACCTGGCACCCTTGCGCAAAGGAGCTGTGCAGACCTTATCAAAATGGTCCATCATTCGCTGCACCTTATCCGCGACCTTGTACTCCCAACCCTCGAGGTTTTTGAGTGCGTAAGCAGATGACAGGACCTTTCGCTTTCGAGCGTGGTCGTGTTTGTCGACAACATCGGCCAGGTGAAAATGAGTTCCGGCTCCTACGATGTATGATTTGTCCTTTGTACAGGGAGTTCCATGACCATAAATATCTTTGATGGCTTGACCGCCGGCGAAGGACAATGAGTTTGGCCCCGTTCTGATAATGGGCTTCGTCTTGTGTAATTTCGCGAGATGAGTCGACCGTGCGCCCCCATGAGCGAGGATCATGAAGGGAAGGTTAGACATGCCGGAGAACGGGGACATGTTAGGGAAGCGCCTTAGACCTGGATAGAGTCAGTATGACTGTTTCCTCTTTGGACAAGACATCTTACCCTTGGGGTCCTTGAGGTAGAGAACAAAAGGGTAGATAATGAAGTAGAAGACTACAGCGACGCCCACTGCAGCTGCATAGGGCGCTGAGCCCAAGGAGGCAACGGAGCCAGACATTATTGACAATCTCGATAAGAGGTAAAGACTCTTGCTGAGACAATACGTAGTTGCACCTCGGGGCTAGAAAAGGAAGTAAAGGAAGAGACTGTTGTTTGGGCAAACCTGTAGGGATATAATACATATGAAGAAGACAATATGACTTTCTTATACATGGCAGTTTCTCCGAGGGTGAATAAATTAGTCTTTGCCAAATGCAATCGTGATCGAGAGATTGCCACATTTGGCGACTTTCTCCGCTCCTAGCAAGTTTACCCCGCGTAGATTTACCCCGCGAGCTCTGAACATTTCCTTGCCGATTCAGAAAGGAACCAGGACTAAGATGTCAAGGGGAACCTAAAGCTGAGATGGCGGACTGTGCTCGCTTCTCGAGCATTGATCTCTTTTGGAAGTCCGGGACGAATTTCCTCATACGCTGGCTATGTCCACCAGGTCCACCGACAGTGTCAGACCAAGCGTGGGGGACAATTGCCTATTTCAGACACGCCAGCTTGGACATACGGAGCTATTTTTAAATGGCCATACAAGGCAAGTTGCTCCATATACATACGGTGTCAGGGTTTCCAGAGAGCAGGCTCAGACATAAACTGACGCAATTCACCCATAGTGAAAGCGATGATCCTAACCTGTACATAACCTCCACTACCCAACCAATAAATCTTCACCAATCTTGGTGTGCTGACTTTAGAAAGTAAGGTTGATGGATTGGCTCCTTGATTCTCTTCTTGGTGAGTTAATCATCAGGTACGTTGTACATAGGACATAGTTAGGAGGAAGAGTAAGAAGTTCTTGTCTGCCCCCCCTGCCCAGCGCCCTATACATATGCTCAATACTTTGTCTTTAGTAAAGCAAATTCTGAAAGTTTAGGTTTAGCCTGTTTCAGATTGAAGATGAGCCTACTGTGGTTCGAACTCTTAGAGAGATGGCTTGGAGCGGATGATCATTCAGTTCCCGAATGCCCTCACATGGAAGAAAAAGCAACTGCAATTCACGTTGCACCTCGTTTAGCTACTAACAGAGCCTTATGCTTACTTACCTGATGGCTGAGCTTACGAACGACAGGAAGCCTTTGCCCCAGCACCTCATTTTTAGTATATCTTAGTATGCTTTGTTTGAGATACTTAACTCGGGCAAAGAGAACATATAAATTAATACAAAACAGCAAACAATAACAATCCATACTAGGTCTCTGGAGTCATTCGGGGGTTACTACCTTCTGACTTTCACCCTGGCGTGATGAGAGCCGGCCTTGATTATAATGGAGATACAGCTGTATCTCGCCCATGTATTACCGATGCATATTTACAACTCTACCTTTGGGTTTGTTATCTCAGATACTTTCACTTGCATGCAAATTGACTCTGTCAGCATCGACCCTTCCTTTAATTTAATTATCTCCTGATTAAAAGAACGAATTACACCAAAGTAATAACAGTTCCGAATGCGTTTTTCAGTTTGCAAAATCGTTGCTAAAAGCTGGGCATGGAAGTTGACGTATTTATTTAATCAGGAACATAGTTTCAAGCATATTGAAAGTGTAGGTGGTATTGAATTTTAACGTAATATAGACTATCGAGGATATGGAGAACATCCTGAATGGTATCAGGTGTACAGTGTATCCATGCCGTGCAAGACGCGAAATCCCCCGTTTAGGCCTTGAACGCCACAGAAGCCTGGCTGTTAGTCTTGAGATCACGCTGCATCTGCTTGGCCAACTTCACGTCAAACCCATTCTCGAAGACCTTCCTGACTTCTTCAAGTGGAAGCCCCTTTACCTCCGGGTAAAAGAAGATGACAAAAATCCAGCCAAAGAAGCAGATACCTGCGTAGAAGCCGAACGCGCCGCTAGGTGTCATGCTCTTCATCATGGAGAGGAAAGTAGACGCGATGATGAGGTTGCAGCTCCAGCAAGTGACCGTATTCATCATCGTGCCAAGCGCGCGAACCTCCAAAGGTAGAAGCTCTGTTCCGACCCAGCCGATCGTGGCTACACCAGTAGCGAAGAAGGCGACGTATAAGATGATGGTGACAAGCACGACTATACCAGCCCAGTTGACGGAATCGGCCTGTAGGACGAGATCTTTGGAGATGGGAATCCAGTGGAACGCAACGGCGGCGATTACCATGCTCACAGCCTGAAAAGATGTCAGTATCGTGGCTTTGCCGAGAACTTGAGCATATCTTACCATGCCCAGCACGGTGACTAGCAGAATGATGCGGCGCCCGAGCTTGTCTATAACAATCAAGTTGACGAATGTGAAGAGGAAGTTGGTAGCACCAACAACAATGGCAACGGCGGTGGGCTTGTTGAACCCGACAAGGGAGAACAGGGTCGCAGAGTAGTACATGAGAGTGTTGAAACCACCGAGCTGAGAGACTGTGATATTGTCAGCAACAAAGGTTCAGACCCATAAGCATATTCGAAGACTTACTGGCCATGACGGTACAAGCAGCAATCAGTGCACGAAGGTTGGAGGGTACACAGTGAAGCTGCTTAAATTGCCACCAAAGAGACTTATTGGCCACAACCGAAGACTCGACCTCAACAGTCCATACGAGGCGTTCAAGCTTAGACTTGAGCTGCTCCTCAGTAGCAGCAGGGTAAACTCGTCGCAGGCACTTCTCAGCCTCGTCTCTCTTTCCATGCGCAATAAGCTGTCGAGGCGACTCAGGACAACAAGGCAGCAGAGCGGCAAGGATGATGGGGGGAACGCCGCCGATAGCGATCATGTACCTCCAGCCATGAGGAACATCGGTAAGAGCGGCTCCAAGACCGTAGGAAACCAATTGACCCAGTGTCACGCTGAGGTTGTCGAAGGCAATCATGCGACCGCGGTACTTGGCTGGGGCGAGCTCTCCAATGTAGAGAGGCTGAATACATTAGTGACTTAGTCCAAGACAACTTTCAGTAGAACTAGGCTCTTACAATGATCATCGCCGCCGACCCCACCCCGAATCCCACAATTAGACGTCCAGCAGTCATGGCGGCAATATTGAAGGCAGCGGCCTGGACAACAGACCCAACGAGGAAGAGAAAGCAGCCGATGTAGATTCCAAGCTTGCGACCGTATTTGTCAGCTGGAAGGCCTGCCATCAGAGCACCGATGAGAGCGCCGCCAGAGGTGATGGAAGTGATGAGCTCTTGCTCATGGGAATCGAGATGGTGGCCGAGATCGTCGCCGATGGTGACCAGAACAGCTGAGATGACACCAGTGTCATAACCTGGCAGATCCTGTTAGGGGAGTTCGGTGGAGAAGTATGTAGGCCACGTACCGAACAAGAAGCCGCCCATGGCGACGGTAAATGTGATTAGCCAAACGGATTTGGATGGCTTGGTATCTTCGATGGAGTCGTCAAACTCGACAACGGTGCCGTGGGACTTTTCGAGGTGTTCGACATTGGTGGACGTCGACTTTTCTATGCCACCGCCCTCAATTGAGGACTTGCGGTCATCGTGAGAAGACATGTTGCAAAACGTCAAGATGGAAGACTAAGACAGAGACGAATGTTGTGATGCAGATGAGCGAGCTTGTTGTGAGGAAAATTGCAATACGTAAACGGAGCGCAGCGCCATATATATACTCCTACGAGGCTAACGATTCATGCGACAATTACATGTTGTTTGATTGGCCTAGTCCACTCTCACGATCCCGAGAAACCTTGTTTCCTGGGGCGGACCACCTCAAAAGTTGGGGTATTAGCGGGGCAGCGGTTGGAACCTGGGAATTGTGCACAAAATCTCGATTCAAGAAACAGTCTTCCCCAGATAACGACCCCGCTCCTCCGTGTTGACTGCCGTCGGCTCCATGTTTTCCGATCCCCGGGTGTGAGAGTCTGGGGTGAAAAGGTGGGCTTCGTCTCTGCCGGAGTTAGTTTCCTTTATCAATTGGCAAGGCAAGGTTCAGCTTGGTACGTGGTGAGGGCACTTCGACTTGTGACTTGGCCTAGACCATGTGGACAATAAATGGCGGGGAGTTGGCGTTGACATTTACGATTCTTCTCGTTTTGGTGTTCTTGTTCCGAACCTTGCGGAGATCATCTCGCGTGTCGCCGGAACAAACACCCCGGATTTGTTATGCAACTGTTGCCATCGTTTTTAGGGTCTCATGCTTTGGAGCGAGTGGAGATTAGTGGCGCATCCTCCGGAGTACCCCATGGGGAACCATGCCATGTTCTGGATTTATTTCATTATCATGTATGTTTTCGCTCTCCTCCAGGACTTGTGATGATATCGCTTAATTTAAAGGTTGTACGTATTGACAATTACTCTCGAAAAGCCCAATATTGGTACGGCTATTAGAACATCACACACAGAGCTTAGTAAGCGTATAGTGCAGACTCAAAATTATGCTACTTTGCAGCTATCATCATGGCCTAGCTAAAGCCATCCCCACGTCTTCTTTAGACTGTCCTTGCTATAGAGAATTAGCTTCCAGATTGTAAGTAAATATATTAGTCAAATCATACATGTAAGAAGTAGGCCATCCAAACCGATCAGTTGCATTAGTTAGAACGCAAAGGAGGGTATCTTGTTCAGCGCGTTTGTCGAAAAGGTCTCCGACCAATGCTATGGCCATGCATGCAGTCCTCAATACACATAAGCATAATTGCCAAAGTTCGGGGCCTATAACATAAACGCACAGGTATGTGGGACTGGCTTCGCCCATGCCTGCGGCGATTGCGCAGACTATCTTGGTATCGTTCTTCATTTCGACCTACTCGACATTAGACAAAATCCCTCAGTAGTCCCGTGATTTTGTACCTCTATTTGCTTCATCGTCCTGTTCCTTGCAAGTCCAATCTTTGGAAGACGCGGATCGTGAGACATGAGAAGCATCCTGCTGAGATGGTAGTATTGCAAGCCAGCAGCCACTGGTTCGCTATATAGCCATATATCTGGAAGTACTTGTTTCTCGGGGTGATTGCATGTATATATAGGATCGAAGGAATCTGGTTTTGTCTCCGACCAGATAGTAGTGTCTCTCAGCAGCGCAGCATAGTGCTCGGTATCTTTATTGTCTGAGAAACAGTATCGGATAATGTCTGTCAAGTGAAGAAGCATAAGGTTCGCCCAGTCTTTGTCATCGACGGGAGCGCCTCTCTTGTCTGCGCACAGGGAATCTAAGTATGATGGGAAAGGTGCCTGATTGACAACCGCCAAGTAGGCTTCCAGTCGCAGATTTGCCCACGAGGCGGCTTCGGGGAGGTCCCCTTGTTCAAAGGGTTCTGTCGGTTCGTCCATCATGGTCGCTTGACCGAGAGAGGGAGAGGAGACCGAGCATTTAGCTGTGCGTACCGAGTAATTAGTGAAACGGGTCCTACACTAGCAAAATAACAACAAAGGTGCTCCAGACAACAGAAAATAAAAGACATTGACGATCAAGACACTGACCTTCCATGCTTTGCGCAAATCGTGATAACAGGTCCGCAACAGAATGGGTCTCTTCCAAAGAAGAGTTAATGTTTGAACTGATGCTAGGCAAACATTGAGTATAATCAGAAGACGGCTCAGCCGCTGAGTCGAGGCAAGTTGTACTAGTTTTCCCCTTGCCAAGATGTCTCGAGGCGATCGTCAAGACAGACTCGAGAAGTCGAGGATATTGTAACACTCGGGTTGATATCCAACTGGAGAATGGCCGATCTGGATCCCCAAGATCGAAGGCATCGCTGAAGCCGGAAAGGAAGTGGCGAACCAACTCTGCCTCGTCTTGCTTGAGCACGCGGGTGGGTAGACGTAGCTGGTATTTATCACCGTATGAAGCATAGGTATCCTGTGCCGTAAATTCGGTGTTATCCAGGTTACTGTCAATCTGCTCAGCCGTAACGTTTGTGTATTCGTGAAACACCAGCCCGGGTAATTGATCAGAATGCTGGTGAAATGGCAAAGCGGCGTGGCCTAGATTATTAGACTCTTGGGGTTGACTATCTGTATGCGAGTAAGTCGAGCTGGTCGGACGTTGTTGCGCATCGTCGACAGCATGCTGACTACCAATACATGGTGATGTTTGCTCTGTGTCTTGTCCTCCCAACAAGCAAAAGGGCTGGTCTTCCGACGAGCTGGGGTAGGCTTCAGGGTCTGAAAAAGAGTTGAATGATCGAACGATGTCTAACGTCTGATCCACAAATTCGATCTCTTGCTTGACGAGCTTGCACCACCGTTGATTCGGTGGAAAGTCCAGCCCCCTTCCACGTTTTCTTGTGCTTTCTTAGTATATCATTTTTGTTATGGGGCATTGCCATTGCTCACGTCGAGCCAAGTCTACTGTGGCGAAATCGACATTGGAGGCTTCTGTCACAATGGAGGTTTCTCGTGACGCACTGAGCACACGGACTTTCATCGTCGCCTTGAATGTAGATATCTAATTAGCTTATGGCTATTGTAGATGGATTGAAAGACACTAGGTTACATTTCAGATGTCTAACAGCACAGACTAAATTTTAGCCATGATCAAGTTACCTGTATGACGTAGCTCACTTCAAACGGCAATTCTAGCAAGAATCAGTGAGACAGCGATGGAAAATAAGCATGGGGCTTGGCTTACCTTACAACCCGAGATTCTTTGCCCTGTCCGTCCCATATCGTATCATGTAGACGTCTGGGGAAGAAAGAAGCGAAATGGAATTAGCGGGGCACAGAGAACAAGCTGGGATAGGTCGGGAGACTTATACCTGTATTTGGCTCGGTTGGGAGGTAATTCCGGGCCCAAGTGGATCAGACTCAAATGCTACAAGAGTCACGGAATCCAGATTTGGGCTGCTTGTTCCGAGGCTAGGTCCCGGCCTCAAACTTAGCCCCGGAACAACTACACCAAATTGAGCCATTATCTGCGGGGGAAGTTCACTGACTCCAAGCAGCCAAGACAAAGAGCAAACTCTATCGTGTTCATCATCCATGGAGAATGCGGGGAGTCTTTCGGCTTACCGAAGGAGCGACTGCTTTATTTGCCCCCCTAGTCATTCTCCACAGTCCAACGTAGTTTTCTCTCCGCTCTTCATCTCATAATGGCGAATTCGCCTATTCACGATGCGGTCATGCCGCCGTCTCTATGCCTTGCAGATAACTCGCCAGAATCCAGATCAAGCGAGGACATGGGGTAAGGCTTTTCACTGGGACAAAATTTAGGCGCTGAATTGACATGTAGCAAAGGCTGTCTTCTCCAGCATCTTGCCTATCCAACTATTTCATTGGCAGCCCGCGTGGATTTACCTCCCCATTAAGAAGTCGACGGGAAGCTTTTCTCTTAATTAATTACCTCCAAGATCTTTCACCAAGAGTAAGCTAATCTTTATGTACATCATATAATGTCTCTGACGGCCCATTTCCAGATTGATATCTGTGATCCGTCGAAGCGCTTTGGTCGCGAAGTGCCGAAGAGGGCTCGCCAACTGCCGCTCCTAGGATACTCCATCCTAGCTTTCTCATCACGTCATCTAGTAATGGTCACTGGTATTGACGACGAAAGTAGCGAAGAGTATCATAGCTATGCTCTACGCATTTTGATCCCCATCCTTGATGATCCGATGTCATCTTTAGATGAAAATCTTCTGGCAGCAGCTGTCCTATTACGATTGTACGAGGAGATGTGTGGTAAGCCAGTCCAAGCAGAGGCCATGACTAGAGTTTGCACATTAACGCTTTGAAAGATGTCGACACTGGAACCCATCTTGTTGGATGCGCACGACTCTGGAATAACATCCCTGACTTCATAGCCCAAGGCGGTTTAAGTGAAGCGGCCAGCTGGATAATGCTTCGACAAAATTTACACATTTCTCTCATTAGAGGCGAGCCGATGCAAGTAGATCTGAACAAATATAGACGCTCCAGATCATTTGTAGACACGACTGATGAGGACTTTGCCAATCGGATTATTCTTCTTTGCTGTCAGGTATTGGCCACCTGTTTTAGCCCGGGTGCACAGCCCGACTACGAAACGTGGGCGCATCTTGGTAAGGAGGTTGCGAGCTGGCATGATTCTATACCGGCGCACTATTCTCCTTATCATCATTCTGATGTCAAGAGTACTTCTACTGGGGTCAAATCGGCTTTTCCTATTGTGTGGATGATGAATCCCGCTCAAGGTCAGTGCGTTGCATACTTTCCGACGGAGCAAAATGACTTATGCTTTTGCAGTAATGGGATATCAACACTATTGTCTGGCTCGCATTCTGCTGCACATCTCAGAGCCCAGACTATGGGTGTCTAGTTTAAGAACTATCGAGCATCGGGTAGCCGCAGATGTACGTCAATCATCTTCCTTCAAGCCTGGTTGCTAAACTTGTAATCTTAGAAAGCGGCCATGAAGGACCTCCATATCGCTATCGGTCTTGGCATCCATAACCCTTCGGTAGTTGGTGCTGGGTTCACCGTACATCATCTACTTTTTACTTGTGAGCTCTGGATCACCTCTTACTAAGGAAGATCGCTAACGGTCTAGGTGGGTGTTTGTTGACCAATCCTGTAGAACAACAGGAGGTGCTTCGTTTTATAGATAGCTTTGGCAGGAATATTGGATGGCCAGTACATAGATTAAAAGATAGATTAAATACGATATGGAATTAAAGAATTGAAAATGCATATTTGGTATGCCTGATGGAAGCATCAGCTGTGAGTTAATTAATGTATCTTAGGCAATCACAAGGAATAAGATCCTTGAGTCGAGTTATCATCAGAATGTCAATTAAGAGCCTACCTGCTAAGGTTCACTACTTACCCCAGACCTCTAGAGTGATCTACTACGGTTTCAGCGCAGCAATTAGTCAGCCAGCTTACCTGTTGGCCCCACAAGTTGAATTTCGCTCTCTCATTCTTTCTCGTAGCTTTGTATCTCATATACGCCTTATCGCCCTACGACCTCTGCCCTTGAAACCCGACATTTTATGACAGTATATAGTTCTATTTGACATCATGCCCAAGTCTATCCCCCTCTTACTTCCTAACCAGCATCAAGGAGGAATCCTACGGGATGCTATCCACCGCGACAACATGGGTCAGAGACGAGAGCAATGCCGTGACCCTGATACGAACATCGATCTTGATGTTTCCGTTGTGTATTCGACGGATGTTCTTGCTGCCGGGACTGGCACTGTTGATTCCGCTCAACCTACTTGGCTCAGCGGCATGAGCGGCAATTCCTTTTCTCGAGTTTCCCCCAGTCTCCTCGACCCGTTCAACACCCTGTGCGAGAGTCCCGAACGATTACGACAGCTTCTTAGATATCGTAGGGCTCGAGACCTTCGTAAGCCTCGTGTTAAGCTCAACTGCTAATCTGTTTTCCATAGCATTAGCCAAGGCCGTCGGGGAACCGCTGTTTCGAATCGATCAACAGACACATTGTGTTGTGCTCCAAGGCTTAGGTAACGAGGATGGCCAGGCGCCATTGTTGACCCACAAGTCATTGTTCCATGCTCTATCTCTTCTCCTCGCATTAGCAGCCAACGACTACCAGCAAAACTACGAAACGATGCACCACCGCAGTCAGGTTCTTCAGTCTCTCAATCGAGACTTATCCCATTTTGGCGGTGACTCGACAGTACTCCATACCATAACAGCCATTCTCATGTTGATTAGCTATGAATACCGAGTCCGCGATACAAATCCAGGTCCTGCCTGCGCTGCTACACATATCCATGGCCTCCAAACTATAATCTCCCAACGCAACATTTTGACCAGTCAATATAGTGTCTCGCATGTTACTCAGGTTCAGCGAGCTCTGTTTTGGCAGGACATAATCTGCTCCCTTGCAACTGGTGCACCCCGAGTCTTGCAATTCGACAATCGCGGGATGTTTACCCGCTTGCGGGAGGATGAGACGTACCGTAGCTACTTTGCTTTGCCGCAAGGATTCATACCACACACCTATGGGTGGCCTGCAGCAGTACCTGCTGTGTTCGAGGATCTCAACGCATTATGCTGCGCCGTGGACACAATGCGCCGAGGGACAAGAGCGCCAATCACCTTTGTCGATAATGACGACAAGGATATTTCAGTTACCCCAATGCCGTTGATGGAGGACTTGGATGATGAGGGGTACCCATTATGCAATAGCCAAGCCAACTTGCAGATTAGACTTGTGGATCTTCTTGGTGGAACAAGAAGAGATGGTTCCCAGAGCGAAGAAACCCTGATTTACAGAGCGTGCCTCTTTGCAGCTTATCTCTGTACATATCGACTTTCTGAAGGTGTTTGGGGAGGGTACTTTGCGCCCGAGAAGTGTGTCACAGAGATACTTGATTGTATGACAGACTTCGCAAGACAAATGTCGCCGTGGAAGCTTGCGCCGGACATCTCATTCTGGTTGCTGCATATGGCTGGTGGCCTAACAAAGAGTCAGCTCCATAAGGACCAAGCGGCTGCGTTGGTGGAACGTTATCGGTGCTTCTACTCAACTGGTTACGGCCAGGACTGGGAGCTAGTGGAGATGAGGTTGAAGAAGTTTATCTGGTGTGAACACGTCATGAAGCAAAAGATGTATAGGTTCTGGCAAGAATGCCAGATTGGTTGCTGCTAAGTCTAGGATAATGATACCACATATGTATAGGATGTCTGTATATAGAATAATAAGGCTAGATGCTCTCAATGTATTCACGCTCAGCAATAAGGTAGGTTGGGGTTAGAGCAAGAACCAGGGATGAAGCCTTGCTTAGTTGTTCCAATGTCAGCCTCGTAGATCATGGCATCGCCAGCCAGAATACGATCGCTGATGTGTACAAGGCCCTGCATTCATTAGTCTCCAATCATCCTCAGTCTAGTCTTCTCTCTCCCCGGGCACTTACATTGGTTACAGGGATATTGGCTTCGACGATGGTCGCCACATTGTTGAGTACAAGATCTCCGCCTTTGATCTCAGCCGATGCATAGAGGTAAGACCCCAGTTGAAATCGAGTCTTTTCCGCAGTGAAGTTGCTCGTGTATAGACGCGAGTTGGGAATGTAGTGATGTTGAAGCATCTGTCCAGACCACCAGCGTCCCTTGGGTGTACTGGCAAATGTCTTATAGTATTCACCTGTATTATTGAACGCTTCATTGGAAGGCGCGATAAATGTGTATTGCCAGTCTGCACTTGTACTAAACGCTTGAAGGAAACCTTTATCCAGTCAGCTCTGAATACACTGGTGACGGTTGGGAATTCGAGGTCACCAACCTGGTGTCTGCTCAACAAGTTTGGAAAGCTCGGACAAATCCTCGCGGGACTTGATGAAGTCAAGCAATGTAGTTTCTCCCGACTTGGTGGGAGGTTGGTAGATTTCCTCTGAGATCGGAGCGTATGACAGTGCTTGTCTATCGAAGACTTTCGCATTACATGATGCAACGGCAGCGAACAAGACAAGCGATAGTTGAAGCTTCATGTTGATAATTCGAAGTCTGTTACTATGAGACAGAAGCGCTTAAGTTAGATCTTGACGGGTCAGCAAATTTGTAGAAAAGTAGATGTAACTTTGATGATATAAAAGGCTGCCTGGATGATATCAGACTGTTTCCCCAGACATCGAAGGCGGATTGTTACTAAGCCTCCTATCAATTAAGGATTAAACAACAGCCGGGAAACATGTCACACGCCCGAAAGATGGCCCGCCACTCGCCACTAAGTTCATTATGGTACGGGAATTGCGGGGTGACTCCCGGGGATTGGGGGTGCGGAGTAAGGGGTATGGGATATTCGTCCGGCAGTTCGTCCGAATGACCGTTCACCAAGCCATGTCCCTAAAATTGAGCATTCTGTATCAGGCGGCGTGGAAGAAATAGCGGAGGTATTGCATCGCATCTCGATTCGTCAACATCGAACTAATCTGGCCATGAATACTTGAGGCCGGAACAAAGATTACGGTTCAGAAAATTCCACGTTACATCAACTTTCCCTGACACCTCAGTTCGTCAATTGCAATGAGATCTATTTTCTACGTTTTGTTATCGGCAAAGGTGGCCTTGGCGGCCAAGGTCTTGGCCCAGAAGCCACAGATGGGTGAGTGCTGTTGACAACACGTCGCTACAAGTACTGTGCTGACTTGAGAAAGGCTGGAACTCATGGAACAGCTTCAAGCTCAACGTGAGCGACGAGCTGGTTAGGTCAACCGCCAATGCCCTCGTGGATACTGGTCTTGCTAAGCTTGGGTATGACCACGTGCTGATTGACGACGGATGGCAAGACAGTGAGCGTGATACGGACGGCAAGCTTGCAGCAAACCACACCAGGTTCCCCGGCGGTATCTCTGCCACTGCCTCATACGTTCACTCCAAGGGACTCAAGGTCGGGATCTATAGTGATGCCGGTATCTTCACGTGCGGAAAGTATCCTGGTAGTTATGGCTATGAGGAAATTGACGCACAGACATTTGCTGGTTGGGGTGTCGACTACCTCAAGTACGACAACTGTGGTGGCTTCCAAAGCAACACTCTCTCTGTGCAAGAACGGTTTCTCAAGATGTCGTACGCGCTGGCCGCCTCAGGTCGTCAGATCTTCTATTCGCTTTGCGAATGGGGTAACCAGTTTCCCTGGCTCTGGGCCGACCAGATAGGCGAGTCTTACCGTATGTCGGGCGACATCTACTCGTCTTTCGCTAAAGACAGAGCGAGCATATGCAAGACGGCTTATTGCATGAACCAAGGCTATGCTGGCGTCAGCGTGCTGACGATGATACGCAAGATGAGAGAAATCAGTCCATTCTCGAAACCAGGCTCTTGGGGTAAGTTTATTCATCAGCGATGCTATTGCTTGCAAGGACTTGTACTAATTTCTGATCTAGCCGACATGGATATGTTGGAGATTGGGACCTGGACCATGACAGAGCTGGAAGAACAAACCCACTTCTCTTTCTGGGCTGCCCTGAAGTCTCCCCTTATCATCGGCGCCGATCTTAAGAATATCAGCGATACCTCGCTCGCCATTTACAAGAACAAGGACATCATCGCCTTGAACCAGGATGACGCGGGCAAGCCTGCCGTGTATCTGCCAAAGCTATCTGAGGAAGGCAGTTATCAGGTTTGGGCAGGGCCACTAAGTTCTGGGAAGAGGCGACATGTGATCTTGGTCCAGAACTATGGTAGCGGCGACGTGGACGTTGGGATCTCCTTGGAAGACATCCCTGGTCTTTCTGTTGAGCAACAGCTGAAGATCAGGGACGTCTGGGCAGGAAAAGGAATTACTGCATCGGGAGGCAAGGTTAGCTTGAAGGGCATCAAGCCAACGCAAACAAAGGTCTTGGTCATTTCGAGATAGCGAGACTTTCTATAGCAGTATCAAGACTAGGCAAAGTAATTAAACTGGAACTTTTTCTAGGACAATCATTGAGTTTATCATTTCTTCCATGTCGCTTCATATGACTTCATCCCAGGGGATAAATGCCTCCACTATATGGTGTTGCACCTCACATTATGTGAGTTCCCGCAAGCATTGATCACATTACTGTCCGCTCCATTGACTTTGGGAGTTAGACCAAACCTTTAATCGTTTTGAATATTTATTGCATGCCGAGAGTACAGGCTGGGATTAGTGGGCTAACTATAAATTCGAGCCCAATAATTTATGCTACAGCGAAAACGCTCTTTTACAGCTGGCATTCAGATTTCGAGTCGAAGGCCAGCGGTGTTGCGCGATACTTAATACCATGATCTTTGTAGCAGTAGTCTAGGTTCCACTGTATCTCGAGTCGGAATTCTAGCCATGAAGGCTGGAGGGTTACATTCGCGGAATTGCAGGAGAGAACACTGCACAGTCTCCAACTTCTCATGTTACCACAATTGATTCTCTGGGGCTATTCTAAGGTCGAGCTACTTCTTTGTTGTAGCCCAGAGCAGATCTCCAAAGCCAGGCATATCACCTCCAGTCACCACCTCTCCGCCTGCAGCATCGTATGCTTCCTTGGCCTTGGTAGTCCACTGATTGTTCAATCCCTTGGCTTCAGACGTATAGTAGAGGAGATCCCACACTGCCGGTGCTTTCTTAACTACACCCGAAATCTCTTGAACAATGCCTCTGTTGAACTCCGAGATGTTTTGCCAGGGACCATTGACCAAAACTGATTCGCATCGGCGCCATTTCGAGTCGTATGGTACTGTTTCGTTCAAGTTGTATTTGGCTGCGTACTCTGCTCCTTTGAGAAGCAAGTTGTTCCCATACCCAAATAAGTCGTACCCTTGAGTCTTGGAAGTTCTCGCAGCTAGAGCAAGCCAACCGAGACCAGACATGACATGGCTCTGGTCTCGGCCAGATTCAGAGTTCTGGCCTGTCTTGGAATTAATGGTTGCATCGATACCGGCGCACCAGTCATTCTTCCAAGACCATATGGCAAAGTTGTAAGCCGAGACATCCTCGAGGTACACTGCATAGTCCATCAAAGCTTTGATGGAGGCGATGCCGTAGTTGGCCTGGCCAATGATCAGGCTCTGTCGCAGAAACAACCAATAGAGCTGGATACTGAACCCTTGGCCTCCCTGCCACTTTGCCCCGACCTCTGTCCAGCCGCCCTCCCATCGCATGATCTCTGCAGCATTCGCAAATAGGGTTCCTTCGATGCCAATGAGCAGTGAGCGGTCGGTCCCAATGATGTTGGTCAGATTTGTACCCCAGCTATCCAAAATGGTAGTAGAGCGATCCCAATGGGCTTGATCCTTGGTGATATACCCTGCAACATTTTAATTAGCGATAAAGCTTTGCATAGACGTATAGAGAAGGGGGGCCTGTACACATAATCGCGTTCTGGTAAGCGGCACGGGCGTCATTGGCAAACGAGGTGTAGTTGCTGATGGATCCTCGGGAAATCACAGCATATGGCCCGTTCATCTTGTAGGATGACTGCGAAAAACTGCTGTTGGAAAACTGTTCGTAGCCTGACTTCCATGGGTCAAGTCCTTTAAGAACGCCGTTTCTCATGACTTCGAGGTCGTTGTGAGAATGCCAGAGACCCGGATGGTTGAAGTCGGATGGCTTCCGCTTCATGCCCTCAGTCCAAGGAACATACGGGATCGCAGCTGCACAAAGGGTCAATAATGCTCAATATCGATGTTGACATTCTGCTGGGTGGAAGTAATTACCATTGATGCTCGGGACATCCTGCACAAGACCAGACACCCCCGATATGAGTAAGAGTGAGAACTAAGTCTTTGTTAGCCAAGTGATGAACATGATACAGGGATGTACCATACAGTAAGCAGTCTCATGTTAAACAGTTCTCGTTGATTTCGACAAGGTTGAGGGTTGCGAAAATGGCTTTGTTATGCTCCACCAGTTATCGAACGTAAACGGATACGCTTTTACTACTGCAGAGATCGACAGCAGTGCGACCAAGTCAATATGCGTGGTATAATTTTAAGCAATGCAGAGTGACGCTATTGGTGTCTTATGATTGCTGGTTAATAGGCTTAGTGGCACATCGCGGGGGATCTCTCGGGCCAGCTCCGATAATTAAGTTCAAGTTCACGAAGACCCTGGTAACGAAGGTCTCGGCGTAATAGCTCCGAATTAGCAAGTCCATGCGGGTAATTAATCGCGCATGCATTTGCGGGGGAAGTCTGGGGAAAGTCTGGGGAATGATCGCCAGGCCAGAGAGTGGAGGATAATCTCTTGCACCTGTTTCATGATCAGTAGTCGCAATGGCGTTCCTGGCGCGAACACACGAGTCGCACATGGCACATAATCGGAGGATTGATCGGTGACCACCCACGACTAGGTTAATCAGGGGAGTTGGGCTCGCCTGCGGTATTCCCCACATTCCGCCCTGTTCCACGGCTTGAGGCCTCGGGCTCCCGGCTGTTTTGGTGCCGTAGAAAAATCCTAAAGCACGATGCGGTGGCATGGAGCATGACATGGACGGCGACGAGTAATTGTTTCTCCGTCCACTGAAGCGGTGGCAGCTAGTCTTGTTCCAGGGTGTTGGGTCAATTTAACCTGAAACGGCATCTCCGAATTATGCAGTATGGCCACGACCAAAACGGCCTTTCTCATAGATAGTATGCAAAGCTGTCGCAGACAAGCCAATACGGTCCTGGTGCCTACATATTCTTATTGCCCAAGAGACTGATAAGTGGTCGATGAAGCGGTTCCTGGTATACTTTGGAACCTACTATTACTTAACTCGGGCATGATTGAATCAGAAGGTTAACCTTGTCAATTACGAGGACCGTGATCAATCATCACTGGGATATGCAACTGAAAAATACGACGCTGCGAGGTTTGTGGCGATCATTTCAGTTATGGGAGGTCTGTCGGGAAAGGTTATGGGCGCGGCCTTGACATATTGTTTTCCCCTCTTTTGGCTCATGGTACGTGGCATCAGGGCACTGCGAGATCCAGAGATCTTCATTCAAACAGAGTCGTTTACATACCATAAAGTGGAAGAATTCATGCTCTCCACCTGGTGGTTGAGAGGCTATAAGAGTTTCGTGTTCCCAGGCCTAAGTTTAATGTGGTGATATAAGCTCTCAATCACAGGTCTCAACTGCAAGTAACACAGCTAACTCATAACCTCCCAGGCATTCAAAGCCAAGATAATAACCATCTGCACTATACTCAACATGGTAGCTAAGGGAATCGTTTTCATCGTTGCACTGGCCGTCTCCGTGACTGGGTTCGTCCATCCTGGCCTCTTGCACACGTCTCGGGACTTGGAAAGAGTCAAGACTCACGTACTGAAGGGCGATGAGCCATGGAAGACAGACTGGCAACTCCTGCTCAACAATAGTCGTGCATCTCCAACATACCAGCCAAATCCTCAACCCACTATCTACCGCGGCTCAGACGGTACTCATGCGGAAAATTATCCCCGCCTCTACAACGACGCACATGCGGCATATCAGCTTGCTATCCGATGGCATATACAGGGAGACGACCAGTATGCCGACGCGGCTGTTGCCATCCTCAATGCTTGGTCATCTACCATGGTAGCTATTGGGGGTAGTAGTGACCGCTTCCTCGCTGCTGGTATCTACGGCTATCAGCTTGCTAATGCAGCAGAGCTTATGCGTTCATATAGCGGCTGGAGTGCCTCGGAGCAGGACCAGATGAAGACGTTCCTCCAGGATGTCTTTTTCTCAGAGAGCTACAGATTCTTAACAACCCATAACGGACAGGACGAATACCATTACGTTAGTTCTCTTTCTACGTTTATCAACGGTTTTATATGGTATATTGAGCTAACGACTGACATTCAGTATGCAAACTGGGACTTTTGTAATATTGCTAATATTATGGCAATCGGTGTCTTTACCGACAATCAAACAATGTACGAATATGGTAAAAACTACTTCCTCAACGGAGACGGGCGCGGAGCAATCAACAACTTCATTTATAAGAACTATACCGAGTCCGGTAGCGGCAAAATTCTGTCCCAAGGCCAAGAGGCTGGGAGAGACCAGGGCCACGCGACTCTGGACATTTCTCTACTTGGGGTCATTATGCAACAAGGCTACAACCAGGGGGATGACTTTTTTGCCACATTGGGAGATGCTGGGCTTCATGCGTGAGTAAACCCATCTGAGACAACGCTGCCCCAAGCCTTGTATGACCAGTAACTGATATGAATCAAGCTCCGAATATGTCTCAAAGTACAACGTTGGGTATGACGTCCCGTATACGTTGTACGAGAGTTATGAAGGCAATCAGACTGTTATCTCAGCGGATAGTAGGTACACCCATCGTCCAGGATTTGAGCTTGTCTATGCACACTACAACGATATCAAACACGCCAACGCTTCTTGGACCAAGCTGTATCGCGACCAAACCAATGGGAATTCTACCGCTGGGGTTGAAGGCGGGGGCGGTAACTATGGCCCTAACAGTGGAGGCTTTGATGTTCTTGGATACGGGACCCTCCTCTACCGCCTGTCGGCATGAGGTTTTGCCCTGGTACATTCTGCATAATGAAGTTGAAGGGCGAAGAGACCAAGAGGTGGTTCTGGGATAGCATCCAAGTAATTATTGTGCGTGGTGAATATAAGCTCTCAGCCACAAGTTTTAACTACAAATAACACAACCTAATAATTGCGTGATATAGCGATCTGGCTGCATCATGAAAGAAAGTGACCATGAAAGTCTGATTCGCTTTATATGTAACTTGACGTAGTCATAAACGAAATTTAGCTTTTGAGAAGCCACAAGTGGTCATGATGTTTGCATAGTCAAGTCAGCCCTTTTGTTATGATCTAATTATGTAAATAAATTGAGTATCTACAGTAGACAATCAGTGGTTCAGCAAATTGGACTGGGCATCCTTCTGGGTGTCAGCCAAATAGACTCAACCTAAATCAACCGCAGAGCATCAGCACGACTGATCTCCATATATTCTTTAGCCATTCCTTGGATGTTCGAACAACGTGCTAAAGAGGTCCTGATGAGCTTTGCGCTGTTGAGAACTATTATGTTCATCGTACAGTCGGCTGATAACTACATCCTATTCTGCAGCTAATATATACTATATAACAACACCATGTGTACAATAGATGATCTCTCGTCGCATTCTGCTCCTAAGACCACCACAATATCCCTTGCCGGTAGCTTGCACACCATTGCATCAGAAGTCGTACCTAAAGTCAGGATTCTCCTTGTCCGTCAAATCTGCGAAGGCATTCAGATGCCCCAACTGGTCACCCTCAGTCTGCTTGTTACTGTCATCAGCCGCATGAGACGCTTCCAGAGCCGCCTTTCTCTTGTTAGCATTACGACGAACCAACAAGAGCCGAAGGATGACAAGGAATATGTTGAAGAGAACGTAGAGACAGAAATGCGCTGTAAACCCTTTCTCATAACGAGGTGAATCGGACTTTTGGAAGATCTTGAGAACATCAGTAAATATCTCAAGAACGCATGCGGGTGTTAACATACCTGTGGGGCGGTCATATTACCAGCAGCCCAAGCCACGAAGGTGATGGCTAGCGTGGTAGACTTCTTAGTCTGGCCGGCAATGTTGCGAGAGATCAGGGAAAAGATCAGGTTTCCCTCTGCGAGATAGAATTGTGTGCAGTAAAAGGCGATGAGTAGACCAACCCGATTCGAAGATGTAGGAGGGATGCTGTAGATGATAGCAGTTCCAATTATAGGAGGGCTGATAAATGTGTTAGTACTCATGTGCTTTAATCAGAGCCTTTTTGTTGACTTACATTGTCCATGCGTGCATCACCCAGGCAGTCTGCCCCGTGGCTGTTGCGAGTGTGGCGCTTCCGACCATGACTATGATCGTCACAGCACCCTGAGCAATGTTGAGGAGCTGGGTTTGGAGATAGGTGAATCCGAAGGAGGAAATGATGAGATTCGAGAAGACACCCAGACCGCCGATGATCAGAGTAGAGGTAAGTTGAAGCATAACATAGCACCAAACAATGGGATCCGTGGCTGCTTCAATGGCCTGGTACCTTTTGTAAGACTTGTTCTGGATACCGGTCTCGTTGGCACGAACACGCTCAACCATGAGCCTCTTCTGGTCTTCGTTGAAGCACTTTGCTTTCATTGGAGAATCGGGCAGCCACCAGCCGATGAACAAGCCCCAGACACAGGTGAGTAGTCCAAGAACGAGGAACAGTAGTTGCCAAGGATAGATGACTCCATCCTTGTAGTGAGACACTCCCCATGCAATGATGCCACCAACCTAGAAGTACGTATGTCAGGTCATGATGCTTTAGTGTTATGCTTAGAGGGACCTTTCATACCATGAGCTGAACTCCAGTCATACAGTACCAGAGGGACGTCAAGATGCTTTGTTCTCGCTTTGTGTACCACATGCTCGTCCTATCACACCACATCATTAGATCAGAAGAGACAAAAAGGTTAGAGGATACCCATGACTCACATGATGATGAAAGCTGGCTGAACGCATGACTCAAACACACCCAAAAGGAAACGAACTACCATGAGGCTTGCAAAGTTCTTGGCAGCCGCAGAACAGGCAATCACAACACCCCAGCAGAAGACATTGGTCGCCAAGTACTTGGCAACTGGCAGCTTTTGGAGCAGAAAATTGGTAGGATATTCGCCGACGAGAACTCCCATATAGAGGATTGTTCCTAACCATCTGAACGGCCAAGTCGTCAGTACGTTGAATGGGCCATCTCGTGCTATTATCCCTATTGCCACAAAAGAACGGCTCAACTTACGAGAACTGCTGTCCGTGGAGATTGGCGTCTTCCTGGATACCCATGACAGACGAAAAGCCAAGCGTGCCCTTGTCCAGGGATTGACAAAAGTATGTTCCGAGCATGCAAGCCAGGATGCGCCTGTTGACAGTCCAGAATAGCTCCTTGTTTGTCTCATCGTCAATCTCGACCGGGGCACCTTGGGCGTAGT